ATAACACTTACAACCTTTTTTTGTTTACAACTTTTTATAATCATATTTTAATCATTAATTTCCGTCAATCAACGCTTATTATTTTCTCAAATTAAATTCATTAATTAATTATTAATTCGCAATAAATGATAACCATTGATTGGCGGAAATCAACGGTTAAGATATGGTTATAAAAGGTTGTAAACAAAAATAGGTTGTAAGTATAACATTTCTATTTAATTATAAAAAGTTACACGTGGATTATTTAATTAAATAAAGGAAAAAATTAAGGGTGTTTGTGATCTGAATGAGATGATTTAAAGCAAAAATCATCTAATTTAATTCATTCGGTTTGATCATCTAATCATCTATTCGATTTGATTATTTTTCAAATCTGATCCAATCTTATCAGAATTTTAGATTGAATCGGTTTTCGATTTTTAGAAGAAAAAAAACTAAAATTTTAGTCATATAAATCACTAGTTAATAGTTATATCAAAATAAAGTCATACAAAGTTACAAACCACTAAAAAATTCAAATCTTCAAAGTTCAAACTAAAACAAATCTTAAAACTTATGAAGAGTTAAAATAGAGTAATAAATAATAATAAAAACTAAAACAAGGTAATTTGCTATACCTCCAAGATTCCAAGTCTACAAAATAATAAAATTCCAAAAGTTCATTATCTTTCTCTTCCATACTCAAGGTAGTTTAAAAAATAACATTGGACCGGTTTGGATTAGATCGATTTTCATCAACCAAACCGAAAATCGATTCAATCAAATTAAAATATGCGGGGTTTTTTTTTTAGTTTTAGGTTAACTCGGTTATCGATTTTTTGATTCGGTCATCTCGATTTGAATCAGTTTTGGAGCAGTTGATGAACACCCCTAATATTTATCATTTTAAATGATACACCTTCATATTATTTTAAGTGTTTTGATGCATATTTGATAATTTTTTACATTCTCTCTTCTTCACAAAAAATTTGTTTTATCGTCTTCTACTTTTACGTAAGAGAGAATATAAAAAATCATCAAATATGTATCAAAATACGTTCATTTTACTTAAAATGACTCGAAGCTGTGTGTTTTAAAATAATATTAAGTTTTCCCTTAAATAAATGGAGAAAGTGTTTACATGAGATATATCATTTTGAGGTTTAGAATAGAAAATAAAGGGTAGCTTTTCTATTTTAACATGTATTTTACTAAAATATCCTTTATTTTTTATTCTAAATCGCAAAAAGATGTCGTTTTAGAATTATAAGTTATAACTTTATCTCATGTGACCTTAAAAACGTTAATTCCTAAATAAATATACAAAAAGATATTTCTGCAGTCACTGCAAATAAGTTATTTGTATTCACTTCCAGAATGACGTCATTTCAAGATTAAAAAATTATGATTATAAAAATTATTCTTGAAATAAATTAAAATTGTAAAGACATTTTGATTTTCATCTTAAAATAGAGTTCAATACAAATAACTTATCCGCAGTAATTATAGAAAAAATAAACTCATAAATATATTAAAAACTTTGAAATAAAAAATGTTTTTTTTTTCCATTAGGTAACCTGTAGGCTCCCGTTATGATAGGTCAAACAAAGAACACCAATCCGACCAGTATAATAAAGCCAGCTAATCAAACAAGCCCAATAGGCTTTGGAATTTTGTAAAAGACTAGATTGTACAAAGGAACGAAAACTTGTAGGCTTTTTGATCAAAATGTTAAAAAATAAATAAACGGTTGATTAATGCAGATAAGTTATTTGTATTGAGCTCAAAATGATATCGTTTTGGGACTGAAATCAAGGTATGTTTATAATTTTAATTTATTTCAGCGTTATAATAATCTTTATAATTATGATTTTTTAATATTTCAATACTAAAACGATGTCATTTTGGAAGTAAATACAGATAACTTATCTGCAATAATTGTAGAAATATTTTTCTGCAAAATAAATTAAAGAGTAAACACCTTTTTTGGTCCCTGGCAATATCTACGAAATCATTTTTAGTCCCTGGCAATAAAAAAAGACCAAATTGGTCCCTAAAATTATGAAAAAAGGGTCACGTTAGTCCTTATGTCAACTCCTCCGTCACTAACGTGGCCCTTTTTACATACTGTTAGGGACCAATTTGGTCTTTTTTTATTGCCAGGAACTAAAAAGGATTTCGTAGATATTGCCAGAGACAAAAAAAAAAAAGGTGTTTACTCTAAAATAAAAAACTATTTATCGAAATACGAAAGCATGGAAACTAGTTATCAAACTATAGAATGAGTCCAATCATGACAGTGTGATCAAGTCTACCAATAGTCGAAAATATTTTCGGTATATCAAATGTATTAAATACTCGGTATATTTTAATTAAATATAAAAAAATAACATATTTATATTACCCCTATATTTATAATTATTTCCTTGAAATAAAGAAAACTCTATTTTCGAAGTACCGAAAATATGCTTCCCTCGTAATTGTTAAAGTGTTGTCACGTGTTAAAATTCTGACCAAACATCTTAATTTTCGTTCTTTCCTCCTGATATTCTGACCCCGTCCTCTGGCTCTCACGTGTAAATTTCCACTTTCTTGTTCATATGTAAATTTTGTATTTTTTTTTTATCTCTCTTCACATGTGAATAGGGTCTTACATATTTAATGCTTGAAAGAAGAGAGACAAGTATAAATTTTCATATGAAATGATTCACTTCTCTCTCTTTTTTCACAATAAGTAAATATTAAATAACATCACAAATAATAATTAATAATTAATAAATAAAATCATAAATGATACAATTATTATTAATTTATAAATTAACATTAAATTAAGTTAAATAATAAGTAATACAATAAATAATCTCGTATTTGCTTTTATTAGCCATAAATGTTCTATTATTAATTTGAAATTATATTTATAATTTCAATTACATATTAATCTCGTATTTGCTTTAACTTGTATCTAGTGTATTCGAATCATTAATTTAAACTTGAATTTAATTTATTTTAATGAAACAGGTTTCTATATTTTAATAAATTCACGCATTAAAAAAATTCTAACAAAACAATAAAATGCTGATTAAATCCAAATCAATTTACATTGGACTAGATGGGATCAAATTGATTGTTTGAAACAAAACAATTAGATATATTATAAGAGATCTGATTAAATTAGATGAGTCGGTTTTTTTTTTTGGGGGGCTCAAAACTGATATAATCATATGCATGAATACTTTTAAAAGCGAAGACTCAATTTGTTATATAAAGATGAATTTAATATAATAAAAGCACGGTATAAGTTGTGTCGATAAAATTTATAAATAAAAAAAAAAGTTTTAAGCGCAAAGATCCCATTCAATTTTCTTCATTTGATAAATATATTATGAGTTTTAATTTTTCCAATTAACACAATTAAATTATGAATATATGATTCACACAACCAACTATTCAATATATGCAATAAATAATAATTCGTGGACATAAGATTTGTATGCTGTTGCAGTCACGAGAAGTTCAAACTTCAAAACTCAATAGTAACCAAAAAATATGGAATCTGGAAATGAAGGCTCCAAAGACAAAAAGCACACCCTTTATCTTCAATATTTCTAATTTCCAATCAAAACTCATCCACATCCGCGTAACGATGTGACATGAAAATGAAATAACTAGAAAATACATTATTTTCCCATCGGAGACCCCATAAGAGGAAATTAATTACATTGAATTTTCACATAATGTGCTGATTATGAAAGTTGGCCATTAAGGACTCGTTCTAATTAATAGACCCCAGAATCTTCAATTTTCTCAATTATTTTATTTCCCCTAGGAAAGTTTCTTGTACATCCATGGTTTAATTTTCTTTGTCATTTGATTAAGATTTTTATCACTTAAGCATGGAGGAAAAATGTGGTTAGATAGCACAACGGGTAGGGTAGGAAGTAGTTTTAATTATGATTCTATCTTTTTCAATGAATCGCGCATCTCTATTTAAATTAGGTCATGTATTATTTGTAGATCCTCTTTCATATCATTGCAGATTAAACTAGTTTGTTAAAATATTGAGTAATCCACCTTCAACTTTTAGCCGATGAACAATATACAAGACAACTTACAGGTAGAACCCTTTCAGGTTATTATAAAAATAAATATCATTCTCATACATCACATTTACATTTGTCAACTAGCTCAATTGAAACTAAACGTGATATTAACGTGAGAACTTTATATTTTATCAAATCATGTTTCCACCTCCCTTATTTGCTTGCTCCTCCAAATATACCCCAAAAAATTAAAAAGAATATAAATTAAAGTAAGGATTGATTGTACGTATCTATTATAATTATGTGACACTAGAATTATATTGTTGCCTTTCTCTATAGTGGACCCCAAGAGGAATTCATTGAAATTTTTGTTTCTTTTTCTCCCGAATTAATGGATTGATTTCACGTTTCACTTGATATGCTGATTGACTCCATCATAATTATCCACCCCTTCATTTTAATAATCAACGTTGCATAGGACCTTCTAGTATATCTTTAGCAAATTAAGATGCAGGTCAAATTACGGCATTTAAATCTATTCATATGGTCTCTGTCATTATGACATCATTTATACCTGTTATCAGGGTGCAGACGAAAACAGTGATCCTGTAGAAGCGGTCGAATAGGATATTTTAAAAGTAGTTTATGATCAAAATTTTATTCAAAAAAACTTTGGAGAAAAGTAAAATTTCCCAAAACTAGTTAGAACCTAAACTTGCAGTTAGATCAACAGGCAGGCCGGGATAAATTTATTCACCCTTTCAATTCATGGTTGTCACTTGTCAATTACTTGGAACAGTGGAACACCCAAATCCAAAATAAGTAATGCATTTTGATAATCTAAGAAGTTTAAATTTATAGAGAAGAAACTCAAAAATGTTAAAAATACTAAATGAATGCCACATAAAACTGGTAAGTGGTAGCACAAACGTTCCTGTATTACCTTTTGCTTAATTTGTAAATTGATCATACGGAGAGAATTATAACTCTCAAACCAATGACAAACATTCATTTCTTTATTTGGGTAAGCAAAATCACAAGTTACATGGCAGTGCCAACGTCAAAAATTTGTTAGGAGCGACATTAGCTTATTCCATTAATGAAATGCTCCACCATTTCATAAAACGCAGTACCAGAATGTCATAAAAGCAGCAATGCCACTTAAAATACAAAGTCTATCCAACCTACTTTCGCTTCTCATCTTCTCCTCTTTCAACTGATTTTGCACTTTTGAATACATATGACAAGACTCAAGTACTTCACTATAATTTTTGCTCCTTCGGCAGCTAAGAGCTTCCTTAATAATATGCAAACTGTTTCTTCCATTAACATGAGCACCTTCCATGTCTTCCAACTGCATGCTCAGCTCTGTTAATTTAAGAGTTGTTTGAACCCCATCTCCTTCAGTCTGAGTCACTCTAAACTTCATAATAAGGATACATTCCACTACTTGACAAGGAAGAATGTCCTTGGCAGGGAGAACTGATCCAAAGCGAATAACAAAATCCTTATCTGTTGGCCAATGTCTTTGACCACCAAGAGGGCTCCAACTAGCAAGATTAGCAGCTTGCTTTATTTTCCTGTTTACTATAATCCAACTAAGTTGGAGCCCGTCACGGAGCTCGTGCCATAGTTTTCCGTCTTTCCTTTCCCTTTCCAAGGATGTAATTGGTGGCAGACCATCAGATACAGAAAGGTTAACCACTCCATCATTGTTATCATCTCTATCTGCATAAGTGAGAATATCAATCCTGAAAGGACAGTTATAGAACCAACCATCATAGCCATTTGCATTTGGAATTCCCCATAGAACTTTGGAACAGATTGGTTTCCCCTTGAACCTAATATCTACAATAGAAACAAAATCTGATGGTGATATGCTTTCAGATTCATTCATGTCCCCATAATATTCAGCTTCAGTCCAATTGTCAGGATACTCAAGATTGTTGTTCCGTTGATAGTCTGCAACCTCCTTGTTCACAATAAGTGGAAAACAATCTGCATAGAATTTTCTGAATCCCCCAATTGAAGAGATCAAACTTTTCACATCCTCCCTATTGGTTGAAGGCCACATAGATGAACATACATTTTCCCATAAACTCTCTTCTTTTGAGATGGAACAAAACGCTGCACAAGTACATGCTGCACTAGCCAATGTTGCGCCATCAAGTCGTCGTAATATGTCATAGAAGAGATCACTGTTTAATGAGGGGATATTCTGAACTGGGGCAACTGACATAGTGATAATCCTCTGACTGTCAAATGAACATAATTTAAATCAAAAAACAGAGAAAGAAACCTGCATGCATTTGAGTACAAAAAAGGGGGGAAACAATGTTTTTTCAGACATCAGTCAATAACAGGGTATATAATGTTTTGATAACATGACCAACACAAAAATATGTATACTGTCTTCTCAGTGCTCTCCAGGACTATCAATAAAAAGTCAGTTTATCTGAACTGCCAAAATATCCAACTCCTCAACCCAAAATTCGATTATGACTGAAACAATGTATAAAGCTATACTTACATCAGGATTATGTTTCACAACTGCATAATACTCAATTACATTGAAACAACCAACCTTTAAAAAGCCGATTTCATTTTTAGATGTTCAACATTAAAGCATTGCAGTAGCATCGACAGTTTGAGGTATAAAAACCATAAACCATAAAAAGAAGGTAGGAACACCATATTTCCAATCTAACTTTCCTCAGTTTCTGGCCCAAGATTTCAAACACAGTCACATAATATGATACAAGAAAAAAATAGAGAAGACGGGGGGGAGGGGGGGTAAACATTCTTAACACACAATATAATAACGTGAGAAGCAGGAGATATTCCCACTGAGTCCAAATCTTGTAGGTTCCTAAAAGAATACTTTAAGGATACAATTAAAAAAAAAAAAGACCAAGATTGATGGAGCCATACAGAAACTGGATTTGAGTGTGTGTGTAAGAAAATTATACAGAAATGAGAGCATTAGCTTTAATCAAATTCAGAGTCAAGACCTGATCAGAATTCATACTCAAATTCAACTGTTGAATGTTACTACTGTTCCTATAGTGTTTTAAAACTCGGACCGATCATCGAACCGGTCGAGGTATTGGGTCACTAGTTCAATCGGGTTCAACCAGGTTGAACCGGTTTTACTGTTCACATATTAAAATATAAAAATATTACTTATATTAATAAAAATTCACATAAGAAAACTATCTATGATCTTCAAAAAATAAATTGGTTTTCAATGATAGCAAATATTATATACTTCTAAGCTTCTAGCTCTAGACCGTTGAGATGAGATCATGAGACCATCAGTGTTTATCACCACTTAACTTTATGAGATCATTATAAGATGCAACTAAATTACATAAACGAACTACACTAATCTAAAATACCTTATTATTTTCACCTTACTTTTAATCATATTCATCATAAAATATGAATATGATTTAATTCAAGAGTTCTTATCAACAAAAAAAAAAAATTACCAAAAAAGAAAAGAAAAGGAAAAACCGGTTTAACCCGAGTCAACTGGGTCGCCGGGTCGCCGAGTTTCGGCCGGGTCAACCGGTCCAATCCGGGCTGACTGCATAACCGGTCTAACTATCCTCTCAGACCGGGGAACCCATCGGGTCACCCAGTCGACCCGGCCGGTCCGAACCGGATTTTAAAACACTAACCCAAACGTTAGAAAGAAACCTCGTAAGGACCAAAAAATAATATAGTAAGGTACTACTCCAGAGCAAGTTTAAATGCTTAAAGCATTGAAAGCCCCAGAAAATATATAATCTATGGTAGGTGTCTCTCATACCTACGGTACATCACAATTCACAGCTAAAAAGGCCCGCAAGGAAAAGGGGCCACACAGGATAACTTAACGAATTGAAAAAACTAATGCACAAATTCTGTTTTCAATGATTTATTATGTGAGAGTATTGAATCTGCGGGACTTTCTGAAGTTGCAACAAAAATTCATAAACTTCTGTAATCTAAATTTTTTTATAACAGTTGCTGAGATATATAGTCTCACATTGGTTGTATGAGCAACTAATGTAGAGTTTATAAGGCCTTGGGCACTCCCACCCTTTGAGCTTGCTTTTGGGGTGGTGTATCTCAAGGTTCTTAACATGGTACCAGAGCCTCGTGTCCTGGTCCTGGGTTCAAATCTCGTCGGCCCCCACTTTCTTTCCGGTGGAATTTTTTTCTTCGCACAGGTAGTTGGGCCTGTGCATAGTCCACTCTTCAAGCCCAATGGGCTCTTGTGTGAGGGGTCGTGTTGAGATATATAGTCCCATATTGGTTGTATGTGCAACTAATGTGAAGTTTATAAGGCCTTGGACACTCCCACCCTTTGAGCTAGCTTTTGGGGTGGTGTATCCCAAGGTTCTTAACATGGTATCAGAGCCTCGTGTCCTGGTCCTGGGTTCAAATCTCGCCGACCCCCACTTTTCAAGCCCAATGGGCTCTTGTGTGAGGGGGCGTGTTGAGATATATAGTCCCACATTGATTGTATGTGCAACTAATGTGGAGTTTATAAGGCCTTGGACACTCCCACCCTTTGAGCTAGCTTTTGGGGTGGTGTATCCCAAGGTTCTTTACATGGTATCAAAGCCACGCCGTCCCCCACTTTCTCTTGTGGAGTTTCTTAGCACAAGTAGGCTGGGTCTGTTGCATTGTCCACGCTTCAAGCCCAAAAGGCTCTCGTGTGAGGGGGCGTGTTGAGACATATAGTCCCACATTGGTTGTATGTGCAACTAATGTGGAGTTTATAAGGCCTTGGGCACTCCCACCTTTTGAGCTAGCTTATCCCAAGGTTCTTTACAACAGTAATTTAAAATTTTAATCAAATCAAACGTTTGCTTTCTAAAACCTAGAATTAGCACAAGGAGTAAAACACGAAATGACAAGAACAATATGGCCCATAATATTCAAAGAAGCAGAAATATAGTCATTGCCAATACCAAATAACACATCGTACAACAGATCCTATGCTGCAAATCAGGTGAATGTGAACAAGCGACATGCAGAAATTGCTATCAAGGTACTTATTATTGACAATAAATAAATGAATCTCTTCTAGAACATATAAGAACCAATCGCATTATTACAGTGAACAGTTCTTTCGTAACTAAGTTGAAAAGAATATAGGAACAGCAGTACTAAATTCTCAATATACATCCTTGGTACCACGTACCCTTCGGTTTAAGCAAACATTTTTATAGCTGCAAAATGCAAGTAGTGGTAGCAATGATGAATATTAATCCATTATTCAACTCTCAAGAGGTAAGCTACTTAGAAACTCTCTCTCTCTCTCTCTAAGATGCTTCACCATGAATGTATACTAGTAATCACATATGAAGCAGATTACAAAACTAGAGGAAACTTCCATAACAATCCATTATGAGATGATAGATATACTAAATAGACTGTTGAAGATATGTGTTCCAATAATGTAAGACACTCAATTCACATAACAAGCAGGTAAAATTATTCAGACTTCTAAGGAGAGGGCTTATCAAAAAACTATATAACTGTAGCCTTCAACCGATGCCAATGATTGAAAAAAAAAAAAAAAAAAAAAGACCACCAACCTAGCATATCTGTAGGTCAGAAAATTACAATTCACCACACTATATAATTAATTCATAACGAGAGCTTCTTATGATTTAAGCATGATGTAAACCCTTCTGCTACGACATCCACAAATAGCTTAACAAAATAAATAAATAAATAAATTATATACCCTTCTGTTTCCATCAAACATGACGCAAGCAACAATCAATAAAAACACAAAAACTTGAGAAACACCTCGAATAGATGGAAATGAACAGAATTATTGTCAAATTCAGCATATCAAAATTCAAACAAAAAAAAATGCTATAAAATACATAAATACTTATCCATATATATATATATGTGGAGAGAGAGAGAGAGAGAGAGAGAGGAGGTAGAGAGTTGTGACCTCAAATAATAGCGATGAACAACATGAGCAAGCTGAAACAGAGGAAGAGCAAGTGAAAGGAGAATGGAAGATTAGAAGCAAAAGGGAATTAAATAGAGGAAAACAGAGAGGATTTCAGTTACAGTAGGGTTTGGGACACACTGATTTGTGAGTGTGTGTTTGTCTCTCCTTCGCAACCTTAACACGTGTCGGGATCTTGGGGCTTAGTGATTTCCTACCTTGTCTCTCACCTCGACGCCCTGCACTTGCTCTCCTTCAATCCACCACACAAATTTTTGCCATATCAAGGTAAATAAAAACAATTAAATATTTTATTTTATTTTTTTTGGTTTGTTTGTTTTTGCTCTTGTGTTTTTAGCCATCAATGAAAAAATCTACTTTGTCTCACCAAGAAGAAGAAAAAATCTATTTTGTTTGTCACTTACCAACACATTTCACGGGATAAAAAATTGTACGATTCTGGTCTCATTCGTTCAATGTTTTAAATGTTTTAATCCATGTTTCGTTTCGATTGGAAAATATTAAAACCATCATATCAATTTACTGAGAAAAAAAACCATAAGATCAAGACGACGACAATAATAATAATAAATTACCAAATTATTAATGAGAGGTTATATACGTTGGTCTTTTAATGGACTGTGTACATATTTAAAAAATAAATAAATTAACAAATGTCAATTATTATCAACACTATATTAATATAGTCCATCGTAATCACTTTTATCATTATATTTTTATGAGAAAAGATATTGTAACAACCAATTAGAGTTACTACCAATTAATTTCACCATTAGATCGATTATGTTGATCCAACGGTTATATTTATTTCCATATTTGTATGGTTATGATTCTCCATATTCAATACTTTATATTTATTTTCACCTTTGTATGGTTTTAATATCCCATATTTAATACTTTCACATTAAATATGGAGAATCATAAACATACAAAAGATTGAAATAAATATAACCGTTGGATCAACATAATTGATCTAACGATGAAATTGATTGGTAATAACATTAATTGATTGTTACAATATCCTACCCCTATTCTTTTTTAAAATTAGGAACAGTGTTTTAAAATTCCGCCTTGTTCCGGGGTTGACCCTGTCGGATCATTAACCCCCTCTCTCTAAGGTTGGGGTCAGCAGTTAGACCCTACATGCACTTTGAACTCTCTAACCCCCAAAATCTCCTGGTTGAACTAGTGACTCCCGAATCAGAGAAGGTCAATGTATTTAAAATATATATATATATATATATATATATATATATATATATATATATATATACGAAAGGACGTCGTTTGGTGTGTAAAAAAAAACTCGTTGCTGCGTAAATCTAGAACTAAAATTGAAATTTGAATCGTTTTTCTCTTTTTTCTTCCGATCTTCTCTCTCGGACCCGGTCTCTTTGATCCGGTGAGTTCCTCCTCATGGTAATGGTTCCTCCTATCCTTTTAGGTCTTCTCTCTCCCTCTCCTACTTCGTGCTGGTTCTTCTCTCCCCACCGTTGATTCGTCGTGTCGCCGCCTCTCCTCTGTCATTCTCTCTTGGGTAAGGAATCTCCATTCACATGATGTTGTAGGTGCGTGAGAAAGATAAGGAAGGTCTGAGTTTGATGATATAGCTTTTTATTAACTCCATTGGAATACGTGTGTTATAGTTTGATGGTTTAATACTTTGATTAGCTTGTGTAATATTGATTTGTGGATGCAATTAGTTGAATTATGTTAAGTATATTTTGAATCTTTGATTTGGTGGTTTGATTTTTTTGAATTTTTCCTATAAAATATATATTTATATTTCTTTATTGTATAAAATCGGATCAGCGAAATGATCCCTTACCTCAGCTGAATCGATGGCCAGGCCGAGTTTTTAAACACTAATTAAGAATGAACCTCTCATGTTGAAATTTTACATAATCAATAAATTTGTAAAATTTTAACATAAGAATCCATTGCATGAGAGGTTCATTCCTAATAAGTTTGTGTTTGTAAAAATCTAATAATAAAAGTGATTACGATGGATATAGTTCATAATAATCGCTTTTATTAATAGATTTTTACAAACACAAATTCATTAGGAAATTGACCTCTTATATTAAATTTCACATGATAAATTTTAACATGAGAACTTATTATAAATTTTTGGTGATGTAAAAACTTTCTATACGTATTTTTTATGACTAATAAGTAGAATTAAAATCGTAAATATATGAAATTCCTTGTTCTTAATTTATGTGTAATATGGTTACTCCATTAAAAACCACAAGGCTTCTGAGTATATTGGGAATGAGATAAATTACTCCACTTCATTCCTCATATTCCTGGATCAACTTATCTAGGGATTCAACAAACAATTAAATCTAGTTATTCAGTTTTCTAACTATCATATAATCTCCTGTCCTGTTTTAATGCTAGTATTAAATTCTAAAACTTAATGGGAAGATGGTAAATAAGTAAGAGGTGACAGTGTTTAGACTCATTATATATGAGAAACAACAGTATATATATATATATATATATATATATATATAATTGACTTTGTTGATTAAAAAAGGATATTATGACACAAAGCTGTTTAAAAACTATATTATTTTCGACCATTTTACATATTTAGATTGAATTAGTATAAAGTAAAATTTTATCTCAAATTTCATTATATTAATAACACTTTTTTTATATTCATCTCAATGAAACATATATCATATAATATTTGATCTTCAACTTTCTTAAATAATAATAATAAATTACGAAGTAATTAAAATTTTAAAAAAAGTCGCTGTGGACCAATTAATGATGGAGTCTAAAGAGGAAGGTGAAATGCTCCTTGCTGTCGTGACTACTCTTGTGGTCATATTTATGAACAACCAAACCCATCTTCATTTATCATCTTTTTTGTTTTATTTTATTTTTTGTGTGTTAAAGACTTTCAAACTTCTAGAACCAAAAGTAAATGAAAAACAAAGAATAAGGAGTCCCGCCGACGAACCCATAATGTACTTTGTTATTTGATATATTGTTGAAATGATGACTCATTAACTGTGTTATATACTGGCTAAAGCATATAATTTTATTCCATCTACCTTGAAGCATACAAAAATTAAACAAACATCATATCAGTTTTGAATTTTGACCAAGCCAATAATAAACTAAATGTAATGATTTATTTAATTTATTTATTGAATTTTTGAGTTATAAATAATTACTATATTTATTTATATTTTTCTACTGTATATTTACAAATTTAATCTTTATTCTTATATACTTTTTTAACATTATGGTGAGATGCGACGGTTGAATTAAGTTGAGATAAAAAAACAAAAAACAAAAGAAAGATAGCCAAACACTACTTTATGATAGGGTTGACTTTTGGTACCATCGCTAAAAATGGAATAAATTTTTCTTGCATCATATAAGAAATTATACTTATGTTACACTCACCTAAAAAGACGTGTTTTTCTCTTTTTTTTCTTTTTAAAAATAGTGGGCTCCACTTAATTTATCTCACAATATAAAATAACTTCTCTTTTATAATATGAGAGAAGTAAAGCCCATCATATATACTCAATGGGCTTATCATTTCTCAAGCTCCTTGAAATAATTTTATTTTCGGCTGCTAAATCATAACCGTACAAAGATGGATCAATGGTGATAAAGAAAGAGAGAAAAAAAAGAAATCATAATCATTCAAAGGTAAATCAATTAATATAAGAAAATAAATAAATAAAACGACGTAGTTTTTAGTGGCCGAAGATAAACTTATCTCAAGCTGTTTGAAAAATATTTTTCCCATATTCAATTAAATTATTATTTTTTAAAAGAAAAAACTTTTTCAATGTGGTGAAAAAAAATTCAAAAGTAGTGAAATTTTTTCTAATTACAAATATATATATATATATATATATATATATATATATATATATATATATATATATATATATTAAATACATCTGATGCACTAAAAATTGGTACCTAAAAATGATTGGAAAGATACAATTGTTTTTTGCATGCATTGTTTATTGCGCGTTCTGGAACTGGGGTAGTAGCAGCATTTGGAAAGTAAGATAAAAAGGCGAAAGAGAAAGAGAAAAGCTCAATCAAGATTCACTTTTGCCTACAAAAAAAGGTTTAAGGATTTGTAAGTAACGGTGTGTGTGATTTGTGTTTTACAAAACAATTTTCTAACTTTAAAAAAAAAAAAAAAAAAAACGTGTTTGATAGTTAATATTTTGTGAAAAAATTTAAAAAATAGGTTTTGGTTTTTGGTTTTTAAAATAGAATTTAGAAAACATCCTTAAGGTGTTTTTGTTCTTGTTTTCTATTCTTTTGTAAAAAATTAATTCAATTCAAAAGTTTAAATTCTTAAGTAAATGCCTCTTTAATGGTTTTATATATTTCTAACACGCTACCTCGTAAGAAAGCCTTGGACTTAAAAGGTAGATAATGCATCAGGTCCGACCTACCTGTACTAAGAAATTTCACAAAAAGACGGCGAATATCGAATCCACTTTTGGGTGAGACTACATTAATGATTTTATATATTTTTTAACACGCTCCATTACAAGAGAGTCCATTGATTTTGAAGGGTGGACAATGTGCAGACTCACCTACTTGTACTAAGAAATTCTACAAGAGAAAGTGGGGGCGATGAGAATCGAATCCGTGACACCGAGCCTTTAATATCATCTAAAGAATCAACTCAACCCAAAAACATAAATCGTTAAATAGAAACCTCTGTAATGATTTATATTATACGAAGACGCAATTCTCATTAATGGCAAGAATGTAAATAACAACACATTATAAATGTTTTACTCTTTAGTCTCTCATCTCATGCAGTGGGGGAGATATTTTAGGTGGCTATGCAAGAGCGGATGTTTAGGAAGGAAATAATTGACAAATTAATGTTTAGATAATTAATTTTGTGGAATGTTTGATTACTAAAAGTAGTATCAGATTCAGGGCACTCGTGTTTACATTTTATTTTATTTTAGTGTAAAGTTTTAATAATTAGTGAGGAGACAATGTTGTAATAAATCTTGTTATCTGTCCGGACAATATATATAGAGGAATAATGGATAGGTTGTTTGGTTGGGTCATGCAATCATGCTTATTTCATTATCCTGGTGATTTTTCCAGCGCATGATGAATTAGGATACATTAATGACTGACGTTTTTAAGTTTGAATTGGTAGAATAAATCTTTGGTACTACTGCTGTACCAAAGATTCAGTACATCTCACCAATGAAAATATTACATGTTAGTTAAAATTTTATTTTTTCTCTCAGATTTTTTCTCTCTCCTCTGATGTGTAATGCTCTCGTTGATGAGATAAACTGAATCTAAGTACAACAGTAGTACCAAAGATTTATTCGAATTGGTAAGATGAATATTTATTATTATCTTTTTTTCGAGAATAAGAAAACTAAAGCTCAAGGAAACGCTACTAGCATAAACTCTTACGGAGGGGTTTGGGTTTGAGTTTGTTCTTATTTTACCAAATTCATTTGCTTCTTTTGAACCATTGTTAGTAAAGTGATTTTAGTGGATTTTGGATATTTGCTTGGGGCTTGCTTTCAACAATTTGATTCATGACAATAAAATATTTATTTTGCAAATGAGGATTGATATACTTGGTCAAACTTTCTGGTCATGTTAATGGTGAATTGAATTTGATTCTTGGATTTTTCTCTTTGGTAAGTAATATATAATTTCACCCTAAATTCTCATTAAAGTTGTTTCGGATCTTGTAAGGGGACGTATCTTCCTCTAATTTAAATTTTTATTTAGTAAAAAAGTATTTATTTTTGCCAAATATTTTTTAGTTGGGAAAAGAAAATGTCATGAGTTTCAAACTTAGACACATAATTTGGTTCTTACAATAAATTATTTTCGTCAAAATACTGATAGTCAAATACAACATTATACAATGTAAGATTCAAACACACACAAAATACAAATAGAAAACTATTATAATATGTTTGACATGGATTTGTTTGTTTATAGAATTTGTGTGAGTTTGTTTCAGGGGCGGACCCACGTAGGCGCACGTGACCGCATCTGCAGACATGAAAATTTTAAAAAAAAATCTTAAAAAAAAATATTAAAGTTTGCAATAAATTTCTCCACACGCTACCTCTCCCACACTCTCTCTCTGCTGCTGCAAATTTGATTGACTGAGACAACACGGTGGATCAAGGGAAACACTGCTTCTCTCTCTCTTGTACAATATCTTCATCTTGATGATAAGGATGAACTGTGGATTAAAAAAAAAAGACATGGACATGACTCTGAATCTCTGATGTTGTGCTTAGTTGCCCTGTGCCTAGAATGTCAGAGGTACATGCTTGAATTTGCATACATGTACATTTTCAAATACACACACTTAGCTGCCCTGCTTGCTTTACTAAATTGGCAGATTGATAATCCATTTATCTAATTTTCATTCAGCATTGTAGAATCAATAGTACAAGTATATTTATCTTCCCACGTGCCTTGAGCAAAGTGATAAGAGTTGATATTTTGGCCTTCTGCATTTTTCGATAATCCTACTGTGTAAATAAACAAGTGTGATTTCTCTAACACGTGAAGGTACCATCATCCCAGCTACACCCACCATTACCTCCCCATGGTCCCACTATTATGCTCTTCTTCTTGCTTTTTCCTTCCTATAAGAATGCATTAGACCATTGGTTTAAAGTAGCTAGAAAAGAAGTATACCAATTACACAACCATGACATATTTTTTATTTTTATCTTTTTGGGGGTACAAAACAAAGATGAAAATTTATACTTAAATTATATTTGATAGTTACTATCCCATCCACAGAACCCTGTGCATAAGCGTGAAAATAAAGGAAAAATTCAGTTATTTTATCATGTCGTATGGAAGATTATTCGAACTTCGAAGTAATTATTCTTATTGATAAAACAAAGAAATTATTCTTCTTTTGATAGCAAGAAAACTGAATATGACCTTTATTGTTTGCTTGTAATTTTTTCCAATGGGTAATTATATTAAGAATAAATACCCTTTTGGGTCCCTAACAAAAAACACGGTCTCCACTTTAGTCCCTTACAAAAATAAATTAGTCAGTTAGTCCCTAACAAATTTAAAGTGGACCCATTTTAGTCCTTTTGAGGGACTAATATGGGTCTTTTTTGAATTTGTGAGGGACCACGATTTCAACTAAATGGGTCCACTTTGAATTTGTTAGGGACTAACTGACTAATTTATTTTTGTAAGGGACTAAAGTGGGGACTGTATTTTTTGTTAGGGACCAAAAATGGTATTTACTCTTATATTAATAAATTTCCAAAATTTGAACATCGAGTTAATATTTATTTTTTTGAATTGCACAATTAATATTTCTTTATTAGAGAAAGACTTCTTAATTCATATTCCCTTTGTAAGGAGTTACAGTTTAATCTTTATTTTTTGAATTGCACAGTTAATATTGCTTTATCTCTTTGTTGATTCTCTAATTGATTTATGTTTGCTTGTAATATAGGATAACTTTGGTTGATTCTCCAAAGCTTTATTTTTGAAGTGGAAGCAAAAATTGGTTCTTGATGTTTAAACATTGAGAGCACAAATAATTGTGGGTTCGTAGTAATTCGACAAGTCTCAATGAAAGGTAACTTTCTTTATTTATTTATTTGTTATAACTGTTTTAATAGCAACAAACGGTGTAATTGATATTTATTTTTGGATTTTTAGGTTGTAATTGTTTCACTAACATAACGAGTATAATTGATTTAAGTATAAATTATGATTTGTCATGAATACAATCTTATTTCAAACGTCTAAAACCCACAAATACAGAACCCATGTCTCAAAGTGAACAAGTTTCAAATAGTATTTCAGTTCCAATTCTATCAACCTCAGAGACAAAAGGTTTCAATTGTGGAAAATCTCCTCAAAATCAAAGACAAAATGTACCACCACAAGCATCTCAATTTCAAAGTTTTCATTCACAACCATTCGATTGTTGCTTGCAGTGGCAGTGGCCAGAGATTGGTTAATCGAACAAGTTGACATCAACAACGCGTTCCTTCACGGGGATCTCTGTAACAGCCCATTGTACACCAGTATTGTTAACATTAATTATGATATTAAACGCAGTTACAATCACAGCAATTCAATTATAAAAATGCGAATAAACTTTTTCCGATTATTACGCGAGCCTTTAAAACATAAAAAGCGTAATAATTAAAAGTTGTGACCGTAACCGTAAAATCTTGCGGAAGACTTATTTAAACTATTTTTATAACTTACTTTACTTATTATAAGTTACTAAGGGATTCCCATAAACCCACTTAGCCAATTACTAACTTTTACGTTTTTACTTACTCGAACATGGTTCACTAATTAAATTACTGCGAACGCACCACAAAATTTCAGACCTTCCACTCAGGTTATATTTTTACTTACTTAATTCCCTTTCTAAAAAGCTAACACACGCTATGATCGGAGCACGTTTGCTCCGGATATCACCGTTTGAAGTTGGACAAGCAAAATTGTCCTCCAACCCCAAAACAGCTCTAAACATCCCTCACTCTCTGAATTACTGCACAGAATCCACTCATCCAATTGCTCCCAAAATTTTACACCATAAACTAGACACCTCAATCTTCGATTTGATATATCATACGCTTAATTTGTTCAAGAAACGAAGCGGGAAAAAAATTTCCAAAACTGAACCAGAACAGCCCCCAAGTGCAGGGCAAAACAGGGCAGTTGTGTTCACTGACTTCCACAGGGCTGCGCACAACCCATAAAATTCTAATATTTTGACACAATGTAAGGGACATCTCAAGCTTCAAAACGGCGTATGGCACGTCCCTATCAGACCTCGATGGAGGGAGATATGCTCTCTCGAAGTTCATCTAAAATCTGTCATTTCTACATAAAATTCGCCAGAGTTTCCTTTGTTTTTCCTAAAATCCCCAAATTTGCATAAACTCAAAAGTACCTCAAATGTACCTAATAATCCAATAATAATCCAATGGGTGGCACACACAAGGACCAGCAATGCGCTGGGGCACTTACAACCCAATCCAATTTATATTTATTACATAGTTTATACTATAATGCTCACTTTAAAATCCTTCACTTGTTTCAATCACACGGATCCATTTACATGTCATTTCTCAACATAAGTACATAATTATCATCTTACAATAGGCCTAAAGCCCTTACATCATATTACATCAATATTCATGCATACTTACAACATCTCATTTAAATATAACAACATACATATTTATAACTTGAATTTACAACTTGAAATATGAACTTGAATTTACAGCTTTAAACATAACTTCGAATGAAATAATAACTAACTAGACACATGCACAATATATATCATGAACAAGTAATGACAATGCTCTCATGACTCATCCTACGAGCATCTTGCCCGCCATTCCTGTGCCACTGCTACCTCCTAAAATAAATGCCCCGAGACAGAGTGAGATATACGGATATATCTCAGTAACCTAGAGGTTCTGGAGAAAACTTCGTCCAATGGTTCACTTTGATGCATATCAATAGTATAAAACAACCACTTTCAAAACAAGATAAAGCAAGGGGTTTAGAGAAACTGGGGAATATCGGGATATAAAATACGACGAAGCGGGATGGTAGCTACCAATACCACGCAACGTCCTCGGCATATATAAGCCTACGGGTATCATCCAAGGTGTGTTCCAAGAACCACAACCATGATGCCCCAACCATCCATATACACCCGAGACATTCCTAGTGTGCTCCTATCCGGATCACACACCACGACCCTAGGTCAACTGGAACTCCCTCTCGGAGACCTATCCAGTGGAAGTCCGAAACGCCCGAAGGTAAAAACTGTCTACTGGCCAGAGACTCGGTACATAAGTACCCACTGTGATAATGCATGCATGCTCATGTTGTTCTACACTACTCATATACACTTCATACCATTACCCTCAACGGGTATGGTGTAACAGAAAAGGGGAACAAGCCCCAGTACCAAGAGATTACCTCTAAAAAGCTCAATTCCAAGCTTGCTTGAATTTCACGTATTTAATCCAATGCCTCTAAACTTGTTCTTCAACCTATGTACCATCAAATTACAAGTTATATCAATTCATGCCACCACACAAGTCAAAGACAATTACCCCAATATTTTCAAGATTTAATACATATTAACACATCTTTCATAACCACAAGTTGATACAAGTTTCCAAACTGACCATCTATATAGCATATACTTGAATTTACTTGCTAAATGTAATCAAACACTTATGTGAATTTACTTTCATCCCTAGGTCAATTAATCCTATAGTGGCCGAATTGCACCACATAGAAACTCCAAGAATTTAACTTGTTTTCCTATTCATATGCCTTAGTTAATTCCTTATTTGATCACTAAGTAGTCTTATATAAATTATTACATAACTTTTTTATCAAAACTCTAACATAAACAGTCTCATCCTAGAATTAATTAAGATTTCACACTTTATCTTCGGTTCAAATACTAGCCAATCATCATTAAATGTCCTAAGGATCATTGTTTTACATGACCAATGAATTAAACACTTAATTTACACAATTAATTCTAAAGGGCCGAAATACACACACTTTTTACAGCATCAACATCCTGTGCCATTTTAATCACGAAAATTTCATCTTAACTCCGATTCCCCTGAATTTTTGATATGTTATAGTAGACACTTAAGGCTTTAATTTGGCGCAAACCACACTCCATTCGGAATCCTGTAGCTTCAGATATGAATTTTTTAACATAACAGCCCCTATGTTGATCCTAAAAGGTCCATAAAGTTCTTTTGAAATTCCTATACTTCATTCTTTTTACAAACCAACTCTAAATCATATTACACTTATATTTTCACATACAAACTTGATTAAACACATCCTTTAACTATTTTATCACATGATGACCGATTTACCTAGCTTAAGGTTTAATGAATTCTCTTTCAATTTTTCTATCACTTGAACCTTTAATTTGTCATCTCAATTTCATGTATTTCACTTAGGAATTATTACAAACACTTGGTGTGCACATCTTTACACACAAAATCTGAACCATATAGAGTTCATCAAACTCATCCCTTATGTGATTTCAATTTCTTTTTGTAGCAGAGAAAACCAATCCATCACAACAACTCATTAATCAACTTAAACATCAATAAAACCACTTAAATTCATCATTAAACCAACATCAAAATTATCATCATAAACAGCCCTAAATTCATAAAACCTAACCTAAAATCCATGGAATTAATCAAGAAAAGATAGCTTAATCACCTTTTAATGCTTGTAGGAGACTAATTCATCAACTTCTCATCAAAAGGGCATGAAAACACATCATTTAACCAAGAGGGCAGCTGCTGGTCGCTGGACATATGGATGAAGAACTCATCATATAAAGCTCCTAAGGATGAACAAGTTGGTAGGTTTTGCTCCTTAGGTTACTAGCATGAAGTTTTGTGAAGAAATTTATGGAAGAAAATGGTTAGAAAACATGTTGCCAAGCTTCTCTTGCTCACAAGGTGCACACTGTTAAGGAAGAGGAGAAAGACTACATGTATCGTGACTTTGAGAAAGAAAAGAAAGGGCTGTCGATCTAAACATATATAATACCACTAAATATTTGTTTATTTTATTTACTTGGTATTTATTTAACTATCAATAATTAGATTACTCATTTGTTTCATAAAAAAAAACTCCTCTAAACTTCCATAAATTTCATAGCTTAACTTAATCTACATTAATGAATTAAGCTACTTGAAAACATATATGCATCTAAAATAAATATATATCTCACTAAGTTATATTATTTTTCATAATTAATTACTTTTATAAGTAATATTTCTTATTTACTTTTATAATTATTTTCATATATAGCATCTTAACTTATTTTCTATAAATTCATCATACCTCTTCTATTTTATTTACAAACACTATAAATCTATAAATTTTCCATACCATTATTTAAATTCTTAAAATTATAATTAGACTTCATTTGTATTTTAGCCTAATTTTCAAGATTTTCACTAATCCTTCCCTTCAATTCTCATTTAATATATTTTAATATATGATATTCAAACTTAGAAATGCGAGGTGTTATAATTTCTCTGAAGAGGTGTATGTGTCCATTCTTGAAGGGGTGGTTTCGGATAATCCAATACAAGTTTGCAAGCTTCAGAAGTCTCTATATGACCTCAAACAAGCTAGCTGTCAATGGAATGCAAGACTTACCATAGAGCTCTGACAACTTGGTTTCTACCAATCCAGTATAGATCATTGCTTTTCACCAAGGCTACTGTTGGCTCCTTTACTTGTCTTCTTGTGTAGGTAGATGACATGGTTCTTGTCGGCAACAACATTGAAGAGATAAAAATGGCGAAACACCATTAAGATGACAAATTTCGTATCAATGATCTTGGGCCACTTCATTTCTTCCTTGTGATGGAAATAGCTCGATCTAAGAAAGGTTTAGTATTGAATCAGAGAAAATATGTTTAGAATTACTCTCTGAAAGCGGGTTACTTGGTGCCAAGCCTGCATCCTCTCCAATGGAAGCTTCATTGTGATTGAAACAATATCAAGGTGAGTCATTTGAAGACCCTGCACTGTTTAGACGTTTGGTGGGACGTATAATTTATCTAACAAATACTAGGCCAGATATTTGTTTCTTCGTGCAGCAGCTCAGCCAGTTTGTGGCCAATCCTATGAAGGATCACTACACTGCAGCCTGTAGGGTACTTCATTACTTAAAGGCCGCTCCAGCTAAGGTCCTCTTATTTCCTACGAAGAATTTGTTGTCCTTGTTAACATTTGCAGATGCAGACTGGGCTATATGTCTAGACACCTGCAAGTCCACCACAGAATATTGAATCAACCGGCGAATGTTTATTGTGATAATCAAGCTGCAATTCACCTTGCACACAACCCTTCGTTTCATGAGCGAAGCAAGCACATTGAGCTTGATTGCCATGTGACTAGAGAGAAGATAGTTGCAGGCTTGCTTCGGTTGCTACTAGTCTCCACCACACATTGGGGTTGTATAACATACACTGCCAACTTGAGGGGGTTGATATGGAATATATTTTTATTTCACCTCTATTTATCACACATGATTCTTTTATTTAATAGTTCGGTAAGTTAGCTTTCTGTTAGTATAGTTAGCAAGTGGTGATTCTGTTACCTATGCCACATGGTTATCCTTTTTTTGTTTGTAGCTGATGTGCCTAGTATATATAGGGTGACACTTTGTACTTTACACTTACTTTTCATTTTCATTAGTTTTATCAGAATGAATAGAATTTCATCCCTTCGATATTGTAAGAGGATATAATATATGTACTGCATTGATGTAAAATAGTCTAGGATGTAGAATCTAATATAAAATAGCTAGAATGTAAAAATATATGTACTTGACTCAAATCCATGTACAAAGTAATGAAATATGTTTGTTTTATCAATCGATGTTTAAAAATTTATATTCCTCTATTTTATTGTTATTATTGATAAAGTATAGTTTAATAAGTAATGTGATATTCTCTATGTTAGTTAGCTATAAAAGATGTTACACGTGTCGTGTCAACCCATACAAAAAGTTATTAATGTTGGTGATAATAACTCGTACATTTCAATTTGTGAGTTATCCGTATCGCGTCATATAAACCTACAGAATTTCTGGGTTGTATTAGTGTTGAAGATTTTGACACGAATAAAAATTCGTGTTGATATATTCGTATCGTGTCAACTCGAATTGATATCCTTACGAACATATATTGAATAACAAAACACAAGCATAATTTTTCTAATTACTTGTTAGCTGTTCCTTTTATTTCTGTGGCTTTTATTGGGGAAGTGCATGCTTGGTTATATATATATTTTATTTCTTTTAAAAAAAAATAATATCTATAAAGTTTTACTTAAAAATTGTATTTTTTATTTTAAAATAACATACTATATACGCATTAAATATTGAATGTTGTATTATTATTTTTGGACTAGTATTAAATGTTAGATTAAGTGTTTGAGCAAAGCATAATTGTGTTAAAAAGAAGAAGCGAAGTTTTAGCTGTGTTGGGCTTGCTATAGTAACTTCATGAATCTTTATAACTCTTTCAATAATCTTTTAAAGGAAATACAACTCTCGTGTTGCAAGAAAAATAAAAATTTTTCCCTGCTAACCCATAGTAAAACGTATCATTTGTCATTTTATTTATTTATTAAAACAATGGATTTCACATGACATTATCTCTGCAGAAAACTCAAAGTCTTTCCTACAATAGGAGATACTTAAACCCCGTTTTTAATTGGGTGGATCAGATGTCCTGTTAGAGGTTATTCTGCAACTCATTTTTAACTATGTACTTCCGGAAGTACATAGTTATAATATTATTATTTTTTTTTAACTATGTACTCGCGAAAAATACGTAGTTAAAAAATAATTGCAAAAATAAACAGTACCATTTCTACAATATAATTATTATATTTCCAATTTTTAACTACTAAATGAATGTGGCGTAGATTGCTTGCTTAAGCATGGCGTTTCACTACAACCACTTTACACCTGCTTAAAAATATACTAAATGACTAGCGTTTAAGTCGCGCACACCCCAGATACGCATCTTGCAGAGCGTAAGACGTGACAGACATTTTTTGGATTTTACACAAGTCCCGCATAGGACATGCGCAACTTAAACGTTCACTTTGTGTATTTCACTAGCATCAAGTGGTGATGATATGTGTATCTTTTTTACATCACAACAAACAAAAAAACCATGCATTTAAGCTTTGTTTGGGAGTTTGGAGGGGAAGGAAAGGAAGAGGATCCAAAGGGGAGGGAATTGGAGGGAATCCCCTTCCCTTGTTTGGGAGTCAAAAAAATGAAATGGGAGAAAAATGGAGGATTAATGAGATATTTTTACCATTTTATCCTTTTTAAATTAATATAATTATTATACTTTACAAATTAAATTAAATTCAAAATTTCTAAAAAAATTATTTATATACTTTTCTCACTACTAAAAAATAACATATTTTCAACGAAATTTTTATGTTGCAAATGACGAAAATTTCGTCACAAATTTTTTTTTTCGTCGAAAATTGTCGAAATTTTTTCTTCGATGAAAATTTTTAAAAAAAATAAATTTTCTATCGAAATTTTCGACAAAATTTAGTTTTCGTCATAAGTCTTGAGGAAAATGATTTCCTACATCAAATGTTTTAAACGAAAAAAGAATTCCGTCAAAAATGTTGACGAAATATTTTTCGTTCAAAATTTCGATAGAAATGTGTTCTAACAAAATTTTTGACGAAAAGTGACTTGTCAAAAATTCAGAGCGAAGTGTTTGATTCGAAACTTTAGACGAAATTTAAATTTTGTAAAGGATTTTGACAGAATATTTTTTCTGTCAAAATTTTTTATCGAAATATTTTTCGTTGAAAATTTTTACAAAAATATTTTTTGTCGAAATTTTTTGACAGAAATGTGTTCTGTCAAAATTTTGATGGAAATGTTTTTTTATCAAAAAACTTGCCGAAAATATTTTTCGTCGAAAATTTTCGATGGAAATTTGTTTCGTTACAAATTTTGACGGAAATTTTTTTTGTCAAAAAGTTTAACGAAAATGTTTTCATTGAAAACTTTCGATGAAATTTTAATTCTGTAAAAATTTTGATGAAATTTTTTTCATCACAAATTTTCGATGGAAATGTGTTTCGTTGAAAATTTTGATGAAAATATTTTTCGTCAAAAATTTCGATAAATATATTTTTTTGTTAAATATTTTGATAGAATTTAGATTCTGTAAAAAATTTTGACAAAATAAAAATTCGTCAAAATTTTTACAGAAATGTTTTTAGTCACAAATTTTGATGGAAATGTTTTCCGTAAAAAATTTTGACGTAATTATTTTACGTCAAAACTTTTTGATGGAAATGTGTTTCGTCAAAATTTTGAACGAAAATTTTTTCGTTAAAAGTTTCGACGGAATTTAGATTCTATCAATTATTTTGACTGTTTTTTTTTTCCGTACAAAATTTATATTAGTGATTATGGCAAAATCTGGTTCCGTCTCTCATTTCATCTTTAGTTTTGACGAAAACTTTTTTGACGTGTATGATTGTCATTAAAAATTTCATCACTATTTTTGACGAAATATTTTTAGTCAATAAATTCTGTCGGTATTTGAGACTTTTCTAATAATATCGTATTTAAAAATGATTCACAATTATGTAGTTTTAGCATTTTAATGCTAAGGGTAGATTAGTAATTTTTAATATTTTCCTCCTCAAACCCTCCAAATTGGGAGAACTTTAATTTTAAGAAAAACGAGGGTTTTGGAGGGTTTAGTAAAAATCTCCAAATTCTTCACCTCCTTTTTTTAAACTCACAAACAAGGGAAGAATTTACTAAAATGCTCCATTTCCTTCCCTTCTCCTCCTAAAACCAACTCTCAAACAAAGCCTTAGGGTTTATTGTTTTTTATACTACGAGATAAATTTATCTTCTATATATACATAAAAATATGTGGAATTTATAACTTTTTTTTCTCTCTTTTCCTTATATGAACCCACCCACTTTTATGTGAGTGTGGGAGATAAATTTATCTATACAACATAATAATTAATAAACATTAAACCCCTACATAAAAAGGTTTAATGCTTCTCATGTTATCAGAGATAAACATTGTTTCTTACGCGCAAAATGTGTGAGACCCATGTTTTCTCGGTCTCTCTTCTCCTCACATTGATCCACATGAGTCTCACAACTCTTTATGTGTCTTAGGAAATAAATTGATCTTCTAAACACGAGAAACATTAAATCCTAAATAAAAAGGCAAATACAACAATATAAAAAAAAAATAAAAAAACGCAAATACCAAAATACCAATTGTCGAGTTATATATATCCCATGATAAAGGACAGAGAACAAGCAGGTATCTGGTATTAAATCCTAGAATTCCAATATTCGACCAAATAGAACAACAGAACACATAAATAAGATGTTATGCAAATTACAAATTTCAACAAAGACAAAAAACGCTGGAAGTAATTTTCAAATATCACGAAATTCACAATACGACAAAGGAAGAGAGCACCCACGACATGAAGTAATGAACAAGCAGGACTGCGTGCGCTCAAAGTCAGGCGTCTCCGACGCTACTATCTCCGGCGGCGGCGTCGGTGGTTTTAGAATCAGCAGGGTCAGGAACGACGTCGTCAGGGTCACGGGTCGGGTCGGACTTGTCGATGGAAGAGCGAGTCTTGTCAAGGAAGGGTTTGAAAGCGAGCTCAATTGCGAGCCACACAAATGCTAGGGCTCCAACCACAACCATCGCGTCTTTTGCCTTCGCCATCGTCTCTCTCTCTTTTTTCTTTTCTTTTCTTTTTTTCTCTTTATCTTCTCTCTTCTTCTTTTTTGTATAAGAATTTCTCTTATCTTCTTTTCTCTTGTAACGCAGATTAGTTACCCACACCAAACACCACAACTTCCCAAACCTTAGCTCCTTCCTTGTATACACGACGCAAGTTGAAGTTGACCGATTGCTCACTCTGCCTTTTACACGTATTAAATAATTATAACTGAATGAAACTTCTTTGTTCTTTCGATCTTATTGCTCTCGTCCGTCAAAAACTAAAATATATAATCTCAAGGGCTAGGCTAATCTAATAACCAATCAATTAGGACTTTTTGATTACTGGAGCCTTAATTTAATAATTCATTATTAATTCATTATTCAACTAAAACATATCACTCATTGTTCTTGTTTACGTAAAATAGAAGTCAAAAGCTAATTTTTTTTTTAAATTTAAATATTTTTAAAAAAATTTAAATAACTTTACCTTTTCAAAAAACACTCCTAAAATAATAAGACATAAAAGCACTTTTCATAAAAAGTACATTTATAACAAAAAGTACATTTATTAGGAGCCCTTCCAAATGGATCCGAAGGACTCGTTTAGATGAGCTTTTTTTCTTCTTCAAAAACTATTTTTTTCTTTAAAAAAAAGCATTTTTCATTTTTTGTTTGTTTGAATGTCTGCTTTTAAAAAAACAGAAATCACAAAAAAAGTTAAAAACCTACTTTTTTCATAAGCTTAAAATTTTAACTTCTAGAAAAAACAGAAGTCAAAAGTCAAATATTTTTTCAAAAACTAAATATTTTTATAAAAATATAAATAACTTTAACTTTTATAAAAAACACTTCTAAAATAAGAAAGAGATAAAAATTACTTTTTTTGAAAAGGTCAAACAAACGGAGTCTAAATCTTGGTTTCAATCCCTTTCAAATTTGAGTTTTGGTTTGCCATTTATTTTTAAAAGTGAACACTTTTTAAGTTTTTATCCTTCCCTTTGCATTGTCCGAGAATTTTGTCTAATCCCCACATATTGTAAACCCTGCTTACATCCTTTTTAGAATCCCAAATTCGTGGACTCTGATTTCATTACAGCAGCCCAAAATTCAAACATCATTAATTGCACATTAATTCAAGACACCAGTTACGAAATTGACTTCAAACTCAGAACCCACCACAAACTTTCCCTCTCATTGTAACAACGATACTGGCCAGTGGCCATAATGATCTTTAATTTATGCTTGACGTAGAAAGAAAAATTAAAAATAAAAGTAGCTTAAAGAAAGAAAAAAAGATATGGAAATAGACTACTATACAATTATCTTGCAGTTACGTCAAGACCGAGTCTCTGAATCCAGAATCCAATACTTTCTGTCCAACACTACAAAGCATATTAAAATGGGTTAAAAATTTCTTTTGTTACGGGAGGAACTTTTAACTTTCCTGAATAAATAAACAAAAATGGAACCCACCGAATTCTCTTTAAAAAAAACGAAAAAGGGCTGACTGTTGCTGTCTGTACAGAAGAAATGTAACAGGAGAAATTTTTATTCCTATTAAAATATATGAAAAAAGTTATACTTACCACTTTTTTTTTACAACCTCTTACAACCATATATCATAACCGTTGATTTCCGTCAATCAACGATTGTCATTTATTATGAATTAATAATTAATTAATGAGTTTAATTTACGAAAATCATAACCGTTGATTGACGAAAATCAACGGTTATAATATATGATTGTAAGAGGTTGTAAAAAAAAAAAATTGTAACTATAACCTCTCCTAAAATGTATATAAACTTGATAATTTTTTATTATCTCCACATCTGTGTTAATGTCCTTAACTATCAGCCGGTTTAAGTACACCAGTTCATTTCAAAATATTTACTTTGCATCATTGTTGAAGAATTCAGTAAAAGATCCAATCTCAGAGTAACTGGCGGCGTTAAAACTCAAGAATCGGTCCAGTCAGTAATAAAACTACTTAAGCCCTGCCCCAGATATTTGGTTTTATCCCTTAAAAAGGGTGTCAACTTTAAGGTCCAATATATGTAATAAAAGTCTTTAACACAGCCACCATTACGAACAAGGACAATCATCAGTAATTCCTATAACTTTCCTTATCTTGGACAAACTGCACATATAGGCAGTTTTCTTTCAGTTGAGAGGTATTAGGCATTATCCAACATGAAGGAATTATAAACTAGAACTTTAAAGCACTGATGTAAGAAAGTAGCAACAATACCAGGTCAACATGACTAATTAACAATAACACTCCTTTGATGTCTTTAAAACTGCCCAGAAAATTCCCCTACAATAAGGTACAAGCAAATGCCACAAAATTTGTGATACACAACTCAGCGGCCACGACCACGGCCGCGTCCACGTCCTCGCCCCCTTCCTCGTCCCAAAGGCTTCCCTGCAAATAAAATCAAAACTTTGAAAACCAGGAATCCATAGATAACAGCCAACCCTAATGGGTCTTTATGAAAAATATTGCAGTGACAGTCAAGTAATATACAGTACCAGCAGTTGGCTTCTTAGGCTTGACCCTAGGAGTCTCTTCAACCAGTAAAGTCTCAAGATTCAAGCTGTCAGGAAGGATATAATAACGAATGTTGTTACCTCTCACACTGAGATGATCCAAAGTAACTGGGTTTTTCCCTTTCAGGGTTAGTTTAACTGTTTTCAAATGTGTATTCATACTGATATCAACACCTGTAGCATAGCAACAAGTTCAAGGATCAGTAAAACTAGAGCTTCATAACACTTCTAAGTTTTCAACCCATCCCAAATAAAAGGCTCTGAGATTAAATGGCAAGCACTTTATTTAAACATGAGCTGACATGTTTCACTCGTTAAAGACAAGGAAATTCCTTGGTGCTTAATTTGATTGTGTTTGGATACTAAGTAGCAATATATTGCACAATTAGAAATTTAAAATATGAGGGTTCACTATCCTCAAAACATGTCCACTTTCAATTAATTATAAACATTACATAAAGGAAAGTTATTGTGTTCGCTACTCATATATGAAGCTAAGGGACACACCTGCACCACATTCCAAAATTAATGCAACCAAAGACAACAGATGTAATATGTCCATAACTTTTGAGTTTTCTATTTATGTTACTAAGTCAAACTAAATTCAGATGGGTTTGGGTTCAAATTTCAATCAGAAGCAAGAAAGGAGAATGGTGTATTTCTACCAAGTTTGGCCTAGGTAAGATGTATAGGCTGAACTGGGAGTCTGTATCAATGAATGGAACAGGCACAAAAGAATAGGCTTTGAAATGATGCAGATGCAGTATGGGAATTCTAAATTACAACAGTTTTATTAAGCATAGTTGTTCTAAACGCTAGGAGGTTGGTTACTGCCAAGTGCCAACCCAAGTGAATTATGCAGACTCAAGATTTTAATATACCTCATACCAAAATGTCTAAGCAACAAACATCTTCCTACCGTTCCAAGTCTAAAGTTTAAGCCGTCATCAATTGCTATTTTACATCTAACATCATAAATAAATCTATTAAGGAGAAAAGAGGGACAGCACAAATAAGGGGAGGACAAGACATTGTTCAAAACAGAAAAAGACAAGAAACAACCCATGCATTATGTAAGGTATAACTTTGAAAAGAGCAAGAAGTGGAATATGAAAAATTCACGAACCAGGAAAGCTATTCAATCTCTCTACCATGTCAGAAATGGCAATTCTCTCTGAAAAAGTTTAGAGCATAACACCAAAGAAAAGCCCAAAAAAATCCTATCCTCTAGCAAGTTTAGGTGCAAAGAGATACTTCAAAGTTCAAACATTATTAATCTAAAACAGAAGCTAGCTAGGGGCTACATAGATACAAAGAAGCAGAAAACTACAACTTATTCCATGGAATAAAACATCAACATCTAGTCCCATTAAATTAGGAAAAAAGGATTCCAAATCATATTCATTTTGCTGTAAGTTGTAACCTATCATGCTGATAAGAGAATTCCCATCTTATTGTCTCTAAGGAAGTAACAGTGCAGCTGCCTATTCCCCTTGACATGACAGGAAGCTATTAACATAGGAATTACAAGTAAGGAAGTCATATATCAAACATAGAAATCTTCTGTAAGCTGCAAATAAGTAGAACGGAAAAATATGAAGCTAAAAATTGGACATTGTTGATTATGAAAAACCTACATCGATTAGCAACACAGACACTTGATATCATATTCCATACAGATTTCATTAGAATTCAATCCGCTAAACTCTAAATAATCACAGGCATTTACTGTGCAATGTGAAAATGCAATTCAAACTAGTAAAGTAACGAGTAAAAATAGGGAAGATTTTCAAATTCAAACGAGAAAAGGTTTTAAAATTCAGGGGTAACATTTTAGAGTAAAACACTGTATTAGGTTTAGCATTTGGGAAACCAGTGTGCTATCCCTGCAATATCAAAGACTAAATGCTGTAACGCTAAACCATAAATGCTTAAGCGCGAAACCAGACCTAGGGTTTAACAAAACCAGCAACCAAATCATGAGGCGAAGAATAGTATAATCTGAAAATAGTGGAAGAGTGAAGAGAGTACCTGTAACGGTGCCATGAACAATAGTACCGTTCTTGAGTTCAATCGATACAGTTTCGTTGTTCAACTTCATGAGAAACCTGCTCGAGTTTTCATACAAAGGTTTTAGGTTAAGATTTAAAAAAAGAAAAAGAAAAAGAAGTAAAGAAAAGGAAACGCATAATAAGAATGGAGAGAGACGAGTAAACGACAGAGTTGAGACCTAACGAGCTTCATGCTGGCAGAGAAACGAGAAGGAGAAGATGAAACCACCGTCGCAGAGGAGACTCCCTAACAGCACCAAAATCTCCAAGTTGGGGTTTTGGGCTCGAAACGACAATAGCGTTTAGTTGCACACAGTACATGAAATGAAACCCTCTGCTAAATAGAAAATTAAATCAAGAGGAAAAATCAATGCATTTATACTAATTTAAACCTATGCTTAATGCCATGTCATTACTTGTGATTTTTTATTTTTTTGGAGGTTACAAGGAATTGAACATAACACCTACATTACACACACTCCTAACACACACACACCCCACACCACTAGGCTAACCCTAGTGGTTTTTTTTTTTTTTTTGGAGTTACCCGACCCTAATTATCTCTTTGAGACGAGTTGGCTCCCTCCGGTATCCCCACGAGCTTCGACTCTTTGAGCCGGCTATGGGACTAATCCGGAGTGCGGGGGAACAGTGATGACTAAAGGTTCAGCCCCCTCCCCAAGAATGCATTCAGCGGGAATCGAACACATATTTAACCCCACTAACTCAGCGCCAAGTTACCAACTGAGCTGCACCCATTGGGTTACCCTAGTGGTTTTTTTTTTGGTAAAAAACTCTAATATAAATAGGTGAAGTATGTGAAAAAATTATATCTTTTTCATACTTTTATCTTTTGTATTTATTTCATATATCCTTTTTAAAATTATGATTCATTTGTTTAAAGGTTAAAGACTTCCATGTAGACTAAATGGTGGTAGCTCAGTTGGCGCATGGGAGCTAAGCAGGTGGGGGTGAGAGCACGTGTTCGAATCTCCTCCATACCACATTTTGGAGAGATTTAAAGCCTTAATCCTGGATCCGCCCCTGAATTGGATTAGTTGTGAAACAATGAACTGATTGAAATATTAAAAAAAAAAAAAAGACTCCATGTAGAAGAATAATATGTGGGTTTTATTTTTATTTTTTTTAATGTGATCCACATATTTATTGTGTCATGTAAGAGAAGATATTTTCTTATGTGATATGAAAAGCTTTTAACTCTTTTTTTTTTTTGTGTTTTTTTTATTAGGTTCTCTACAAGTGTTTGTGTAAAGCTTTTAACTCTTAGTTTAAAGAGAAAGGTTATTCTTACAACTTATTTTCGTTTTCAACCGCTTATAATCATATCTTAACCTTTGATGCTATCAATCGATGATTATTATTTTGATAAATCAAACTCATTAATTAATTATTAATTCACAATAAATGATAACTGTTGATTGGCGAAAATCAACCGTTAAGATATTTTAAAAGATTATAAACGAAAATAGATTGTAAGTATAACTTTCCTCTAGTTTAAGTATTTAAACATTTTCAATATACATACGTGTAGAGTCGGCAAAACGGGCTCGGCTCGGCGGGCCAACCCGCCCAACCCGTCAAACGGAGCGGGGCAGACTGAGTTTTTCAACCCATCTCAAAAGCGGGGCGGAGCGGGCTCATTTTCTGGCGAGTTGATGGCGGAAATAGTCGGGCTGAGGCGAGTCAGTGTGTAAAATAGGCTCGGGCTGGTGGGCCAACCCGCCCAATGCGCCAAACAGGGCGGGGCGGGGCGAGCTGACTCATTTTTTGACAGATTGATGGTGGAATGGGACGGGGCGGGGTGAGCTGACCACTTTGCCACTTATACATGACTTTGATTTTCTCATGTTGTGACTTAATTAGTAGTATGATCCACATTTATTTTAAAAAATTATTTTATGCTTAAATCGAAGATTCACAATATGAGAAAATACTTCTTAGGTGATATGTACATAAAACAAAAAAAAAAACTTAAAAATAATTATTGTAATAATATCAGTAATAACAATTGTCAAAATATTTGATCATGACGGAGAAAAAAAAGTCAAAATAGTAAAATATATATGTAGAATATTAATAAAATATTAAAAAGTAATAAATGAAGAAGTAAAAAGAGAGAGATAAAGAAGGGTAAGGCTATGTCGGTTGCTCCACGAGTGGGAAGACCAGATATGTATGTAATGTAACTTTAGACTTCAAATTCTCCTCTTCCGAAGATCCATTCTCCTTAAAACCCTAATACGATTCTTTACTACTTCATTCCCAATTCTATTTCTGAATCCATAACTCCTATGAGCTATCACATGGTAGATTCCTCCTTTCCAAAACCATAATCTCTTCTTTTTTTTTCGTTTTTCTTTGTTTTTGTTTTTTTGTTTTTGTTTTTACCTCTTTTGCTGTTCGTTTTTGTTACTCCCAACTTAAATCTAGGTTGCAAAAAGCATCATGATTAATACGTACGAGAAATCAACACCTTAGATAAATTAAAGTCATTTGATGTCTGCTAAAACAATGTCCTTCTTACTCTACAATCAAAGACAACGTGTTTTTTTCCTCAGTTTTTCTGTGTATTATGTGATGTGACATTTTGAAAATTTAACATAAGACAATTTTCCAATTTCAGTGGCATATAAAAAATTCACTAATCTCGTAAAAGCTTTGTAACACAACATGTTCTCTTTTGTAGAACTATAATCTTTAAGTAAGAATGCACCCTGATGATGTTTTTTTTTTGGTGAGAATCTTGTCTGTGTTAAAGCTTGTTGGCTTGTCAATATACTCATGAATGAAAGTGTTTTGCTGTTTTTGTCTTGTGTCAATGAACTTCACTATCCAAAAGTGTGTGCACCTTTTGCTTGTTCTCAGATACACATGTGCATTGAAATATACATATTGCTCTTTAGTTATATTCATTCAACTCATTTTCCTCTTGGCAATCTTTTGTATTTGATTAGATTAGTGATGAATTGTTTATCTATTGTCATTTTTGTGAAGATAACTCTTACTCTCTTTCTTATTATGAGTATTAATGCATCAGAATAATGAAGAGACACGCAGAGGTTTGAAAAGAAAGCCCCCAGAGTTGGATCGAGAGCAAGAAAATGGATCTTACAATATGAATTCTGGACCTTATGATAGGAACGCGCTTCCTTCTGGTGGGTTTTGCTTTTATTTTTGTTTTTTAAATATGATACACAGATTTGGTTGTCATACATTGAAGATTATTGCGTTCTGCTGAAATATAGCATTGTAAACGAATGAAACTACAAGTTACCTTTGGCATTTGAGGTTTTTTTTTGTGTTTTTTTGGTCCTGCACATACTAGAACTATATGGAAGATGGTTGTGTTTGTTAAATGTCTCGATTGTTCAATATGGGGGAGTTATTTTAGATATTATTATTCTGCTTGGAATTTTAAAGTTGAGTACATCCTTTCAAATGACTATTAGATGTCCTCATTGTCTAAAGAAGACATTTTTCTTTGACTAATTTTCAATTTTATTTTTGTGATAGCATATATACCTGGTTTTCCTGTAAGTTCTGTTCATAGTTGGCTTCATGATACAATTTTCTTTACGTACTGGTTCCAGTGTTGAATTTTTATTTTTATTTTATTTTTTACTGCTCTTCATGCTTATAATAATGTTACAACTATTATATTGTGCTTTATTTTTATTTATTTTATAGTTTATTTATTTATTTTTGGTTGATTCTATATTTCAGGTTGGTTAGACTGCCCAGCACAGGGGCAAGAACTAGGATACATAATCCCTTCAAAGGTTCCACTTGGTGAATCCTTCAATGATTACATCCCAAGTCAAAAATATACTCCCAAGCAAGCAATTATTCAACAGAGAGTCTTAGGTAGAGAAGTAAGTGCACCAAATGCATAGTAGCATCAATTTACTCAGCTAAATATGCTCTGCTTTGGGAAGCTAGGTATCTGTTTTCTCAGTACATATAGGGAGATAATAGTAGATTTTGGAGTGCATAAGCTGTTGTTCTCATTATTTAAGTTCAGTGATAGGATGGTTTTGTTAAATCTTTTGATGTAACTTTTCATCATCTTTTAATGTGTTATTTCTTTTTCCTCGGCCAAAGTTCTATAAATTGTCAAACATTTCCAAAATTTTATTACTTTACAACATTTAAAGAAACTTGTTCTGTACTGGGCTTTACATGCATTTGGTGTTCCAAGGAAGTTTTATTGACAAAAGACAGCTTAGATTGCAGTTTAGAAAGGAAAAAGCATAGAAGCAGGAAGAATGAGGATAATAAGTTCTTATATTTCATTTTTCTCTGTTAATAAATAAATACAGAAAGAGGAATAATCACAGAAAGGGCCAAATTTGCAACATAGTGGGGCTTGTACAAGTTCTATCTCTAACCTGAATAGCTGAATCAAAGATTGAAGGAATAAAATTATGATTTTAAGCAATTTAAGAGCATTTATCATTGTTGTGATTCTACATTGTGTTCCATGCATAACACGTCTGCATTTTTTTTCTTTTTAGTCTTGTATAGAAATTTGTTGCGCCCAGATTCATAGTGCTTAACTCTATTAATTTTGCAGCTTGGTTTAGTGATTGATTTGACAAATACTACTCGCTACTATCCGGTGTCAGATTGGACGAAAGAAGGGGTTGGTCATGTCAAGGTACTGTATGATCTTTAATTCTATTATTTATGGAATTTAATAGCAAATAAATTTAGATTTTTGACTTGCTTGTGGCAGATAAGATGCAAAGGAAGAGATTCTGTACCTGATGATGAGTCTGTAAAAAAATTTTGTGATGAGGTAGCTTCCATTTGAAGTGTTGATATGTGTGAATTGTGCAGTTCAAAAAAATTTGTCTTGATTAATGCTTACAATGTAATAGTTAAGTATCTTCTTCTTGTTTGCGTTCCTAGGAATGGTGGTACAGTTCCTGATATCTCACTTGAGGTTTTATGATTTATACTTGTTAGACATGCTTTTTAGGTTCTGGATTTTTGCTCCCGAAGAACAAACCCAAAGAAATATATACTCGTACATTGCACACATGGGCATAATCGTACAGGTTATATGATTGTTCATTTTCTTGTCCGTACAGAATCAATTTCTGTCACCGAGGTGAGTAAAATATCATGGGACTGTTCATTGGTTTTTTTTCAATAACTGCTTGACTCCAATAATAATTGTTTTGTGCATATATCTTTCAGGCAATAAATAAATTTGCTTGGGCACGTCACCCAGGAATATACAAGCAGGACTACATTGACGCCCTGTACATGTTTTATCACGAAAAGAAGCCTGAAGATCTTGTTTGTCCTCAAACTCCAGAATGGAAGAGACTTTCTGATCCTGAATTTCATGGTGTGGCTGTCCCAGCTGTAGACAATTATGGAGACATTCCTCAGAAGGTAGTTGCACCTTCTTGTTGGCACAGTTTGTTTAACTCCTTAGAGTATGTGATTTGCAGTGCTGTTGCCTGGTTGAATTCTTTACTTGGATGGATGCTTGGAACTAACTTTTCATGAGTTTGTATGCGCATGAGTCTGCCAGTTTAGTTATGCTTTTTTATTTTGTTTTTGTTGAAGAGCATCTGATGTGGGCTGTAAATTGAATTAGCTGCATTCTTTGCATCTTTCTGCCTTCTTTGTTGAGACTTTGATGTATACACTGATAACAGAGCTTTTTATTTGCTTTGATCTAGAATGTTTAACTTTCAATTTATTTCCCGTCCCTAAACAAGTTTTTGTCGCAACTGGAGAGGAAAATTTCCATCAAGCTATTATATTTCCTTAATTGTCACGGAAGGAAATTGTATTTTCTTTTGCCATTTGTCATCCTTCATGGCCTTACTGTGTGAACATGTTGTCTTTTTTGTATGGCTTGTTATCTGAGATGCATTTTTGTGAATAACAGTGTATGAGATTAATATGTGGTCACATTAAAATTGAATTTCTTTTCCTGCTATCACTTTCACTGTTCATTTAAGTTAGTGTGCTTTGTTGAAATTAAGAATATTCTTTATGAAACCTTAAATCACTTCAACTTAATGCTGGTAGTTATATATTTACGTGGATTTTTCTTATGCTTGGTTTGATATTCTAGGAGAATATTGTGAGGGATGAAGTGTTGACAAACGATGATGTTTTGGGAGAGCCCATTCCTTCGAACCAGCTACGTACAATGCAAGACGTTTGTTATCAATTGCTCAAGTTGGGCACAGGGGTGGGTTTCTAAAGTGGCTCTTTGTTGAATTCTGTATATATTTTCTTGAATATGACTCAAACTAACATAATTTGCATAATCTAGTGTTGAAAAGTGATGCTATCATATGAAGGGAGTCACCGAAACCATGCTTATGTTTTTGTCATATGTCCCAAAAACTTCATACTATGTTGCTTTTACTTTCCCCTTTTGTGTCGTTTAGACAATTGTTGTGTTATATCATGGTCAAAGCTTGTAGGTTATGTTTTTAATTTATTCATAGACTTGGAAGACAAACATTTTTAATAAAGCCCTCCAGCCATATACAAAAGATAGAAAATATGGCAATTTGGCTGGAATGTTGTCAGATCAGAGAATAGTCATTTTGCACGTTGATGGTGTTGCTAGTCCTCATTCTTTTTGTCACTTATCTTTTCCTCTTTCGTATTCATTATTGGCATGCATGTGTCTTATTGTAATTTCTACCCTATAAATTTATGAGGATTCATACTTCTGCATGTATTTATCAATTCATCTGCATTATAATAATTCTAATTTTTTAGCTTAGCAATTATCTCTGGAATTTTTTTAATGTCTTGAGCGTAGACTGTCTTTTTGCTTCAGGTGATACTCCATCTTTTCATAGTTAAGGTCCTCTGGCATTCCTTATTCAAACGTTACTTTACAAAATGACCATCTATTACATCGTGAGTCCATGACATACTAATAATTTGTTGTGGGAATGAAGTTGGCTGCTCAAAATATATTGTGGATTTTGAAATTGAAGACTAATGAGTATATTATAAACTGTCAGCTGATATTAGCAACCCCACTAATGCATGATTTTATATTTCTGTGTCTTGGCAACTTTATGGAATGTATTAAATATTCTGATGTATCTTTGTTGTATGATAAATGAATGAAGTAAATTCCTAAAATTTTAAGGATTATTTTACCCTCCATCTTTTATGTGTAAAGTGATCATGTTTGCATCATTATAATGTTCAGCTAATGGATTATTTAATGTATTTTTCTGGGTGATCTACATAGAGGTTGGCAAGCTTGGTTTATTTGATGCGTATTTATGGGTTAAATTGATTTTTTGGCATTCTTTCTCTGGCTTGTAGAGTTTATTGTTTCTTTCAGAGTTATTTCTGATCCTCAATTATTATGTTTCTCTGGTTCCCTTCTCTAATATCACTTGCCACATGAATATTACAAAAATAAAGTCATGCATATCTAGTATAAGGGATTATATTTGCTGCATCTCAATAAAATCCAAAAATAAGTTTGAGGCCAGATAATTATTTGATTTGGAAACGTTAGTTTTTATACATAAATTTATAGAGTGAATTGATTGCTTTATTTTGGGTACTCAAATTTGATATTATCTCTTTCCAGGGTAGAGGACGTTCGCAGTTTCCTGGATCGCATCCTGTTTCTCTTAATAGGTCCAATCTTACTACTTTGATCATTTTGATTTCTATTGTATTGGGAATTATATATAACTTAAGGATGGACTTGGCTATTTTACAGAGAGATGGACATCTCATTTTTCTATATAGTCTGAGGAAGTGATAATACCTAGAATATGTCTTCTTAATTTGACGTCAACGTGCTCTTTTTTGCTTCAATTATTCATTGGAAAAGAGCACCCTGTGCTGTTTATAAAATTTGTGTAATATAATCTTTTAGAAGTCTTAAATTAACAATGCCATCGGTAAACTGGTTTAGCATCATTTTTGCACGAGTTCTCAAGTGAATGGAGTGGCTGGCATTTTATTTTCTACATTAGAACTTCTGTCTATTTTTAATTTAGAACCTTATGTTTTGAGTATTAAAAATTGAATCTGATGGGGAAGAGGGGTTAAATATGTAATTTATGCTTCTGGAGAGCTAGTTGGGCCCTCGAACATAACCTGATTAGAATTTCTGCAGACTTGGATTTGCACATAGACCGCAAAATAGTACAATAACTTGTAACAGACTCAACAACATAACAGGGTCTTAGTGGAAGAGATATCTTAATTTTTACACTGGGATGTCAATGAAGAAGTCATGGTTCAGTACTATATTGAACTTCCATTAGTTTAATTTTGGGATAAATTATATGTCAAAACTATCAGATCCAGATTTGTGACAAATTTGCATAGATTAAAATGGTGGAAGCTCAAATTCAGATTTCTATCTGGTATAAATTTTAATTTAGCTTTGATCAATTAATCAAATTTCTTCATCTTGTGTCAATTTGTATCTTATCGACAAATGATTCCTCTTAGATTAAATTAACTATCACCTTCTGTATTTTGCGTTTACACAGACATTCACTTTCGTTTATTATGAATACTTGCACAAAACTGCCTTTGTATTAATAAAATATGCTACAACTAACTCCAAAATGCTGTTTGGCCTGGTAATTGGTCTGTTAGTTAATGGATGTTTTGTGATCAAATGTCATTCCTAATCCTATCCTTGTTCAGTTTTATATGTTGAGAAAAAGGGAACAATATATTCATTTGATGCAGTTGAGTTCAAGGGAGGGGAGAGACAGTAATTTATTAACACCTGATTTTAAATCTTTTTATTTGTTAATCATCTACTTTGGTTTTGTCAATTGACGTCAGATCAATTTGTTTATGCAGGGACAATCTGCAACTCTTAAGACAACGATATTACTATGCCACATGGAAAGCTGATGGGACCCGATATATGATGCTGATTACTTTTGATGGATGTTATCTGATTGACAGAAAATTTCTTTTCAGAAAGATCAATATGCGGTTTCCTTGCAGATACTCAAATGGGGTATATATGTTTATTCAATTTACTTATGTTGCGAAGAGAGTTTTTATTTTATTTTATTTTATTTTATGTCTTACATGTTATTTTTAATCACAAAACCATTTCAAGAGTACACCTGAGAGGAATCACCATTACACATTACTTGACGGGGAGATGATTATTGACAAGGATCCACATACACAGAAGCAAGAGAGAAGATACCTCATTTATGACTTGGTGGCAATCAATCAAGTCTCTTTGACAGAGGTACACATTGATTGAGAACTGTGGTGTCAAAATTTTACTTACTTCTTGGTTGGTTCATCCTATCAATCCTACTATTATATATATATATATATATATAGGTTAACTATTATTTGTATTTTGCAACTAGTGAAATAATTTGAAGCATCATTATCATAGCAGCAGCATGAAGTTTTAAAAACCCTATTCCCCCCTCCACAATGCACAATGCAAATGAAATGGATTATGGTAAAACATTAAAAAAATGACAAAATACAATATAATGATGTCTGGATCCTTGTAAGTCCCTGGATTCATGTTTATACATTTGCTTAGCACACTTTTGAACTGACCATTTTGGTCTAATGCTGCAGCTGCCATTCTATGAAAGGTGGAAATTGCTGGAGAAAGAAGTAATTGAACCTCGTAACATGGAACGGGAGGGCCTTTCCAAGAGTATAAATCCTTATTATAGATATGACTTGGAACCATTTAGTGTATGTATAACGATATTTACCATTCTATTTTCAGAAACATTTTGCAGTGGGATTAGCTTTTTGTTTATATTTGTTTATTTTTGTTTCAGGTGAGGAGGAAGGGTTTTTGGTTACTATCTACGGTGTCAAAGCTCCTTCATAAATTCATTCCGCAACTCTCGCATTCATCAGATGGTCTTGTATTCCAGGTAATAATTAGTATAACCTCCCAAGTTGAGCTTGGATGTATTGATAGTTGAATCAATAAACAGTTAGCTTTTAGGAAACACCACCTCTTTGAGGATGTTGTTTTGAATTGATGCTCTACTAGTGAAAAAAATTCACTCCCCCATTGAACCTCAACTAGTGAGGGTGGGGTGAGGGCAATCCTTATAACAGTCCATTGTTATTGATTTCGGATTTTATCAGGGTTGGGATGATCCATATGTTCCTCGCACACATGAAGGTCTTCTGAAGTGGAAATACCCCGAGATGAACTCTGTCGATTTCCACTTTGAGGTTGCATAAGTACTTTTCCTCAAGTTCAGAAATTGAATTAGTTTATATTGGGTTAACTCCCTCTCTATCATGCCAATCCGAATACATTGATGATATCTTTGTTGCCAGGTGGGAGCTGGTGATCGTCCCCTGCTTTATCTGTTCGAACGCGGAAAGAAGAAGTTAATGGAAGGGGATAATGTTGTTTTTAAAGGTTGTAGGCCCTAATAATTATTTTATACCATCATAATGTTATTAGTACTATTTATTATTTTTAGGCCAGAAGCTGACAGCTACTTAGAGGAATTACTCAAATTTTTGGCCATACATGAATTTCCTCTTGTAATGAACTATGTATATTCTTTCAGCAAGACTCCATGTCCAATGGAATGACATGGAGTCCGTCTAAAATATAATATAATTCTGGTTGATTTAACTGAATTTTGTATTTGTAAAGCTCAAACCATAATTTTTCTTTTTTAATTTTTGGCTCTAAATAATTTTCAGATGCATCAGATATTTCTTCCTATTCAGGGAGGATCATAGAGTGCTACTGGGATCCTGTGGAGCATTATTGGGTCTGTATGCGGATCAGAGTCGACAAATCTACTCCAAATGATATCAACACCTATAGAAAGGTTATACTTATTATCTTTTACCATTCTACTATGCTCTCTAGTCTCTTCTTTAGGTTGTACATGTTTTTTTTAATTATTTCATATGAAAACCTGATGAACAGTTTATTTTGTAAATATTTTGATACAGGTAATGCGAAGCATAAAGGATAACATCACAGAAGATGTCCTGTTGAATGAGATAAGTGAGATCATTCGCCTTCCCTTGTATGCAGACAGAATACAAAGGGATATCAAGGCTCACCAGCATATGGTCTCTTCACGTCGCAAGTGAGTGATAATCAAAGCTAAGCATGTGCAATGTCGTACGCTAATTGAAGAGCAAGCAAGACTTGTTAATGAAGTGCCAGGCGAGATGTACATTTTCGTTGCCAACTTTATTATATTCGTGCTACGTTCTTGTCAGTCTCATCCCTTAAATACCTCAGGAAAAAGTTTTAGAGGTTCTATGATTTTGTTGGGTTAATAAGATTTTGGTCGCTGTTGTATATTAGCAATTTTGCCTATTTACTTTCATTTTTCACCCCCTCCTCACACAGTGGATCACGAGTTTATAAGGTCTTGTTGGAAAAAGCTCTACACAAACGGCTTTGATGGGGATACAGTAATACAAGATTTCAATACCATTTTAATATATTTTATACTTCATAGACATGCTGCTTTACGAGAGTTTCCACTTGTTCTTATGCTTTGTTTTGAGCAATTAGTGAAAAGTATATAATTGATAGTGCAGTGCCATATGCGGTATCGTTTTTTATTTACTGCCACATTCTAAATCTTTTATTCATTTTTAATTCTGTTTTTTCATGAAATGCTTAACTATTGAAAGATCCACACAAGCAAAAAAAAAATAAAAAAAAATTCTTTCATTAAGTGCACTTTTTGGGCCAATGTACGCATCTTCAACAACAGATTTGCCTTTGGTTGTGGACGATGACAGCAAGCTAATTACTATGATGGGTTTGTCCTAACAGTTGACAAAGGAGAATGAGAGTCGAAAATTTTATTTGCCATTCATGCCAAATGATATTTGGATATTCCTTTATTTTTGTAAATGGATGAAACTCAGTCAGTCACCTAAATAATGAAGATTAAGATCTGGATGATAATCATAATGCTATTGCACTAGAAAAATGACATTTATGTACCTCGTAAGTGTTCATATTTTTAATTTATATTATGTTTATAGTTACTATTCCATTTATTGGGATTGTTGGATTTAAATTTTTAATATGTCTTGCTTGAATGATAATCAGGTTAAGTCATTGTAAATTATAAGCGCAAAATTTCAATCTTTTTTTTTTAACGGAATACAGATTCCGTCAATAAGCAAAAGTTTTAAACCTATTTGCGACTGAATTTATCTATCCAAAATAATATGACAATTTCGACGGACTAGACGATACATTCAATCGAAAAAAATAAAAATTCTTTGATCCAATTTTATGACAAAAATTTGATGGAATTTTTTTCGACGGGATATAATTTGACGTACATTGATTGTGACAAGAAACGTCAAAAATAGATACGGAAACCCTTTCTATTAATATTGATTGTCAACCATAATTTTTCTACGAACATGAACTTGTTTTGGCGGAATAAGTTTCGTTTGAATTTTCCACGGAAACAATTGATATATCGAAGAGCATGTTTGAATCCTCTTTTTTTTAAGTTAGAAGCTAATATAAACTAAAGTTAAAAAAAAAAAAGCTTAAAAATTTATCGAGCTTGTTTGGATTTTCTTATTTGAAAATTACACAAAAATTTTAGCTTAAAAATTACTTAAAAACACATATTTCAAGAAAATTATCTCTCTCTATATCTTTATCACTCTTCATTCGAAAAAAAGCATACAATTCAAGAAAAACAGATAAAAGCTTAAAAAAAAGTTCCTCATAAGAACTTTTCTCAAAACTTGTTTGACGTAACTTATGCTTATAAATCTTTTTTAGCTTAAAAAAAGAGAGGATGTAAACATGCACGAAATAACAATTCCAACGAAAAAAATCTGTCCGATTTTGTAAAAAATTTCGTCGATCCGTATCCGTCGATAATAATGCCTCTTTTTAATAGTGGAAGAATAGGAAGAGGAGAGTGTAAGGAGAATTTTACCGTTGGAATCAATCATATTTGTAGTTGTAGACATATTAGACATTAGGGTACTTGGAATTAGCTTGGAGGCATAGTGCAAAGCCACCTTCTATTTATGGAAGTGGATTTTTTACGTGGCATGAGGTCATGTGAAAGGATGGCAAGCATTCAAATAGAGAATAGAAGATGAGAGAAACAACTGGATGATGGTGAATCATATTTTATTCAAAATGATTAAGCTCATGCTCAAGTTTCTCAATTCCAAAACAACAGTTAGATAATTCGCGTTAACTGATTTTCACAAATATAATCATAAAGAGTGAAAATCATGTCTAGTGATAATTTTCAACGCGATTTACTGATATAACACAAAAAATTCATGTTTGGATTGACTCATTTTTGTGTGTGTGTTGAATCAATGTTTATTTTCAAGTTAGAATTTTTTGAGGTTATTTTGTTAAATTATTGTTTTTTGGTATTATTTTATTTGTGTCACTTTTTTTGTGATTTCTTCTCTGTTGTTTATTTTTTCTTGTTTTATGGGTAGTTGTGATATTTTCTTAAAAAAATTAATTCTGTTAACTTTAAATTTGAATGAAAAATCAAGTTAAGGAGGTAAATGATTAAAAATTTTGGAGAAGGAATAAGTGTTTATGAGAAAACTTACCGAATTTTTTTTGAAGTTTCACTAAAAATTTCATAATAATGAATACTTTCGCAAATCTTATAAACAGCTAAAAAAAACGCCAAAAGTTCACAAAAAGAATTACAAGTGACAACCAACGCCGCCTGAATCCAGTGCCTACAAATAACATTGTTATTGTCGTGTTTTAGATTTTTATTTTTTTTAGTTAAAAGTTTAGGTGAGGGAATTAAGTACTTTGTAATAAATTATGTGTTAAATTTCTACTAACGTATAACAAAAAATAAAATTAGGTGGGGTTAAACACTTAGAATTTGAATCAGTTAAATGATAATAACGCAGTTGACACATAAGAACTGAGCAGGTGAGGATAATATCATCTGTTCTGTGTTTATCTTCTTCAATATCATATTTGGAAGAAATTTAAAATCTTAATCATGAACCTGTTACTAACAAATTATCTTTTAACACGAAACTTTTCAATGTGCTTTTTGCCTCACTCGCACACTTCCCGTGAAAACTTCTCAGGAAGTCACCCATCCCAGAATTTCGGGCTACCGAAAAGCATATGCATCTTATGTATAGGTAGTACAAATTAACTCTTATAAGCTATTCCAAACTGTGCAGTCTCACACTTGCACAGTCTTTGGAATCTCTCTTTCGGGTGTCGATTCGATTCATTCATGCATGTAACCCCCGCTGGAAGCCTATCAGGAGTCGCTCCTTATCCATGTCCTTTCGCACCGGTGATCACTCTCTGCCCTCGTTAGCACTCGAGATATTACATGTCCACCAGCTTCCGCCTGATTCATCCTCTAACCACACCGTACTGGAAGAGAGACCCTGTTCTGATACCACTTCTAACGCCCGACAACGTGTATTTTTTTCTCACTCACACACAGTAGCCTCCAACCGGAGCCCGGGCCAAAAAATTACATGTATATTTATTTTTCTACTTGAGTAGGAAGCATGAAAAAGAATTATAATTTTATTAAATATTTTTAAATTTTATTGAATATATTTTAGGAAAAACTTCAAAAATAAAATCCTATTAGTTTTTTTAATTATCACTTACCCCCTCACAAATTTTTTGAATCATTTACATTCTTATTTAGATTTTTTTATCACTTACCCCCTGACTTAAAGTTTTTTTATCATTTACCCTCCTAATTTAAGGGGTAAATGATAAAAAAAACTTTAAGTTAGGGGGATAAATGATTCAAAATTTTGGAGAGAGGGTAAATGATTATGAAAAAAGTTATAAGGGTTTTTTTGAAATTTTTCCTATATTTTAATTTTTTTATATAAATGGAAATAGAACACATAACCTAATACAATTTCTCCAAATCTCTCACTAAATATATTTTTTTTGATAAGGCCAAATTACAAATTTTAGCCCGGGTCAGATTATAATTTTAGACTGAGCCAAATTTAATTAATTATATAAATATACATAATAAGTATAATTTGTTAAAATTTAGCCCACGCAAAAACCACACTCAGGTACAACGTGACTCCATCACTGCTCACACACTTCCCAAGAAGTCACCCATGAAAACAACAACAACCGAATCATGACTAGCATTTGCATTAGATACATACCATTTATCTAAAAAATACTTATAATTTGATTTTTTTATTATAAAAATTACATATTACCCATCAACTAAATCGTCACATCAACCATCACTATTCGAATTTACGCAGCCAAATCCTTGAACAACTGTACGCAGTAACGCACCCTCGTTAGACCCCCGGTCTAAATTATGAAATGGGTGACGCTAAAGCACCCTCAAGTTACACAGCTTCAATAATTATGCTTGTAGAGACCTAACTTACCAAATTATTAGAGGTCCACTAAACTGTTCAGATATGATTATATATTCAGATGTTATATGAAATATCTCATGTGGGTGGCATCGCATTTCCTTTCCCTGTTCTCGGGGAGTGTACTGTTGCTTAACATTTGCAAGATTTATTATACAATACATATCCCATCACGGCAGCTTGTTTCATAATTGCCTCGTAATTATGCACTCAACGGTCCAACAACAGTACAACACCAACCACTGCTTCTTCTTTATCTTCCTCCTCCAACCTTCTACTTGCTGGAAAAACCAAAATGCCTTTTTCATTATCCAAATGTTGGACTAATAGTCAGTTAGTATTTTTACTGTTATTTGGGTTTATCTGTTTGTTAAATAAAGTCCTATGCTTTAGGGATGTGGAGATATGAGTTCTGTTATTCTTTTAATTAGTCACCACGTTGCAAGCCATGTAATACGTGGATCTGTTATGCTTCAGTTTTTTTTTTTATGTTGTAAGGCTATAAAGTCAACACCTGTTTTTGAATTCTAATAAGATTGTTCTATGAAAATCTGTGTGGTACTATTCTGTTTCAACAATTGGTATCAGAGCTCCATTATAGGGGCCTGATCCTAAGTGCATGTGAGGAAAACAGTGAGCGTGAGAGAAAAACAGCTAGTGCATGTCAAGAAAGAAATTGCAACTTTCTTTCAGGTAAAAGGAGTTGAAAATGGCAGAAAGTGGTAGCAATAGTTTTGTGCAGCCTGCTATTCCCAAATTTGATGGTCACTATGACCATTGGGCAATGTTGATGGAGAATTTTCTCCGCTCCAAAGAGTATTGGGGTCTAGTTGAGAATGGAATAACGGTGGTGGCAGATGGAGCAGAGCCTACAGAGGCTCAACGCAAATTGATCGAGGAGCAGAAGTTGAAGGACTTAAAAGTAAAGAATTATCTCTTCCAAGCAATAGATCGTGATGTTCTTGAAACAATCCTCAACAGGGACACAGCCAAAAATATCTGGGACTCAATGAAGCAGAAATTTCAAGGTTCAACCAGGGTCAAGAGGGCACAATTGCAAGCTTTACGCAGAGATTTTGAGATTCTTCATATGAAGGAAGGAGAGATAGTCAATGCCTATTTTTCTCGTACTCTAGCCATAGTCAACAAAATGAAGGCTCATGGTGAAAGTATGAGTGAAAAAATTATTACTGAAAAGATTTTGAGGTCAATGGTCTCAAAATTTGATTATGTGGTATGCTCGATTGAGGAATCCAACAACTTGGACATAATGACTATTGATGAACTGCAAAGTAGTCTTCTTGTTCATGAGCAAAGGATGAGAAGCCATAGAGAAGAAGAGCAGGTTTTACAGATCTCCCATGAAGCCAGAGCAGGACGAGGAAGAGGTAGAGGTGCATTTAGAGGAGGCCGAGGTAGAGGAAGGGATAGACAGTCCTTCAACAAAGCTATTATCGAGTGTTTCAAATGTCACAAGTTAGGACACTATCAATATGAGTGTCCTGATTGGGAGAAAAAGGCCAACTATGCTCAGTTGGAAGAAGAAGAGGAGTTGTTATTAATGTCGTATGTTGAACTCAAACAAACCAAGAAGGAAGAAGTGTGGTTTCTTGACTCCGGCTGTAGCAATCATATGAGTGGAAACAAGGAGTGGTTCTTAGAGCTGGATGAAAGCTTCAGGCAAACTGTAAAACTTGGTAACAACACTAGAATGGCTGTTGTGGGAAAAGGCAGTATTCGTATGCAAGTGAGTGGACTTACTCAGGTAATTTCTGATGTCTACTACATTCCTGAACTCAAGAATAACCTATTAAGCATAGGGCAGCTTCAAGAAAAGGGCTTAGCTATTTTGTTTCAGGATGGGAAGTGTAAGGTACATCATCCTAAGAAAGGATTAATTATGCAGACAGATATGAGTGGAAATAGAATGTTTTTCTTGTTGGCTACCATGATGCCAAAAGATTCTACATGTTTTCAAACTGTGTCAGAAAATGAATCTCACCTTTGGCATTGTCGGTTTGGTCACTTAAACTACAAGGGATTGAGGACACTTTTTTATAAGAAGATGGTAAATGGGCTGCCTTCACTCAAGATTCCAAAGAAGCCATGCATAGAATGTTTAACCGGCAAGCAGCACAGAAACTCCATGCCTAAGAAAAGCTTATGGAGAGCTTCACACAAGCTACAACTTGTGCACGCAGACATATGTGGGCCTATTAAACCAGAATCAAACAGCAATAAGAGGTATATCCTAAGTTTTATTGATGATTTCACTCGTAAAACTTGGATTTACTTCTTACATGAAAAATCAGAGGCTTTTGCCATGTTTAGAAATTTTAAGGCTTGTGTTGAAAAAGAGACTGGTGCATCTATCATTTCTTTGAGGACAGATAGAGGTGGTGAATTCACCTCAAATGAGTTTGAAGAATTTTGCAAAGTTCAAGGAATAAGCAGACAATTGACTGCAGCCTACACTCCTCAGCAAAACGGAGTTGCTGAAAGAAAAAATAGGACGATAATGAACATGGTGCGCTCTATGTTGGCTGAGAAACAAGTTCCTAAAATGTTTTGGCCCGAAGCTGTAAAATGGAGTGTGCATATCCTCAATAGATGTCCTACTATGGCTGTCCAAAACAAAACCCCGGAAGAGGCATGGAGCGCTGTGAAGCCAACAATTGATTACTTTCGAATTTTCGGGTGTGTAGCTCATGCACATGTTCCAGACCAGAAAAGACGTAAGTTAGATGACAAAAGCAAGAGGTGTGTTTTGTTGGGAGTAAGTGATGAATCAAAGGCCTATAGATTATATGATCCAGTCTCCAAGAAAATCATCATTAGCAAAGATGTGATTTTTGAAGAAGATGAATGCTGGAATTGGGGCAGAAACAAAGAAGAATGCAGAATTGATGTTTTACAGTGGAAAGATGATGATGAGAGTGACACAGAAGAGATAGTAGAAAGCGATGAAGAAGAGGGCAATGGTGTTGATACAATAAATTCAAGTGAAAATGGTTCACCTTCTAGTGAATCAAATGAGGATGATTCGCCGATTTTGAATGAAGGGAGGGTAAGAAGAGCACCTTTATGGATGGCAGACTATGAAACAGGTGAAGGTTTATCAGATGAAGATGGTCTGAATGCTATGATAATGCTCACTGAAGATGATCCACTTACATTTGAAGAAGCTGTCAAGAGCAAGAAATGGAGGGATGCAATGATGGCAGAGATTGAGTCAATAGAAAAGAACAAAACATGGGAGCTGACTATCCTACCAGAAGGAGTGAAGCCAATCGGAGTTAAGTGGGTTTTTAAGACTAAACTTAACGAGAATGGAGAGATAGACAAGCACAAAGCAAGGCTAGTGGCGAAGGGGTATGCACAGCAATATGGAGTTGATTATACTGAAGTTTTTGCTCCGGTGGCCAGACTTGACACCATTCGATTGATATTGGCTTTGGCAGCTCAAAACAGTTGGGATATTTTTCAACTAGATGTAAAGAGCGCATTCCTTCAAGGTGAACTTAAAGAAGAAGTCTTTGTGCAACAACCATTAGGATATGAGAAGAAAGGAGAAGAAGACAAAGTTTACAAGTTAAGAAAGGCGTTGTATGGCTTGAAGCAAGCACCGAGGGCATGGTACAGCAGAATAGAAGCTTATTTTGTCCAAGAAGGCTTTGAAAGGTGTTTTTGTGAGCACACACTGTTCACAAAGGCTAAGGAGGGAGGTAAAATTTTAATAGTAAGCCTTTATGTTGATGATTTAATATATACCGGAAATGATAAGAGTATGTGTGATGAATTTAAGAATTCAATGAAGTTGGAATTTGATATGTCTGATTTGGGGAGGATGAGGTACTTTCTTGGGGTTGAGGTGATACAAAGTCCAGATGGGATATTTGTGTGTCAAAGAAAGTATGCTCGTGAAGTTTTAGCAAGATTTGGAATGGATAAAAGTAATTCAGTGAAGAATCCTATTGTTCCAGGCACAAAGTTATCTAAAGATGAAGCTGGAACCAAAGTTGATGAAACTTTGTTCAAGCAGTTGGTTGGCAGTCTTATGTACTTGACTGCAACTCGACCTGACTTGACGTATGGAGTGAGTCTTATTAGTAGATTCATGTCTTGTCCAACTGAATCTCATTGGCTTGCAGCAAAAAGAATATTAAGGTATTTGAAAGGTACAACTGAGCTTGGAATTTTCTACAAAAATAGAGGTTCCACAGATCTAGTAGCTTACACCGACAGTGATTTTGCCGGTGATTTAGATGATCGGAAGAGTACATCTGGCTTTGTTTTCTTGCTTGGTTCTGGGGCAATTTCATGGTCTTCTAAGAAACAGCCTGTAGTGACATTGTCTACTACAGAGGCTGAGTATATAGCTGCTGCATTTTGTGCCTGTCAGTGTGTTTGGCTGAGAAGGGTGTTAGAGAAACTTGGTCATAAAGAAGAGAAGAGTACTGCAATTCAATGTGACAATAGCTCTACTATAAAGCTGTCCAAGAATCCAGTTTTTCATGGTAGGAGCAAGCATATTGATATAAGGTTTCATTTTCTTAGAGATTTGACAAGAGACAAAGTTGTGGAGTTGAGCTACTGCAATTCTCAAGAACAAGTTGCAGACATAATGACAAAGCCTCTCAAGTTAGAACAGTTCTTAAAACTCCGAAATATGCTGGGAATGGTTGAAGCTTCAATGATAAACTAAATGCTTTTAAGTTTAAGGGAGGGAATGTTGGACTAATAGTCAGTTAGTATTTTTACTGTTATTTGGGTTTATCTGTTTGTTAAATAAAGTCCTATGCTTTAGGGATGTGGAGATATGAGTTCTGTTATTCTTTTAATTAGTCACCACGTTGCAAGCCATGTAATACGTGGATCTGTTATGCTTCAGTTTTTTTTTTTATGTTGTAAGGCTATAAAGTCAACACCTGTTTTTGAATTCTAATAAGATTGTTCTATGAAAATCTGTGTGGTACTATTCTGTTTCAACAATTCTCTCTCCAACTTCTTCTTCTTCGCCGCCATTTCCCTCTTACTCTCTGCCACTCACACTCTCCAAATATCCCTCTTTGCACCCATATCAAAAGACGATTCTACCCAACTCTACACTCTCTCCCTTCTCCTCAAAACCCCTCTTCAGCCCACCAAACTACACCTCGACCTTGGTTCCTCCTTCACCTGGCTCCTCTGCGACTCCACCTACACCTCCTCTTCCTACCACCGCATTCCCTGCAACTCCTCCCTCTGCGCCTCCTTCCACGCCGCCGCTTGCTCCAACGACACATGCGCACTCTTCCCGGAAAACCCAGTAACCAGAAACGCCGTTCTTAACACCGCACTCATTGACTCGCTCGCTCTGCCTAACTCGGACGGGTCAACTCAGGGCCCACTCGTTCTTCTCTCCGATTTCGTCTTCTCTTGCTCAACACCCTCCTTGCTTCAAGGCCTAGCTAGCAATTCCTCCGGTCTAGCTGCACTAGGCCGGTCCAACCACTCCCTCCCGGCCCAAATCAGCGATGCCTTGTCCTCCACGCGCTGTTTTGCGCTCTGCTTGCCCGGTTCAGCCTCGAGCCCTGGCGCGGCTTTCTTCGGCTCGACCGGTCCTTATTTTTTTTCTTCCAAAATTGACCTCTCAAAGTCGCTTAATTACACCCCTCTAATCGTGAACCCGGTTGGGGACACTGTCATCAACTACAACGGACAACCGTCCGATGAGTATTTCATAAACCTGACCTCCATCCGAATCAACGGTATACCTCTCCCCATCAATTCGTCGATCCTGACCGTTGATCAGAACGGCTTCGGTGGGACCAAGATCAGCACGTCTGATCCCTACACCGTTCTGGAAACTTCCATCTACAAACGCTTCGTGGAGCTGTTTGCGAACGAGTCCTCCGCTTTCAACTTAACGGTGACGGAAGCCGTCGAGCCATTTGGTTTGTGCTACCCTGCGAAAGACCTCACGGAGAACAGTGTTGGACCCGCTGTGCCCACCGTTGATCTTGTGATGCACAGCGAGGATGTGTTCTGGAGAATCTTCGGGCGCAATTCGATGGTGAGGATTGAAAAGGAAAGAGTTGATGATGTGTGGTGTTTGGGTTTTGTGGATGGTGGGGCCCATAGGAGGACGCCCGTTGTAATTGGAGGGTACCAGTTGGAGGATAATCTTGTGCAGTTTGATCTTGATTTGAACAGATTCGGTTTCACCTCATCTCTGTTACTTCAAGCTACCACGTGTAACAATCTCAATATCACTCACTAATTTTGCCAATTACATTGTTCCACTTCCAAACAATTAAAATATGTACATATTCCCTATATTTTACAATATAAATATAGGGAAAATATACTCTTATGGTGTAGTAGGAGAATATTTTTCTCTCCTACACATACATCGACTTCCGTGTTTTTTTTTTTTTTTTTCATAAGTGAGTGAGTTCCACACATGACTATCTCTATGACATAAGAAAGCTTCTTTTATGTTGCATGAAATTAATAAAGCTCATAAATATAACCTTAAAATATGTTTCAAAATGCCTAGAAACTAGTTTTCTCTTCGATGCATCATCTGTTACCTTGGAATGTTATAATTGGCAAGGTACAGGGAATAAATAACTTTTTTTTGGAAAGGAATCAGATATACCACTGCTGAGGAAAAGGTGAAAAAAATAAAAATAAAAATCAAATTCTGTTATCTTGATTCGTAGATTCTGCTTTAGGGATACGCCTAAAATAAACAGGTCTTCCCAGAAAGAATAAAATCTTATATTAGTGAAAACAAAAAAATCTTGCCAAAAAATCTTTCTTTCGGTACAAGTATGATTTCTGACTCATACTTAGGCTGCTCATACATATTAAATTTCACATTTACGTAATCAAAATGAATTTTAATGTTTACACTGGACAACATCACTATGTTAAATATTTGTAGTGACAGAGGTTCTAATAATATTTTATAAAAAAAACTCTTCCAAGTGAAGGCATATAAATTTTAATATACTGGACACATTTAGGTCAAATGATTTATTTTTTCCATATGCAAAATTATCCATCTATAGGAAATAATAAACCAAGCATTGCCATACTATTAGATCTTTAAGATTCAGGGCTCTAGGTTTGTTAAATCAAGTGATCTAAGGTGTGAATGTGCAGCTCAATTAGGAGAATTGATATAGATATGTAAACCGAGCTAGAGGCACTCGTACGAAAAGAATCAGCAAAAGGGATTGTGCAATGTTGACGTGGGAGAAGGAGATATTCACTTATGTTAACGTTAGTGAGTGAATATTGGCTTGTGGAAATATTGGGCTGTAGAAGGGTCCAATAGTCCATTTGAGAGCATTAGCAAAAGTAGAAAAAACTTGTAGCACTAAGAGGATCCATATTTCTCAATAGAAATATACGGGTAAAGTGTGTGTCATTTTAAAAGATGTAAAATTGTATTATTTTAAGAGAGAAAAAGAGATAGATAAAGGAAGAGAGAGAGAGTTGACAAAAAAAAATAAAGGTGTGAGTCAGTGGCGGACCTACGTATGTTTTAGTGTGTGCAAATGCACACACAAATTTTTTGGAGAAAAAAAATATATATATTTTGGGTCTTGAACAAAAGTCACAGGATCCAATTTAATCTCTTAAGAAAAAAGCCGACTCGTGATCCCTTTAAAATTCAAAATAGACCCATGTTAGTCCTTTTGAGGAATTAATGTGGATCTTTTTGAATTTTAGAGGACCATGATTTTATCTGGGTCTATTTTTGAATTCTGAGGGATCACCAGTAGACTTTTTCCCCTTAAAAGATTAAATTGAGGCTCATAATTTTTGTTGAGAACCCAAAAAGTTTTGTTGTAACAGTTTAGTTGACTCTTGATTACTTTTTTTTATATTAAATTAAAATTTGAGGCTCGTAATTTTTCTTTAAATTTTTTTTACTTTATTCTTTTATTCTAATTGTGCAGACATTAAAAAAAATTTCTAGGTCCGCTATTGGTGAGTCCCACCACTTTGTGAGAATGAAAGGATATAAGTCGTGTCATTTAAAAGGATAAACATTTTCCCCAAAATATATATATTATTTTGATGTGTTTACAACAAAAGAAGCTAAGGATCTGCAAATGAAATTGCGGTGCTACGTCTTATATTTGCACGATGGGAAAGTGTTATGGTTTGGTTGTTTTAGTATACAGACATGCTTTAATTTGTAAACTTGAAAACTAACATCATTTTTTCACTTTTGTGGAGGGACAACAGGATTTATGTCGCTATTTGTTTTCTTTTGAACTTTACTTGATTAGGACATTTGACCATTTTTGTATAATAAATTAACTAGTTGATATTCAAAACTTAACATTTTTTTTTCGGTAATGAAAACTTAAGCATATTTTTATTTCCTTGTTAACTGATCTGTAGCTAGGAGCATGGGTTAATTTATATCTTTTTGTCAAACTACTAGGCCTCTAGCATATAAATTCAGATTTAATTTATTGTATGCATCGTTACCTTGAATATGAAGGAAATTTTTTCTTATTGAAACTAGGTTGAATTCAAACAAGGAGATAAGTGGAAGTAGATTGCAAGCTGAATCAACTGCAACACCACTGCTAAGAAAAAAGTGGAAACATAAAGAAAAGAAAAAAAAAGTGGGCTTTCTCTTTCTCTATCTTCTCCCATGTGGATGGACTTTTTAAGCCTATTTGTAAAACCTAAATTAACTGCAATTAATTGCAATTCCTCCCCTATTTTTAAGCCTATTTTGTACTTAGCTGATTAATGAGAGTTCTACCTCTGTCTAAAGGTTCAGGATATAGTTACTTATTAAAGATAGCAAAAATATGGGAAGAAAATCAATTAGATGTAAATATACAAGTTATTTTGATTATTTAAAAATTAATATAATCACAGCAGCATAAAAAAATCAAAATATTGTTTGATTTGCGTGGCTATTCATATTTTAAGTAAAACCGAACTATACATTGTATACTTGACGTTAAAAAAGAAAAGACAAGAAATATCAATCTAACGTATTCCTTTGATAGTGAGTCAAAATCCACTTTTGAAGAGTCATATTATTTCTTTTTACACCTTTTATCTGGTTTTTTTTTTCAAAAATAAATAATGTAAAAGAAAAGGTGTAAAATTTTAGTCTATAAAATAACATTGTTTGGCAAATGGCAATTAGTTAGACTAAAATTACGCTTTAGGATATATATATATATATATGGGTTTACATTTTTGCAGCTACTATACATGCAACAATCAAATACTTGCCATATATACTTGAAAGCATTAAATGCAGGACATCATAACTATACAAAGGATAAAAACATTAAATATAAAGAATCATAACCATACATCTGTCGTTACTGCACGTAAAGTGACTGCAGAAATAATTTTTCATATATATATATATATAACACTTATGTATCCTAGTTACTAATGCATGAACTATGAATTAACAATATTTATAAAAAAAATTTAATACAAATAAAAATTGAACACATAATCTAATATAATTTACCTAAACTCTTCAGCACTAATCGAAATCTAATGGCTTAACATTTATCAATTGTTAAATACTTCTGAGCAAGAAAAAAAAATTGCTGCATAGATGCATATGCTATACTTAAACGCATATGAGATCACTTGTGAAGTAAGAGGGCAAGCCTAATTGAACGGTAGAATGAAATCTGAAATTGGATTGGAAGCCACTTGGCAGAAAAAAGAAAACGGTATTTTCCGGGAAAAAGCACCTTTCGTACGAAGTTTGATCGCTGCGAGTCTGCCATCATACAAGAATTCGTGACGCTATCTTACAAATTCGGGACAATGACCATATTGTCAGCTTTCAGGTAAAAATTTATCAGATTGTTACGTCAGAAATTTTTTTTGTCAAAATATCATGTACAATTCTGCTGGTCTGACAAGCGGGAATGAACTGGACACGTGACAGTGTCTGAATGATCAACAATTCTAGCTTAGCAGCCCAACGCGAATGACAGAATACTGACACGTGGCAAAAATATAGGTATCCTGTACTTTTGCAGAAAATGCATGTACTTTTGCCACGTGTCAGCATTTTGTCATTCACGCTGGGTTACTTAGCTAGAATGGTTAACCATTCAGACACTGTCACGTGTCAAGTTCATTCTCGCTTGTCAGACCAGCGAAATTGTGACGTGGCATTTTGACAAAATTTTTTTCTGGCGTGACAATCTATTAAATTTTTATTAAAGGAGTGTCAGTTTGGTCAATGTCCCTACAAATTTCTCAAGTCATATTGCAACACTTTTTTAAAATAAAAAAAAATTAATTAAAATAAAAAATTGTGTAAAACAATTAAAATTAAAATAATTAATTAAATTATATTAGGTTTTAAATTTGAATATGTATATATATATTATTGATATTATTCTTACTTAAGAGATTCTTATAATATCATATTTATTTAAGAACTTTTCTATTATACTCTAAGTTAAATTTAGTTTTCATTTAAGATTCAGGAATGTATTATAAAATTAATGATTAAATTTGACTTGTATTTATAATTTCAATATATTTTTAAAAAATATTTAAATTTAACTTTATTATATTTCGATGAATTAATTTAAGCTTATATTTAGGTTTTGCATATAAAAATATTTTGAAAAATAAAATAAAAAATCGATCTAATCTGAATCGATTTACATATTTACATTTTGAAGTAATAAATTAATCAAATAGTACTACAAAAAAAAATTAATCAAATAGTATTATCATAAAATAAAATAAATTGGATTAATCGAGTACTTTTTAATAATTAACTGATCCAATTAAATACCATTCGCTAAAAATTCAGCACTATCACCCAAGTGTGGTGGTTCAGTTGGTAGCATGGAGACTGAGTGGTGGGAAAGGACCTCAGTTCGAATCCCACCAACACCATCTGGGGAGGGGCATAAGTACCGTAATCCTTGGACTCGCACCCGAACTCTGGATTAGTCCCATAGGCGGCTCAAAGAGTCGAACCCGTGGAGATACCGGGGGATTCTGATTCGCCTCAAAGAGGTAATTAGGATCAGTTTCCAAAAAAAAAAAAAAATTCAGCACTATCAGTTTCAATTAAGGCTTTGTTTGAGAGTTGATTTTAGGAGGGGAATAAAAGAAAATGGAGGGTTTTAGTAAACTCTTCCCTTGTTTGTGAGTTTAAAAGAATGAGGGGAAGAGATTGAGAATTTTTACTAAACCCTCCTTCCTCTTAAAATTAAAGTTCCCCCAATTTGGGGTGTTTAAGAGGGAAAATATTAAAAATTATTTATCCACACTTAGCATTAAAATGTGAAAACTACATAAATGTAAATCATTTTTAAATGTGACATTATTAAAAAAGTCTCAAATACCGATAGAATTTATCGACGACAAAAATTTCGTCAAAAACAGAGATAAATTTTTTGATGAAAATCATATATTTCAAAAAATTTCCTCAAAACTAAAGACAAAATTAGATACGAAACTAGATTTTTCCATAATCACCGATATAAACTTTATACGGAAAAAAAATTCAGTCAAAATTATTCTATAATTCCGTCGAAACTTTCAACAAAAATATTTCCGTCCAAAATTTTGACGAAACACATTTCCATCGAAAAGTTTCGACGTAAAATAATTACGTCAACTTTTTTTACGAAAAACATTTCCATAAAAATTTTTTGCAAAAATTTTTGACGAAAAATATTTCCATCAAAATTTAGGACTAAAAACATTTTTGTAAAAAAATTTGGCGGAAATTTTTTTTGTCAAATCTTTATACAGAATCTAAATTTTGTCAAAATATTTCACAAAAAATAAATTCATCGAAATTTTTGACGAAAAATATTTCTATGAAAATTTTCAGCGAAACACATTTCCATCGAAAATTTTTGATGAAAAAAAATTCCATCAAAATTCTTTACTCGTTTAACTTTTTGACAAAATTTCTGTCAAAATATTTAACGAAACACATTTTCAAAAAAAAAATTCGACGAAAATTTCTTCAAAATTTTCAACGAAACACATTTTTGTCAAAAAATGTTGACAAAAAATATTTTTGTAAATTTTTTTGACGAAAAATATTTCGATTAAAAATTTTGACGAAAAAATTATTCTGTCAAAGACTCAAAATCTTTACAGAATCTAAATTTCGTCAAAAGTTTCGAATGAAACATTTTCCTCAAAATTTTTGACAACAAAATTTCCATCGAAATTTTCTTCAGAACACATTTTCATTGAAATTTTTACCGAAAAACATTCTGTCAAATTTTTTGATAGAACTCTTTTTTCGTTTAAAACATTTGATGGAGGAAATGATTTTCGTCAAAACTTTTGACGGAACTTCGTCAAAATTTTTGATAAAAAATTTATTTTTATAAAAAATTTCATCGGAGAAGAAATTCTGTCGCTTTTCGACGAAAAATATTCTGACGAAAAAATAATTTTGTGACAATATTTTCGTTATTTGCAACGTAGAATTTTTGTTAGAAATTTTAAATCTAATTTTATTTGTAAAATATAATAATTATATTTATTTTAGAAAAAAAAATTGTAAAAATATCTCACTGATCCTTCAATTTCTACCTTACCTATCTCCAAACAAGGGAAGGGAATACCCTCCAATTTTCTTCCCTTCCTTCCCCTTCTTCCCTCTTGGATCCCCTTCCTCCCTCGTGGATCCCCTTCCTTCCCTTCCCTTTCAAACTCTCAAACAAAGCCTAAGTTTCCAAGTACAGTCGTTACTATTTTATTAGAACTAGGGGTGGCAATTCGTGTCAACCCGACCCGACCCGAATTTTACACGACACGAAAAACCTCAACCCGAATACGACCCACTTATTTTACAGGTTGACACGACACGACACGAATAACCTTATAATGTAACCATGACCCATTATTACACACGTTAACACGACTCGACCCGACCCGATCTGACACGATTTTTAGAATGCTCACATTCAAAACCTGTATTTAGGCACTGATTTTACATCCAATAAAAGCATATACATCCAATAAAGCCACTGCTGAGTGAAAAGGGTTGTTTGAAACCCAAAGTTTATGTTATTTTTTTTATACCACTCACTAAAATGACTATAATAACCTTATACAAAAATTATTTGCGGGTCAGAGCGGGTTAACGGGTTGACCCGAATCTGACACGAATTTTTTCGTGTCATTTTTATTCAACCCGAACACGACCCGAACAGTAAACGGGTTAACCCAAACATGTAAATTTCGTGTCGGGTCCGGGTCGGGTTAGCGGGTCGTGTCAGAAATTGCCACCCCTAATTAGAACAAGTGCTTTCTAAGGTCATGGTTCTTCTATTTCGTATTCAAATCATTTCTAATACTCATGGAAGATTGATGATACTAATCAATTTGGTCATGACGCGCGAGCCCGTGAACAGATCAGATAATGTAATGTTGTATATTGTACACGTTCATAACTAAGGAATGCATTGTTAATGTTGTGGACCTGGCGAAGGCACACACTTTAGGGAGACCTAATCACTCAAATTCTAAGATAAATTTTATAAATAGGAGTTAAAAGACTTCAGGTATGACTAATCTCTCTTTAACTTATCTTATGCAAACACAGCACACATATCACCTTCATTTAAGACTAAGGTCTTAATATAGTGTGTCGTGATTTTTTACCCCTAAAATACTTAGTTCATAAACATCTAGATATAGAGAGCACACATCAGATTCAACATAGAAAAACTAGCCTAAGGCTAGACACCTCTGCCATACAGGCAGAAAAGTTAGCTTACCATTTTTTTCTCTAATTACCATTAGTTCGAACCTATTATTTTCATAGAATTTCTATTTTCACCTCGAGTTTTAGAGTTAATATGAGTTAATCTACTTATTCGTATAAGAGATATATTCCATCCCTAACTACAGAATCTGTTAAGTCATTTTTAGGATGTGCATGACAACCTTTCTGGAATGAGTTTTTTTTTTTAATTTCTGTTCCCAAGAACAAAAATGGATGAGAATTGCGTTTGATAAAATCGGTTTATTTTTTTGTTCCCGGGATGAACTGGGTTTTTTTTTATGCTGGGGAACAAAAAAAAAAGAATCAAAAAATTTCTGCTTTTCTAATTCTAGGCACAAAAAGAGAATCAATTTTCTCTCACATTATCACCCACTCGCTGGCTATGGCAGCGTACCAGAACAACCCCTTTTGAGTGGTTACTCTGTTTCTCACTTGGTATTCGTCCCTCTGGTCCTGTCTTCTTTCGGTCCTACGTTTTCTATCTCTCTCATTTTCTCCATCTGTTAAGGACATTCTGAAAAAACGTAATTCTGAAAAACGTAATTTTCTCTCGTTTTCTCCATCTCTCTCGATTTCTATCTCTCTCGTTTTCTCCATATTCACTCGTTTTGAAAAAAATAAATAAATGTAATTCTGAAAAAAAAATTGTGTTACATGAAATTGCAGAATGAACCCAATATTCGCTCCCAAAACGTTTGGAATGAACCCAATTGCAAAATTCTGAAATTGCAAAATTCTGAATAAACCCAATTGTAGGTTAACAAGAAATTGTGTTACATGAAATTGCAGAATGAACCCAATATTCGCTCCCAAAACGTTTGGAATGAACCCAATTGCCAAATTCTGAAATTGCAAAATTCTGAATAAACCCAATTGCAGGTTAACAAGAAATTGTGTTACATAAAATTGCAGAATGAACCCAATATTCGCTCCCAAAACGTTTGGAATGAACTCAATTGCAAAATTCTGAATAAACCCAATTGCAGGTTAACAAGAAATTGTGTTACATGAAATTGCCGAATGAAAAAAAAGTTTGTGTTAACCAACATAATTCTGATTCTCGGAATAAAAATAAAATATGTTAACAAACGTAATTCTAATTCTCAGAACTCTTCCAAAGCATAGAAATAGAAAAAAATCATTTTTTTCAGAAACAGTACCAGGAATTAGAATAGTTGTCATGCGCAGCCTTAGAGACTTTTAATCTTGATATATCTCCAAAAATAAAAAAAAATAAGCCACTACAAATTCCAATGTTTTTAATTTATATAAAGGAAGAGCAACATTTAAGTCTATCTTGAGAGATACAAGAAAAACTTGGACATTTGGAAGTTGAAAAAAAAATTTATCCAGAAATCTTAATTTTTAAAAATATCATAAAAATATAATATCCGAAAATTAAAATTTTAGAAAAATTAAATTTTTCAAAATTTCTAAAGAATGACGAGTACCAAACGCGGAAATTTTTGTTTCGGCGGTCCTTTTTGTAAAAGGGAATTTTTATTTTTTATCTTAACCACTAAAGTTTTTCTCGTGAGATAGGCTACGCGGAAAAGCTGTTTTAATCATTTGATGCTAGCTAGCAGAAACCTTTATACCTATGTAAGGTACAAAATAAAATTCAAGACAAAAATCAGGGAATAATAAAATCTTATCTCATAGGTATATATTCTGTGCGCAATTTGCTATTCTATAGAGACCACTAAAGAAAGAACCTTGTACCCACTTAACTTTTGATTGCTTATTTGATATGTCTTATTTTTAATTTCTTTTTTTTTAAACTAGTAACTTTGTCAAATATTTTTTTTATAAAAGTTCTTATTATAAAATTTTTTATAATAAAGAAAAATTTAAAAGTTAAAAGTTCTCAAAAAGGGTTTTTTTTTAAGATATGTGTCAGTTTTTCCCCCTCTTATTTACCCAATAATTCATTCTAATAACATATTATTTTATCTTTCCTTCTTTAAAATTATTAGAACAATTCTATATAATTAGCAAGTAGTGTTTAGCTTTATTTTTTAAGCTCTTTTTTTTATTTTATTTTTAACTTAATAATAGCTTTTAACTTAAAATAAAGGTGCAAACATCCTTTTAGAAACATTATCGTACCCTGGAAGAGGTAACTTCACTGAGCCTCTTCAGGACCAGTACAATTTTCTATACGACACATAAAGGCAACTAAAAATATTTCCAGAATATTTGTGAAGACCACTAGCATATATGTTCTACGTGACCGACAATAATTCCTAGTACTTTATAATCTTGAACGGATCGATGCAGAAAATGATAGTTTTAATCCCTTTCGGCTTGCCTTTCGCTATAAATACTCAACAATTACTGTTTTCAATCACACTAATTCTTAATTTTCATGTCTATTGAGACCCTTTTCTACTAAATTGGGTCTATATTATTCAATCACCATGACCATCTCAATGGCTATGTGCATTCCGACACAACCATTGAAAAATGTTTCTTTAAGTGGCCAAAAATTGAACGTGAGGCAGAAAGAGAAGGTAGTGTTGGTGATGGGAGCCACGGGAACAGGGAAATCAAGGTTGTCCATTGATTTGGCCACATGTTTTCCATCAGAAATCATAAACTCAGACAAAATGCAAGTGTATAAAGGGCTTGACATAGTCACAAACAAAATCACCAAGGAAGAACAACGTGGGGTGCCACACCATTTGTTAGGAACACAGGATCCTAACTCAGAGTTCACAGCCACTGATTTCTGTGACATGGCATCAATTGCCATTGAATCAATCGTGGGTCGTGACCACCTTCCTATAATCGTGGGAGGCTCCAACTCCTATGTTGAGGCACTTGTCGATAGGTTCGGGTCAAGGTACAATTTGTGTTGTCTTTGGGTGGATGTGTCAATTCCTGTTCTTCATCCCTATGTAGCAAAACGGGTTGATCACATGCTTGATAGTGGAATGGTAAATGAATTGAGACCCTTTTTCAATCCCAATGGGGATTATTCAAGGGGTATAAGAAAAGCAATTGGTGTGCCAGAATTTGACTTGTATTTTCGAAGTGAAGCATTCTCAAATGATGAAACCAGACAGAGGTTACTGCAAGAAGCAATAAGTGAAGTCAAGAGGAATACGTGCAAATTGGCATGCAAACAACTGGGGAGGATTCATGGACTCATAAATGTTAAGAGATGGAAAATCCAACGTCTTTGTGCCACGCCCGTGTTTCAAAAGCACGGCCAAGATGCAAATGATGCGTGGAAGAATCTGGTGGCACAACCGAGTGCCATGATAGTTGACCAATTTCTCTACAGTGCTAATGTTGTTTCTGGCCTTAGAGTACCAGCTTTCTAAGAGTGTTACTATTACCATGCAACAACTTCAACCCTGTTATTTTTACACGATGGTTTGGTGTACCTGATAAGAAAAATAGGACATGTAAATTATCTTATTTTGCTTTTAACAATTGTTTGGTATGTCTTCGGATAGAATAAAATTAGCTATAAGATTTAGGATATGTAAATTATCTTATTTTTGTATTTATCAATTGTTTGGTATGTCTTGCGGATAGAATAAAATTATCTGATTGACTTTTATTATCCTGCCCAAGGCATGATTACTTATCTTTAGAGGTGACAAAGTGGGTGATCTGCCCCACCTCACTATGGCATCAACCCTCCAAAAAATGAGTCAGCCCGTCTAGCCCAGCTTTTGAAAGTGGACAAAAAGACTCGGCCCGTCCCGTCTTGTTTGGCGGGCTGGACGGGTTGGCTCTCCAGCCAGAGTCTATTTTACACTGTCCCGCCTCGGTCTGACTATGTCCACTATCAACCTGCTAAAAAACGAATCCACCTCGCTTTTGAGATTGGTTAAAAAACTCAGTCCGCCTCACCCCATTTAACTTGTAGGAAAGTTTGACCTGCCGAGCCGAGCACGTTTGATCAGCTTTACTTATCCTAAGGGGTTTGGGTTAAAAAGTGATAGAATATGATAACAAAAATTTAATTTTTATTTTTCGCAATACATCCGGCATCGTAATTATTATACAACACCTCCTAATTATTATCTAGCAAATAGTACCAATCTGTGGGTAAATATATGTCAGGCGGGTCCAGGGTGAAGCCCGTGGCGGGGGCCACATCAATGAGCTAAGGCTACACCAACCGTAGCAAGTGGGTCCCACATTGGTTGGTAATGGACTAAGTGAAGAGTATATAAGTGGAAGGGACCCATGAACCCAATGCCTTACACTTATATACTCTTCACTTAGCTCATTACCAACCAATATGGGACTCATCACACTTGAATATCCCAACACTATATAACATTTTTTTTCCGCTTAAAGTTATTGACCAATTGATAAATGTTGTTAATTAATATTCATTCATCAGTAAGTAGTATATATCACATGTGAATTTACTAAAAAAATACAAAACAAATTAGTGCACTTACTTATTACACATGGCCCAACCATTGATTCAAGAAGTTCAGAGTCAATCAAAATTGTGACCCAATAAATACGGCCCAATTGTTAAAAGAAGCAGTAATTTGAAATATAACAAATTACGATCAAATTCAAGTCCCAATAAAGCATTAGATATGATTGTGATTTGTTTGACAAGAGAAGGAAAGAAATACATTTGGTATGATTTGAGATCTGAGATTTAGAATATGTGTTTTGAATGATTTAATTGTAATTATTTATTTATTTTTGAAAGTTAGTTACCGTTATAATTATGTTAAGATTTTACTTATTTTTAGGATTTTAGATTTTTGAATTTTGAATTTTGGATCGATTTATAATTTGTCTATAAAAGGGTGCTTATGACCCTGATTGTAGGAGTTGAATTTTGTTATTTTGATAATTATAATTGAGAACCAAAGAATTACTCTGTTATTGTATCCCAACTTTTTATTTAGTCACATTTTCTATGCATTTTTGACATCACAAATATTTTTTTAAAGCGTAATTTGGCCTAATTAATTGCCATTTGCCGACAATGTTATTCATATTCTAAAATTTTACACCTTTTATTTTACATTTTGTTTTTGGAAAAAGAAAAAGAAAAGGTATAAAAAGGAAGAGTATGACTCTTCAAAAGTGGAATTTGACTAACGTATCAAGAGGAATACACTGGAATGCTTTTTCTTTCTTTCTTTTTTACTGCGAGTATCAGCTTATTAAAGTGGGTGGTTTATACCCAAACAAAAGGGGGGTGAATCAGCATTATTTCGATGAATTCTGCTTTTAACTTACCTTTTTTTAGTGGCTTTTATTTGATTTATTCTTTTCGGACAAATAGTAATCATATAAAATTTTGTTTATATAGATAACAAATACGCACCCGCGCATATTTGTTAAATTTAATATGTATATAAAAGTTTTGAAATATTTTTACATAAATTTGCTGATAAATTTAGCGACATAAAAAATGTGCATAAGTAGAAATACTTTTCTTTCTCTTTTTATTACAATAAAAAATAAAGAAAAGGGTAAGGAACAAAGTAAACACAAATAGTAATCAGAGGCAGGGTTGTTAATGATTTTATAAGTTTGAAAAGATGCTTCGCTAAAATCACGGCTTCATTTCCAAAGTGGAATTAAGTAGTAGCCGTACATATGCACATAAACCTAAAATTCGGTGCAAGTGTTAAATCATAAAAGAAAAATAAAGAATTCGGTGATGGTCGCTTAAAAAGAACAGTAATCATGGATCTTCCGTACATGATTATGCCTTAGAGCAGGGCACACCGGCACCTCCTTCGCTTCTCGCTTTTTGAATTAAACAAAGGTCAAGGGAGCATCCGATAGAAGAGAGATTATTTTTTATCTGAAAATTTTAATTTTCAGAAATATGATAAAAATATTCAGTTTACGATAATATTTAAAAATTAAAAATTTAAAAATATTTAATTTTCTGAAAATTCTAAAAAATACCTACCAAACGTTTCCCAAAACCTAAGATTTTTAAGTGGGGACAAGGAAGCTGCACTATTTGAAGAATACTAAAAGAATTTTAAAAAGGATAATTAGTGTATGGATCTTTTAAGTGTACAGTGTTTAAAAAGTTAGTTTTAATTCACACAATATGCATTTTCACATGCATGGTGCTCAACAAGAAGAGAAGGTAAAACGTCCGTTTCTATATGTTATTTAATTCAGATGGGAATACTGTAGCAAAATGCACCAACCTGCCTACAAAAGAAGAAACACCAGTCCTTTTACGAGTTGCTTTTGATTTTGTCTTCCCTTAGGCCTTAATCCTTGTGGACGGTGTCATTGTTATCATGGAAAAGGGTAATCTATTTCCAAGCGGAGGAGAAACTTTTGACAAAGGGAGCATGATATAATGATATGAAAGTGCCACACCAATTTTTGTTCATGAATAATAAGTACTACAGAGTTGGTAGATAAAGAGATAATTCATCAATCTATAGTTTTTGGTTCAAAAACAAAAGTTTAGATTCATCAGTTCTAATAACCTTTTCCCCCCAACTTTTACGTACTTGATCGTTATTTTAGGGGACGTTTGGTAGAGAAGATAATTTTTTTTTACTAGATAAATACATTTATCAGGTATATGGTAGGAAAATGAATTTCGTAAGAAAGTTAAAAAAAAATTATTTGATTGATCAAAATTTTACCAAAAAAATTGGATTAAATTTTATGAGTCTGTGTTTAGTTGAAATAAAAAAAAGTGATGGAAAAATTAAGTTGAAAAAACAAAAGTAACCTTTATTATTATAATTTTGAAGGTAAAAGAACACTGGAAGCACGGTTCCAAATTCTTGAAAGTCACCATATACTGTCTATTTTTTGAAAGTCCACACATGTACTTTTCAAGAGGGTAAAAAATTTACTATGCATGTCCATTTTTTCCCATTTGCATAGCTTTCTACAAATACCATATTGCAATTGGCAAAGTTGAAGAGTGCATTTGTTCTCTTTTTTCACATGATTGATGATTGCTAGGCAAATAAGTTTGCAGGCTAAATTTATAAAAATCCTCTACCAAACAAGGACAACAACATTTACCAATGATGAATGATTGGGAATATTTTCAGAAAAACCTATACTATCTAATGACTGGATAAATCGGTCTAGGAAGGATGGGTCCAGCAAACCGGATTAATCGGGTAATTAATAATGCATAACAATTGAAATAAAAGTTAATCTTAAACAAGTTAAATATTAACTTTACTCATCTTTGATAAAATACAACCCTTTTATGCTTGAAGTCTAAAAACAGAGGTAGCACTTCTTATTCTATCGATATTAAATATAAGTTCATGCAATAAATCTAGTTATATAAATAAAAACTAACATGCCACTCACTATATTAAACGTTAACCCTTAAAAACCAAACACAAGATTGGTCTTTTGGACTGGTAGTAATTTAAACTTTGGTGGCATGATCATAATCAAATTGGAGCACCGCATGAGTAAGTGATTTGACAGGATTCTCCAATGGCGATTGAGTACTGATGAACAGGTCTAACAAGGAAAGGTGGCAAGCGAACTAGAAGTTCACACACACATTGGCTATCAACTTCCCTAGCCCACCTGCAACAGTTTTCTTCCTCAGGTGTTTGGCGGCGCCTATGCCTGTGTCCATGCCTGTGGCTGTGACCATGTCTATTATGGTGGTGTCTGTGATCATCAGGTGATGGAGGATTGTCTGGTCCAGGTTCAGGTTCTGGTTCAGGCTCTGGTTCTGGCTCTGGCTCAGGCTCTGGTTCTGGCTCTGGGGTAGGTGGGGGCACAGGTGGGATCCCTGGTACAAATGGTAACCTTGAACATGCATAGTTTACTAGTGCAAATTGTGAACCACAAAGTGGGCGTGGAGTTATTGGTACCATAGGAATTGGTGGCCTTATTTGGCTCTCCATCTTTGGTACTATTGCTAGGAATATCAGAGCCAATGTTATTAAATTGAAGATCTTGACTCTTTCCATTTTGTCTCTTACTCTTTGTCTTTCTCTACCTGGTTAGTAATACATCAGATCCCAGAGGTGTTTCAATGTTCATATGGCCCCTTAGAAGTTAGAACTACTTATATACACTTTGCATATTCATTGGGATAGTGGGGTTTCTAATAGGTTGTTTTTCTGGTGAATTGCAATTATAAAATGTAAATTACCAAGAGAATGAGTTGAGGTCCTGCTTTTTTCATCCATTTTGTGTGATGACTTTGTAGGTTACGTGCAAATGATTCTAAATAGGAGAGGTTGGACCACCAACCTTGTTCCTGAACTATTTTTTAATCAATTACTCTCGCACTGGTGGGGAGTGTAGTTAAACGGTATTTTAGATGGTGCACAAATTATCAACATGCTGAACTTATGAGGCAGAAAGGAAGTGTTCTATGACAAGAAGTCCCATTTATTTGGAGATAAAGAGTGAGAAAAACAAATATCTCATAAACTATGTAGTCATGCTTGTTGCAAGGGTTAGGGATTGAGCTAGATGAGCATTTCTGCTTTCACCACCCACAAACACTAAAGAATATAATTATTTAAACAACGCTTGAATCTTGAGAATACAAAAGAGACAACATATGCCTAGAGTCATTGAGTTGAACGTGACACGGCATAGGTGTAGAGGTGAATCTGATGGTATAAAAATAAATGTGGCTTTTTGCATATGTAGTGTGTGTTGTCTACATAACATTACCCAAGCCATAAAGCTAATAATTTCCAGCTCCTTATAAAAAAAAATTAAATGTTATTTCACAACCTTCAAACGGTTCTATGATGAATTGAAATATACGTTTCACATTGAAACAATGGAGAATAACAATTCTCTTAAAGTAACAAGCATGATACTATGACAAAATCAAGTTCATTAAAACTTTCCAGACTTTGTTTCCAGCTGTTCCAGAATCAAGTAGACAATTATTTCATTGCTTCTTTTGAGAAGGTAGTTTGGTAGCAAAAATACTCAATATCCTAGAATCCAACTCCATCCTTAGCATATAGATAATTTGTTTCTTTCACTTTGAATGATCACAAAACTCCAACATCAGATGTCTCCCGCAGAAATACATATTTATTTTCCTCTCATTTTAGTCATAGTTCTAGGCTCAATGTATGATCACTAAGTCTAAATGATCTCTTCAATACCTATTGGGTTCGATCACACACAATTGAATCTGCTACTGTTGGTGAGTGCTTGAGCTGGGGTAATATTTGCGAGATTGCTGGTTTGTTGGCGAGATTCTCTGCGAGATAGTGGAGCTAGTACTGGTTCTTTGGAGTGATTTGAGGAAACTAGGGGTACTTGCAAAGTAATTCGATGCTTAAGTCAATAAGGATTCAAGATGTTCAAGTATTGATGATAAGATATCATACATGAGCTTAATGCCTATGCATTTATAGTAGATGAGTGCCTTGCTTATACCATCTTAATACGACAGTGTTTATTTTTATTGGTGGAGAATGATAGTTTTCACATGCTAAGTTGTGGGTGAGATGCTTATGATCAAGCTAAACCCTTGTAAATGTTGTGGTATGCAGGTACTGTCTTTGAGCTATTGGTTCATAAATGGGTCAAGTTGTCGTGACTTCTGAGCAGCTAATGGCTAATGTTGCTTAGTCCAATTGTCTAAGTTGCCAGTTGTATGTGTTAGGAGGTTGCGAGATCTTCACATTACACGAGATGGATGCATTTTCCTCATCACTAAGCAATGGTCTTTTGGGCTCATTTGGCCTTTCTCTAATTGGGTCTTCTATTTTGTATAAATAAAGTCCAGACACTAAGATAATTACTTACCATGATCAGAAACTTAAGTTCATTTACAACCTTCCTCGTTACAATATGAAAGCATAATTAGATAAGAAAGTTTTAGTCATGTAGTCTCATTTTGGTATTTTATCACGCGTTTCATTGGTTTCCCATATAGTCCCCCAAGGACTTCAATGATAGTCTATTATTACATATAGTCCCCCAAGGACTCCAACATTAATCTCCTTTTTATTTTTACTTTTTTCAAGTAATGTAACCCTTTGGTTTTTGTCATTCACAAATCAAGTTAACACACCACTGCAAGTAGAAGGGCATATCTTTTAAAAGAGTCCTTTTATGCCATACATACACTAAATTGTTTGTATGCTTTATCTCTCAACATTGCTGTTCCTATATATAATATTCCCGCATAAATAACATGCCTAAATCAAATGGCTTGTAAAAGCAACCCGTGTATATCCATCAAAAAACTTTCCCAGTATTGGCACTGGAATCCTCTCATATCATATGTAACGAAAAGGGAATGCAACTCATGGAAAACCCCAATTCTTTCTTCTTCATCACTCTTTAACAATCCAATTCTGAAGCATGCATGAATCGAGTACCAGTTGTCACTTGTCACAAAAACCAAAAGGGCGTCCCATCGAAATTCACAAACTTAAAAAGATGCAAACTTTAACGGGCCTAAAGCCCTAACGGGTTCTACACAAATTTAACTTAACCTGAGCCCAAAAAAAAACAAAGAAAAAAAAGAAAACGTAGTGAAAAACAGAGACGACAATATAGTCCACGGACACAGTATGACATTATCTGCATCATATGGAATATAATATAATGAAAATGATCGAGGGTCACATTATGCTATGTTAAATAAGTATAAATGTCATTCTCTCTCTTTTCTTTCAGGCGTAATGGATTCTTACAATATTATTAAAATTGACTCGATTATTGATTAACATACTGTGTTATTAGTTTAACCAGTGAATTATTAATATTGTCCAACAAATAAAAATTACACAATAGTTTATAAAAAAAAAAGAAACACACAACCTTTCTTCAAATATTTAACATTTATTACAAATGAAATTCAGATAAAATCTTGACGATTCATTAATTTATTTTATTAATTATAATTTTGTCATATTTTATAAGTTTCTTAAATTAAAAAAAAAAAAGTGTTTGAAATGATCTTTTTAAATTTATAAATATTTTTTTTATATGAATCGGGCCCGATTTCACCGATTCGCACCAATTTCATTACTTGACCTAATTGTAAATTTACCTAGACTAATTATATGACGGCTGAATTTCACCGATTGGCACCAATTTCATTACTTGACCTACTTGAAAATTCACCTAGATTAATTATATGACCGTTTTACCAGTTAACACAGGTCTACCCGGCCGGGCGGTCTGAGTTTGTGAACACTGAATTCTTATGTCATAGATGAGACAATAAACATGTGGGCCCACATGTTTTCGATGGATCCCACGAGCTCTTGTTGTGTCAGCCGGAAAATTTTTGACGTAAGAAACCATTAACCCTTTGATTAATAAAACGTTTCTTTCATACTGTGCTCAAATTGGTGCAAGTGTTTTTTTCTTTTCTGAATTCTGAGTGACAGAGTATGTTGGCTCTGACTCTGAATGCGATGAACCTTGGTCGGAGGGTGTTCCCTCCGGGGCACTTCGTTAACGATGCTGAGGATATTCCGTTTGGGACGTTGTGGTGGTTCGTTTATGCTGGAGTTTCTTGTTTGCTTGTTGTCTTCGCTGGGATTATGTCTGGTCTCACCCTTGGCTTGATGTCACTGGGACTTGTTGACCTTGAAATTCTCCAGAGGAGTGGCTCTTCCACCGAGAAAAAACAAGCTGGTACAGTGTTACCTCTCACCTTTTTCTTCTCTCAATCAATAGTGTTATAATAAACTCATGATTTTTGGGTTCAATTTGCAGCTGCCATTTTTCCTGTTGTTCAAAAACAGCACCAGTTGCTTGTAACCTTGCTTCTTTGTAATGCTTGTGCCATGGAGGTATTTGCATTTTATTTATTAAAAATTCAAATTCCTGCTGAAATGGGTTTGCTTTTTTTATTATTATCTTATCACTATGCATAATGGATTTCTTGCTGATTAACCAAGTGTCCATATATATATATATATATGGGTCCCGTTCTTCTGGAAGGCAGAAAAACAATGTCTGTTTCAAAGACAAAAAAATAAGACAAACAAGTGTTTTGTTTTATCAGGATCGTGGTAAAATAAATTTTTTTCCGTGTCTATGACTATGTCAGACAAAACTATTTCTGTAGCAACACGGCAGAAATAGTTTCGCCCATATATATATATATATATATATATGGATTCCTCGTTTCTGCTGTAAGTTGCAGTAAATATATTTATATAAGATACGGATCCGGATCCTGAAATAAAAAAAAAAAAAATCCAAAATACGGAACCGGATCCTAGTGGAAGTAAGTATTCCTGTAAATTTTCTGATCTGCAGCAACATGAGAGCTGTTAAAGCCTATATATATATATATCTTTTGTCATTAAAAAAAAACTTATGCAGCAACGTTAGGATACAGTCCTCGATCCTGATTTTTTTTTTGAAAAAAATCAAGTGTGACCCACTTGCTTATGTTTGTTGTACCCAATAAAATTGTCCATCACTGCAAAAAATTTGCACCCTATATATATATATATATATATATATATATATATATTATCAAGTAATTCTTATTCTTATTTAATAATTTATACCCAAGAGATGAAGTGTGCTCCTTTGTAACTGAAAGATAATGTGTTTCAGTCAAGAAACAGCCGCAGGCTGTATACAAGGATTCCCTCACCCCCTAATCTACCATCTTTGGTCAGGTTTTAATAGGAAGTGATTTCTATTTAATAAATCATACCCCCTGAACACTTTAATTGTTGGCCTTTGCTTCAAAGGGTTTAACCAACAATGTTGCTGGTCCTTTTAGCAACTAAAAGATACAAGTTATATCTGACGTGTCACCACACCAACAGTATATCTTGCTGGCATATATCCATTGGAGCATTCTAAGTATTTAATATTCATCCAATTTAGGTGTAAAAAGTGTTACACTGCTAGTAAATCATTTAATGGCACTTATTAAACAATATTAAAACTTTTACTACAAGTGAAATATTTTTATTAATCCAACAATGTGGCTCTTTCTTATTTATTAATTTATTTTCTTGACAATGGATTAAATTTAAATTCATACTAAGACATCATATTTCTCTCTGGAACTCTGACTAGAATATGATGCTAATGAATTGAGAACTTCTGGTGAAGAAAATAAAAGAAAAATAGCTGTTCTGAGTATTTTAGTCAGTTTTAGAATAAGTCTATATTTAATCTGTCTGAACCTTTTGCACACCTTGATCTTCTCAACATTTGCTGAAAATTTTGAAATATATATAAAATAAACTGAACAACTTTTAAGTTATAGTCACTTTGGATCAGATGGCACCTTATTCTCCTTGGTGAACGAGAATGATGTTCTTAAACAAAAAAAAGAGCTACAAAATCCAATGTATAACAGATTAAACCAATAAATTATTTTAACTTTGCTTTTGTTTAGCTGATGTAATAACAACTACTGATGGATCCTTCACTTTTGTGTTTTTTTCCTGCTGTTTTGATTTGCAGGCACTTCCAATTTACCTTGATAAAATTTTTCATCCTGTTGTAGCAGTATTGTTATCTGTAACTTTTGTTCTAGCTTTTGGAGAGGTACAATATTTTTTCAATCCAGTTTGCTTGCAACATACACAAGTATTTAGTCAGGACATTGGACTGACTGTTACAACACCACTTGGCCTTAGGTTATCCCACAAGCTATATGCACAAGATATGGGCTCTATGTTTGTGCAAATTTTGTGGGGCTTGTACGTGTCCTGATGATCATCTGTTATCCAATTGCTTATCCTATAGGAAAGGTAAAGATTATGCTTGTCTAAATCCTTACTTTAATTGAAGAAATTCTATTAACATAATATCACATTCTAATATAGCATAAAGGTGATAGACAACTTTACCCACCCAGTAGAATTTTGCTTATTATAGTTTTTGTGATTCTAATTATTTAATTAATTCTATGTTCAAAAGGTTACCAAAAAAAATAAAAAATTCTATGTTCAGATAGATCATATGTAAAGTGCTGATTCAACTCAAAAGCTTAAGTTCTTGGGTGAATGCTACAATAATAGTTTTATATTATATTTCTCTAACATGCCTCCTCACACAAGAGCCCATTGGACTTGCAAGATGGACAATGCACAAGCACCCATTTAGCTGTGCTAAAAAACTCTATAATATTTAATTATTTTGTAATAGAAAGGGGGCAGTGGGGATTGAACTTGTGACCACTTAGTCACAGAGGCTTTGATATCATGTAAAGCGTCAATTGAACCTAAAAGTTTAAACTGTTATGTGAAGGCTACAACAATGGTTTTATGTTATAGTTCTCTAACATCATACTTTGAAATTTCCTGATTGCATTGTATCCTTATTCTCATGCTATGTGGTAAAAGGGTAATGTTGGAACAATTTGGGTTGAGTTATTTTTGGCTGAACCATTCAGTATACTCATATGAAGCTGTTTTATATGTTATTAATATTTTTTTGGAGGAATCTTCTGTTCAGATCATATCAGCAGACATTTTTATTCACAACAAATCATGGCTTTTGTAGAGCTTATACTATGATTTTTATGCTTCCAGGTTCTGGATGTTTTACTTGGACACAATGATGCACTGTTTAGGCGAGCACAATTGAAAGCCCTTGTTTCAATCCTTAACCAAGAGGTAATCTGTTTGAATCACCACGTGCATTTTGCACAGCTTCCTATTCAAGTCGATTAACCACTTGATTTCCCTGCAAATATGTTCTAATAATAATATTATAATTTATAACCATGTAAAAAAAGATTTTGATAACATTTTACAAAGGAATGCTGCTAATTTCACCATGTCAAATTTTCAAGTATCTTTAATTCTTTTTTATCTCAACTTTATTTTCTTGACCATTTAAGGCTGGTAAAGGAGGTGAACTCACACACGATGAGACAACAATTATCAGTGGAGCGCTAGATCTCACTGCAAAGGTAGCCACTGATTTGAAGAAAAATCATTCTGATAGCTTTATCTCTTGCCATCTATATGTAACAAAGAGTTGGACAATTGCCATTTCTTTGAAGACCCTACATCAGAATATTTGAATCTCATGAAATTTTCATATAGTGTACCCAAAAATGTAAAAAATATATGGTGCCAGTGTGAAATTTATGCTCCAAAAATCTATTATGTATTGGCTCCGTGTATGGAGCTGTAGAATAAGACTCTAGTATGAGCACTTAAGTTAGGAGGGCATGCTATTTTGGCAAATGAAGCAACTGTCATTTTACATAATTTCCAAGTTGGAACTCTACATTTGTATATGTGGTCCTTGCTTCATCATCCATGATAGTTCCTTCACTTAGCTAGTTGACATGCCCTTACGGGCTTAATGAGCTGGGTTCTCTTTATTGTCTGACTGTCACTGTATCAGTGATAGCTGTCTATGGATGTGTTGTGATTTTGCATCTCATTCAGGCCCATCCACTGTTTCAGCATCAAGATAAATTTAAAATACGGATGTATCTAATATATTGGCTGTTCTATAATAAAAAATATTTCTACACTGTTACACAGACTGCAGAGGAAGCTATGACACCAATTGAATCTACATTTTCCTTGGATGTTTCTTCCAAATTGGACTGGTGCGTTTGCTTCCTTAAGTTTTTCTTTTCAAATCTATATGGCAGTCACGGAAGGTCCAGTTATTTTTCTTCCTCACATGTGCTTGATAGATATTATTTTATAAGCCTATGTCTGGCTGAAGTTGAGTTCAACCAAAGTATCTTGAATCACTTGATGTGTATCTGAATTATATATCTGAATATTTATCTCATTCTTTTCCTTGTTCCATGATTAACATTGAAGTGGAAGAGTATGTCAAATCAATGAGTTTCTAAGAGCTGGGGATGTTACAGCTCTCCAGTCCTGATAATTTTTTTTCTGTTGTCTTGAATCCTACTCTTTATTGGAATTTCTGCATAGTTATGTATTTAGTGAACAGAATGTTAATTGCTAGTGAGTACCAATGTCTAACTTCAAAACTTTGATATATTATATTTGCTTATTTGACGATGTTATAAGTAACATGAGTAAGTTAGGATATTCTGTTCTTTCCTATGCTTAAATAGCCTATGTTGATTTATTTATATATATGATATATGCTTATATTTCATAAAATCTATTGTTTGATTTGGGAGTATCACATTCCTTATTTCTTTGGAATGCTAGGAAAGGCTATCCATTCTAATAGAGTAATTAGAGGGAGGTTAGTTTTCGAGGAATGGAATGTCAGCTTAACTTATACTATATAATTTTTTGAAACCTAATTTAACTCTGCAGACAAAATTCCCAAAAATGAGGGGAGAAAGGCCAATGAGTTACCTTTCTTTCTTATGACCTGTGACTGTCATTGAGCCACACACATTTCTGACCATAAGTATGTATATTTAGAGCTAAGTAAAGTCATATATTTTTTTCTGCTTTATCACAGGGAAGCGATTGGTAAAATTCTTACACGAGGTCATAGCCGTATTCCCGTATACAGTGGAAATCACAAAAATATAATTGGCCTCTTACTAGTGAGTGTGATTGCCTATAGTGTATCCAAAATGCTTAAGAAATATTTTTGTTGGTACTGGCTGATAAAAACAGTTTGCCACTCTTATAATTTGCTAGGTAAAAAATCTTCTTACTGTACGAGCTGAAGCAGAGACTCCAGTTGGTGCTGTTTCCATCCGAAGAATTCCTAGGTTTGACCAATCGTGCGATTCTATTTAATCTTTTCTAATTTCTCAATTGAATTAAATTATTATTTCTCCTTAACCCAGGGTTCCAGCAGACATGCCTTTATATGATATCCTCAATGAGTTTCAAAAAGGAAGCAGCCATATGGCAGCTGTAATCAAGGTTATAAGTGAGAGAAACAACCCTCAGGCTGCTGGTGATATTGAGAAATACAAGGATGAAGAAGTCATCAAATCCAGTTCTCAACTAACTATTCCATTTCTGGCCAGGTCTTCTGAGAAATCAGAGAATGTTGTCAATATTGACAAACCTCCTAAACATTCTGCTTGCCAACAATGTCAGAAAAATGGCACTACAGCAAATGGTGTCCACCACTTTCCTGATAATGCTGAAGATGGAGAAGTTATTGGCATCATAACCCTGGAGGATGTTTTTGAAGAACTCCTGCAGGTAGCCTCTACTCTTACTATTCACATCTTGTATGTTTATAGTTGCCAGACTCACAGAGAATTGGGAATCGTAGATTATCTACAACCAACCTGGTTATCTACTATATTTTTATTGTCATTTCTTTGAGCTTATGTCACTTAAATTGGGGTTGTGTGTGCATTATTCGTGCAACAAAGAAGATACAATATGTTGCCTATAGAATGAAAATTTTTGCTAATATTTTCATCCATTCAGGAAGAAATCGTAGATGAGACTGATGTGTATATAGATGTACATAGAAGGTGATCTAAATTTTTTAGTTTATTTATTTTCTCTATCTCTCTACATTTCCCATAGCTCTTAAATGGCTACTAAATGAATGTGGAATACATGATGAATTTGGCAGAATACGTGTTGCTGTTGTGGCAGCTGCTTCATCTGTGGCACGAGATCCATCTAGCCGGAAGTTGACAGGTCACAAGTCTATAGCAGGTTAAAATCAGTTTTTGGATTTCTCTCTCTCTTAATGTTTAAGCTTGGAATATAAAGTTGACCATTATGTCGGGGCAGTTTGGATTGCATACTAGAACTTAACTTATTTTGTCAGCTGCAAGTAAATATTGAAGTACATTATTATTCTGCATTAATTAATAGCATATGTCAGGCTAGAGTTCAAGTGAAAGATGATTTTAAAATCATTGGAATAAAAATGCCTTGCATGCTATAGATTAAGTTTGGAGCTCAAGGTTTTCACTTTTCCATGTCTGTAATCTAGATATTCTACTAGTAAATTTCTGTAATATTGTGCCAACTTCTAAGTTAATTTTCCAGCTTCTGCGGCAGACCTTCAGGAGCAATTTACCGCCAAAGTCATTTCAAAAAAATGACAAATTAGTCTCAAGTCTCAACTCTCAAGTGATTGCTTTCATGAAAGATTTTTCAAAATACATAAATTATGTAAAACTTTTTTTTTTCTAGATGCTTTCAACCAAACACACAGTTCTGATAACAATTACAGCATCGTTATGATGCTGGTGTGATATTATCCAAATATTTAGATATCTTATATTGAAATTTGAAATAAAGTTGCTTTCCTGCAGGGGAACCAAACAAGCAGGTGAAAGCTTGACTAAGTTTATAGATGATGACTTACATTCAAGGAGAGTTTCAGGATATCTGATGGAGTATCTCCTGGGCAATACAACATTAGATTAAATCATACTCTTTCTGTATAAAGTTGTGTGGCCACTGCCACTGGTGCATTTTGATGTTAGGACGTTATAATATAGCTTGGAGATGTAGGTCATGCTTTTTTTTAGTCTTTTTTATAAAAATGTAGGTTTTGGATTTAGGAGAGTAAATTTTTATATTTGAAATTTTTGTTTTCTATGCAATTTTGTTTGAATTAATAGGACTTCATGCCTATCATAACTGTTGCTTTTCTCGCTGAAGTTCGGTTTGTTGCACATAGTTTTTCTGTATTTCATAATTTCTGCAGTATATATATATATATATATATATATATATATATATATATATATATATATATATATATATATATATATATATATATATATATATATAGTAGGATACACACAAATAATGTTACGCACAATGTTACGTTCACATCTTAACCGTTGATTTCCGCCAATCAACGGTTATCATTTATTGCGAATTAATAATTAATTAATATATATATATATTAACAAGGATGTTGATTATGATGGCAAAAAAATGGCCAAGAAAAATTTTGACCATGCAAAATGCCAGTTTCTCTTAACAAACTGACCCATGTACCAGGATCTTATCGTGGCTTTGTCTATCTCTTTGTATATTGGAAGAAAATTGCTTTGTCATTTTCTGTTCAAATGAACTGTTTATATCATCGACTCATCTACTCTAGTACTATTAGAAGTTCAAAATTACCGTCCTTTCAACTTTTTTTTTTCTACCCTGCTTTTATATTAGTAAATGTAAGCCGTATAAAAATGTGGAAATTTTCAGTCTTTAGAAAAATGACTATATCATTCAAGTCTTGGATGTTTGGACTTCATAATTGAGCAATGGCAATTACTATATCTTTTTTCTACCCCTCTAGTTGGACACATAAAGCTAAGCTAGAAGCAATGTTCAAGGTCAGATGAAGAAAAAGATTACATGCTAGAAGATCTCATACCAATCCTTCGTCGGAAGTTTGATGTATGCAATAATATGTACAAAATCTGACCTAGCGTATGCTGTTGGAATGGTAATCTGGTATCTGTCTAACCTTGGCAAAAGAGCATTAGGAATTAGTGAAGTAGATCTTCAAGTATCTAAGAGAAACAACAAGTTTATGTAAAACAGAGTTGGAAGGCTTTACGGATGCTAATTTAGGAGAAGACGTTGACTTAAGGAAATCGACGACAAGTTATTTGATGACCTTTGCAGGAGGAGCTATCTCCTGGCAATCCAGATTACAAAAATGCGTTGCACTTCAATGATCGAGGTCTAGTAAATTGCGGCGACTGAAGCTTGCAAGGAGATAATGTGGATGAAGAAGTCTTCCTTGAGCTCGGCCATGTGCAAAACAAATATGAGCTGAAGTGTGATAACCAAAGTCATTCATCTAGCGAATAACTCTTATCACTCTTGCACTAAACATATAGACACGAGGTATCATTGGATCCGAGATGTGGTGAAGGATAGACAACTCGAACTCATCAAAGTGCACGCAGACTTAAATTGGTATGACATGGTGACCAAGCCGGTACTAATAAGAAAATTTGAAGAATAATGGGAAGGTGTCAGGCTGCTAAACCTGACACATTAAAGTTGAAAAGGGGAGATTTCTTGGGGTATGTTCTTATATTTAATGCCAGAGGCTAGGCATGCACTAAATTTATGGGTGCATAGCTCAATGTCTGAACACAACCACCTCAATAAATGTTGTCCACCTCATTATTAGCGAAGATTCTAGAAGAAGGTGTACGGTTTCTCCTTATCTTTATAAACATAAGAAACCCTTTGTAATAGGTTAGCTAAGATAGCCTTGAGTGAAACGCTTTGAAGAGAAGTTTGAGAACGAGAGCTCTTTAGAGAAGAACCTTATAATTGTTGGTGAAATTTGAATGTACCTCTAGTATGACTATGGAGGTTTGATTTCCTTTATAATCCTATTATTTACAGTGAAAGATTTTCTAGACTAGGTTCTGTGATTTTTTCTTCTCTGCACTAGAGAAGGTTTTCCAAGTTAAAATTTGTCGTGTCTTCTTTCCCATCTTTTATTTCTACAATTTTTGTTTGTTTAGCATTTGGCCGACCTGATACTTTAAGCCAGCCTCAAAGTGCCGAGTTGGGAGCTCAACATGTTGACCTATGAATTGAGGGTCCTAATATGATTTTACCCAGCTTAAATCGGACTAGTATCCAATCGATAAACCGATGGATAGTATAAAAAAAATACAATTGCAAAAACACATTATGTGACCTGACCAACCGTAGTGATATCCTGAGTCATAGCACCTGTAGTGATATAGGAAATGGTTTGTAATCCATTGACTTAAACCCCAATTTGGTCGGTGATATGGGAGAAGGTTGGATTTTTGCATTAATTTATTCAGTTAAATACTTATATCTAAGCATGGCCAACTTTCTGACATGGTAATAACTTTGGTACACTGGCTTCACTTTAGCATAAAACTTAAAAGGCAAGGACTGATCTTTATTATAAAAAGTGGGTTGACACTTCAAAACTACAATCAATGAAACTGAGGCCTGAGGCTAGTTTGTAATTTACACAATCAGCAAGTACCCTGCTTCATCTAGTTTCTTTACGTACCTACCTACCAACCAACATACATAATTAAGCTTCAGTTTATTGCTTCTGGCTTGTTATGGTTAATCAGCAAAAATTGGAACCCGAACGCAATGGCAGTGGCACTGTGGCACCGAGCACTGATAGTTTAGTCGTGCCAGCACAAGAGTAACACAGTGCATCTCCATATAATGTAAAGTCGAGTCTTCCTCTGCCTAATGTATTTGGAACACCGTTCCCATGGCCGAACCTTTGAACCCCTCACTGATGAAAATAAACTACCTGTCATCATTTGGTTTCAAGACTTTAAGCTTTGAATCCCCTTTATCAAGGGAGAGAATAAGTCATCATATAAATAGGGGAAGAGGTTGAAGATATGAAAGAAGTCAATTTGTGGTGTTGCAATGTTGTGGTCCATGATTGTAGTAATGAGACATGTCCCACTGTCCATCTAGGATGACTAGGTGACACCACCAATTACAAGGATCAACTCGCACATGTTGTTTCAGTTTAATTAGTAGCCTTGAGTTCGAGTCTTGTGTACGTAGTTGTGTCAAGAAACTTGGCGTACCACAACTAAAAAAAAAATCTTCACAGCATTGAGATTTCATATGAATATGTGGATGGAGTGAGAGAACCTTGGACACTCAGAGACTAATAATAAGGCTTCAGATGTATCTATCCTCCTCATGTTGTTGTTGTTGTTGTTGAATACAACAAGACATGAATTTCCACACGAGGCCAGAATATACATAATCATGTATGCATAGCTTAGGGGATCCAACAACAACTTGAAGACGCATGCAAGCCCTCAGTAGAATCCACAGTCACGTGTACGGTGTCGCCTAAAACTAACGTTGTCATTGTCAACCCATTTTGCTGGCTACCATGACACCACGTCAAAGGTTTCAACACCCTTCACATTCACCACGTACTCATCTTTAGAAGCTTCCCTGTGAAGATCTTCAACTTCGAATGGTGTTGTGAGTTACACCGATACAGACACGAGACATGGTATATGGGATACGACACTACATTTCAACATATTAAATTTAAAAATGCTAGATTGCGACACGTTAGGACATATTTTGATATTATATAATATTTTTAATTTATGTAGTGTATATTATATTTAATATTTAATAAGTTAACAAAAAAATAAAGCTAAACTTATAATATCCATCAATTTTGCAAATAAACATAAAATTTCTCATATATTTATGTTAAACTCAATAGAATGATAATCGTAATATAACAAATTTAATAGTTGAAATTAAAAATACAACGTGTTCTGGATGGCCCAAATACTGGGGCGGCCCAACTACACAGGCCCAACTCAGCTGGCCCAATCACTCAAGCCCAGCCACAGCCTTGCCCCATGGACCCCCTCAACCCCCAACGTAGCAGCAGGCCCAAGGCATACACCAAAATGTCTCATCTTGGAACGCTAACTGTTGAAAGCGACTACGACAGAAACCACAAAGGGAAACTCCCCCTTTGCCCGGCGCTGACACTGCCAGAGTGCAGAGGGCGCAGCACTGCCACAATGACAGCGCCAGCACGCCTAACACTGCACCATGGGAGTAAATCCCAAGGAGAGTTGACCTCTCCCTCACCAGCCCGCTCCATTTCCCTTATAAATAGCCCTCCTGGGCACACCTTAGAGGTATCTTTTATGTACTGTTGTTATGCCCATTTACTTCCAAGTCATTCTCTTGCTATTAATCTGCCATTACTATTAGCTTGCTTGCCTCTTGGAACTATACCTACTAGTCTGGCCATTACCTCGCCTAGTGGTATAATCCATATAATAACATTACCCTATAGGGTACATAGTGGGCTCACAGAACCTAACGGTACACAATGCAACGCAACTTTTGAATCCTTTTTTGAGTCTCTGTAATGTGTGTTGGAGTGTCGAGAAGTGTCGGAGACAAAACATCATATATTTTGAAATGTCATGCATCATAGGTTTTCAGTTCTCAGTCACATTTAATTGCAAGTCCTGCGTCGGGTTTGTCCATAGCTCCAAAAATAGACAGACTGGGCCAGATTCTATGACTTAGTGGGTTGAGTCCAGTACCCGTGTAAGAGGGACTTTGTTCCTGGGCCGTAGCTTTCCATTGGGCCCGACCCACGTGAACGAATCTGTGACTTGATTTTGAAGGTAGGACAGGGAATTAGAATATGACGCTTTTCATTATAATTTAGAAGTTATTTTGTTCAATTTTAATAAATGGTGTATGTAAGTACTGTGATGGATATTTTGGTGGTTAGATAGCGTACCGTGTTATTCACCAAGAACACTATCAACTATCTTAATCAATGATAAGATTCACTCTCACTGTCATTATTATTGCTATGTTCTTAGCTTAACCTTTTAGAATTTATTTTGGGAGGGTTTGGCTAAAGGAAGCTTTCATGACCTTATCTCAATAGGACTAGAGATTAAAAAATCAAAAGGGATAAGATATTTGAGGTGCAATAGTGTGATATCTACCCCTAGGGCACTCGACAGTGACACCCCCATTTGCGGTGCAATAGTTACTTTTTTTTATATTTTTTTTTTTTTTTGAAATTTTATCACAAATTTATCGGTTAATCAACTAATCTACTTGAACCGAATAAGATTACAAAGACAATAAAATTCTACCTACTAAATTTTTAACTGGGTGACTAATTAAGCTGGAATAACTCTTTATTAATTAATCCTCTTCCTTGGTTATTTCAATTAGTAAATTGATCTCTCTAATTTTTTTATTTATTTTTAAAAAAAAAGGTAAAATAGAAAAGGAGAAGACGTTACTACTGCATTCACAAGCCAAAAATAATGCACATTCCCGTTTGTGTTTACATAAAAAGATAACAACTCAAATCAATTTCCATTAATCAACTTTTTTAAATAACTTCTTAAATAACATTTGTTAAAATGTTGAGTTGATTCGGTAGAAATAGCCGCTTTTTACATTTAAGATAAATTTGATTGATTCATTGAATTTACCGAATTGACTTAGTATAAAAAAAAAAATCTAGTTCTTCCCAAATTAAGAAAATAAAAAATGAACCATGTTCACGTCTCTATTGTTCGCGTCCTAGTTGAGTGTCTCTATTGGTCGCCTCTCTATTGTCTTCTCCGTTCGTCTTCGTCCTCAATCTTTCGTCCGTCCTCACTTCTCTGAATTTATTGGTGAATTTATTAGTGAAAAATGGAAAGAAGAACATGATATTAACTTTGATTTCGATGACTTAAATTAGAGATGTTGAATCTCTTTTATAATTTTATTTCCTTTGTATGGATTTAAATTTAGAGTGACTTTGTATAGATGTGTTTTGAATTTATATATGTTGGATATTTTTCGTCGCTTTTCCTTTCGCTGCTGATGAGAAAAGTTACAGCAAATTATTAACACTAGGATACGGGGTCATATCTTGACCTAAAAAAAAAAAAAAACCACATCAAGATCCGGACGCGTATCCTGATGAAAATAAGTGTTGCTGCACTTTTTCCCATCTGCAGTGATCGAAAAAGTATATAACCCTTAGTTTTTTTAGTATAAAATAGACTAACGTTTCATTTACATTTTTCTATTCATCTATGCCGTTTTTATGTAGAAACTATGTTTTAACAACAATACTTATATCACAAGGCCAAATCAGTACTTTAATACAACAACACACACTACGTACGTAGAATAAATCTTTGGTACTACTGTTGTACCAAAATTCAGCGCATCTCATCAATTAGAACATTACACATCAGAGAAGAGAGAAAAATTTTGACAGAAAAAACGGAATTTTAACTGACATGTAATATTTTCATTGGTGGGATGCACTGAATCTTTAGTACAGCAGTAGTACCAAGGATTTATTCACGTATCAGATACTCACTAGAATAAACAATATCTACCAAATATACATTCTTTTTGTTTCAATTATCTTCAACATGAGCAATAATCTGAAGTGACTAGATTCCGTTAAGCCTCCCCCAATGCCTTCTTGATGTCATTCTGTAAAGACAACGAAACAAGTAATGAGTACAAAAATTCAAGTTTCAAGAACATAAAATATGGAAAAACATTTTTTTCATGTTGCATGAAAATTCAATTCTCATGTTCTGATCCTTCGATTTGCGTGCAAAACTTTTCATTTTTTTTTCTCTTTTTAATAAATGTGGGACTCACCACTAATTGAATCACAAAATGAGAATTCAATTCTCATACAACAACATGAGAAAATCAAACCCCACGTAATATACCAGCTTTTTTCACATTGTCATACCAAGCCTCTAGTTACATACCAATAACCCCTCACACACACACACACAAAAAGAAATTATTGCATATCCCTGAAGCGCTATGTAAGATTGAGCTCCCCCGTCCATACCTTGACATCTTAGCCTTAATAATAATGGGATCCATTACTCACATATTTATCATTTTTTTTTATTTTTTTTTTAAGTAAAGCTGAGATAATAATTATGTAGGTGGTGGCCCAATCATTATTTAAGGCTTAGATGTCAAAATACAAATGCAATGACCACAATCTTAGATGGTGCTCAAGGGAGAGAGAGAGAGAGAGAGAGAGAGAGAGATTACTTCAAAGGCCAAAGGTGAGGTGGTTGGACCATAACGCCCTATAGCTTTCCCTTCCTTGTCAACCAAAAACTTGGTGAAGTTCCACTTTATCCTAGACCCCAGAAATCCTGTTTTCTGTTGTTTAAGGAATTTGTAGACAGGTGCTGTATTGGGTCCGTTGACATGTATCTGCAAATTAAAAGGAATTGAATATATGTATATATTATTTTGTTAACAACACAATGCTTAAAAAGATTGCAGATTGGTGGACAGTACAGTTATAATTATTTAGTAATACAGCAAAGAGATGCATAACATAACCCACAAAGAAATAATTCAAGAACAAACAGATGCATATCTAGACTCACTCATTTGTAAAGATGAACATAAACCTTTAGATGCAGCACATACTCTACTCACTCCTCCAACATGCTTTCCAATTGGCTTCTGTTAATTACTTTGGAAGACTAGATGCCAATACAAAACCAAAATTTCATACATCTTTTCCTTCTACCAATACATTTTATGTTGGCTGAATTGACAAGACAAAGCATTGCTTTTTTTAAAAAAAGAAAAAAATTATAGCTCTAGACCTATCCAACACATTGTAGACCAATCCACTAATGATATAGATAGCTCTAGAATTTAATTGAGCAGAAAAAACAGCACTTTATCTCAATGCTCATGTAGATTTTATTTCAAGTCATATCTGAAGTAATCCAAGGTATTTGACATTGATAATATTCATATTTTAATGAGAGAACCACTTTTTCTCAATTTCAATTTACAATAAAATTGGGAAATTTCTAGCTCATTCCACCTTGAAAATAGCAAGCTCAAAACTCTAGCAAGTCAACTTGCAAGGTTTGATAAACATGTCAATAAAGTAAGACATGCAGCAGGGATTTTGGAACTCATTGCTCAATAAGTATACAACCCAATCTGTATACAACTAGTCAACTCACAAGTAAAATAAATAGTTCAAAGTTTAACAGAAATTATGCTGTTATAGCTGCACTCTTTTTTTTCTTTTTTGGTGACATAGAGATTTGAACCTATAATCTCTTGAAAACTACCAAAACCCCTCATCACTAACCCAATCCTAGTAGCTTTGATAGCTGCATTTATGAACCTAAGACAGAGCTTGAATGAGTTAACAAGTCATGTTGTCATATAGTACATACCAAAAACCATCTCTCACCAATGAAGGTTCTATATTTTACAGTAAACTAACTTAAACTAGACAATTCTAATTTAATGAGGTTTACACTCACAGAACATTGAGTCAGAGGAAAACAATAACTAGGGTCTGACCTACAAACAGATACAAAGTCATTTTTAAACAGCTGTGTGTGTAAAAAGGTAAGCCGATTTGATCGGTGTAGCAATATTTTAATACTTGTCTAGTTCTCTTGCAATATTATGATTAACTGGAATAAATAAAAAGAAAAAGGAGAGGATTTGACTTCAGAAAAGAAGAAAAAGCAAAGTTTTAAGAGTTCACAAAAAATACATACACATAAGAAGTAATGTACTCTTTCAAATTTGACCTCAATCTTGCTTTGGAACTTATTTTTTATGCTGCTGTTTCGGAGCAATTAGCATCCTACCTAGCCAAACACTCTAAAATACAAGTAGGATGCAATAAAGAATAAAATCTATGCTTCACTGGCCACTATACGTGGTTCCTAAATTACAATACAGTTATCTCCATATCCTTATTCATTTTTCAAATTTTTTGAATAAAAAAAGGGATATGTTATCCTTATCCTTAGTCAAGTCATTACAGGAGAAAAACTGTCTTGTTAGGTGTGGATATATGCGTGTAGGAGTCCTAATCATGGTTTAAGCATCCTGCTCTCATACCTTGATCACAGTTTTGAAGAATCATATATGGTATTCAGTAGATGCAATAACGAGTTTACCAAAACTAACAAAATTGTTTAGACCTATGCAACATGATATCTTCCCATATAAAAAAGGGTTCACTTAACCATTACTAAACAACTTAAAACTACTGGATTCGATGACAAAACATGGTGATGTAAACCAAATCAATCAATAACTTGATTATTGTCCTTTCATTCATTTTGGAGTTTCCAACATCCAACAATAAGCTCAATAATAACCAGGACAGAAAAACGATCAGTAAAGGATCCAGATACCCTACACAAAAATCCAGCACCATACCTTTCCAAAAATGGGATATTCAGCCTTGTATCTTGTACAAGCAAATTGCTCAGCCTCCTGACTAGTCCCAGGCTCTTGATTCAAAAACTGGTTGCATGGAAATGCCAATATCTCAAGACCTGAGATCAGCCAACAAAATATTCTCAAGTGTGATCAATTTCAGAATTTCTTTTAGGCCCATCAGTCCAAGTTCAAAATGATTTGCAAAGCAAAGATACAAATTTAGAATTCAAGAAGAACATGCAATAACTGTTATGCAACTGCAAGCCTCAAAAACATACCTCTGTCCTTGTATTTGCTGTAAACCTCAGTTAACTGGGTGTAATTGGTATTTGTAAATCCACTGTATTTTAGACCCCATGAATTTAATTAGCTAAACCCATGAACAATTACACTAGAAAGAGAAGGAAAGATTGAATTTTTATAGTAAACACAAGAAGAAAGTTCAATTAGAGAAAGGAGAAAAAAAAAAGGAAAAACCATTTTGAAGCGACATTAACTACAAGAAGAACTTTCCCCTTGTAGTTGCTGAGGTTCACGTCTTTTCCCCTCGCATCCTATGCCAAACAAAAACCAATATGGTAAGAAATTTACATAATGATCTCCAAAATCCAATAAAAAAAAATGGGTTTTTTATTATTATTTTTATTTTTATTTTCTGAAGTTGAGAATTTTAGAAAAGCATGTACCTTGACCGTGAATTCATGGATGGATTTTTCTGAGATTGATTGTGAAGCACCCATTTCTCTCTCTGCCTTCCCTTCAATTCAAGACGTGAAGACTAGTTCTCACTGCTTTCTCTCTCCTCTCTTTCCTAATTTAGATGCTGATCTGTCTCTGTTAATATTTGGGTATTTCACACTCTGTCGGTTCAACATTTTATACTATTCTCAATCTCAATTCTGGTTCGATAAGTTTGAGGTACAGCGATGGCAGATAGACAGATAGATAGACAGTTAACCTTTGTGTTTTTTAAGATAAAAGTTGACAATGTTTCCAATTCAACAATATTTGTAAGGAAAAAATCTTTATCTTTTTAAATATCCTTTCACTTTCATCGAGAGGTGGGATTCACCATACCTTTATTTTATTTTTTGTCAAGTCTCTATCCTCATATATATATATATATATCTCTTTTTAGGAGTGTTCATCAAACGATCTAAACAGATTCAAATCACGATGACCGAACCGAAAAATCGATAACCGAATAAATCGAAAATCGAAAATTCGAGAATCGAAAAAAATCGCAAATTTTAATTGGATTGGATCGGTTTTCAAATGAGTTGATGAAAACCGATCTAATCCAATCCAATTCAATATATTAATTTTCCTCTACCTACTTGGATCTTTTCCTAATCATAGCCCAAAAATTTCTAAACCCAAGACCCATTAACACATCAACTAAACCCAAGAAAAAACCTAGTCATATCTCATCAACAAAATTCCATCTATGTAAAGCTTCATATTTCATTGCAAAAAAAAAAAAAAACTATATTATCGTTTACTGATGCTTTTGTATTTCAAAAAAAAAATTACAAAACCTATTATACAAAAGATGTTATTTGCACAATAACTGTGAAACAAATTTTAGGATTTTCAAAAAACTGAAAACCGATCCAATCCAAATCGAAAAAAATTGGATTGGATCGAATGAAATTTGAAAAAAAACCCAAACCGAATAGATGATTACATGATTAAACCAAAGAGATTGGATCAGATGATTTTTATTTCCAAAATCGATCCAATTCAGACCGCGAACACCCCTATCTCTTTCTCTCTCTCAAAATGACACAACTTTACATCCTTTAAAATGACACACATTTTTTCCTATTTTTAATTGATTAAACAAAAATCCAGAATTTCAAATCTCTATTATCAATATTTAATTTTTTTTTAGTAAATAACATTTTCGGTCCTCGGCAAATTTTACGATGTCCGCTTTAGTCCCTAGTAAATAAAAAGCCTATTCGTAGTCCTTAAGAAATTCAAAGTGAACCCATTTAGTTCTCTTGAGGGACTAATGTGGATCTTTTTAAATTTGTGAGGGTTACGATTTCAACTAAATGAGTATATTTTGAATTTCTTAGGGACCATGAATAACCTTTTTATTTGCTAGGGACTAAAATGGACATCATGAAATTCGATGAGAATCAAAAAAGTATTTACTTTTTTTTTCTCGACATGATTATAACTAATCGTCAAAATAACATAGTAACATACTATTATTTTGACTATTGACTGGTTCCCTTACACACCCTATTACCTTGTAACTCTGGGTATATATGGTGTTAATTGATTTATGGGAAAAGTGTGTGTCATTTTAAAAGATGTAAAGTTATGTTATTTTAAGAGAGGGAAAGAGATAAATAAAGGAGGAGAAAGAGTTGACAAAAAAAATAAAGGTGTAGGTCTCATCTCTTTGTGAGAGTGAAAAGATATAAGTTGTGTCGTTTAAAAAGATTAACATTTTTTCCTTGATTTACATTTGTGAGAATGAAAGGATATAAGTTGTGTCGTTTGAAAAGATAAACATTTTTTCTTGATTTATATGGCTTTTCACTACACTACAAATTCATAGCATCGGAAAGAGATAAATAAGGGAGGAGAGAGAGTTAACTAGAAAAAATAAAGATGTGGATCTCATCTCTTTGTAAGAGTGAAAGAATATAAATTATGTAGTTTAAAAGGATAAATATTTTTTCCTTGATTTATATGGCTTTTCACTACACTACAAATTCATGGCATCGGAACAGTCATGTCAATCATTTTTTTCTTTTTCATAAAATTCGTGCTTGACAAAGTGAGAAATTAGTTTTTTAAAAATGCTATCAACGAGGGAAAATTAGTCGATGGAGAAGATATTTCCAATGAAAACAAAAATTAAAAATTCTGGTGCCTAACAAAATATCTCAAACTAATTTTCCTATGACAAAAACGAAAGAAAGAAATGTCCCGAATAATTTATATTCCCTCATAATAAAATTATATATATTGAAATTAAGATCATAAAAATTGTACATTAACTTAAATGTAAACTTTTGTTTACACCAATTGGATAGGTTATTTAACTTATCTTTTTTTCTGTCTATTTTTTTCTACTATTTTAAAAGAATATTATATCATAATCTTAATTAACATTTATCTTTCTCTTTTTCCTTTAGATTCTGATCTAATAGTGTTAGAGAGTGATAGACAAAAAAAATAAATAAAATAACCGATCCCACCAAAGAATATACTTTTAAATATATGTATGTTTTGAAATACATAATTAAAATTATAAGAGTTTTAAATAAAAAAAATTATAAACATAACCTGACCCTAGTTTTCAATCTACCACGATATCAAGGGTATACTCGCACATGCACAATTTTAGCCAGTTGGTATTAATCACCGACTGTCATCTCTTTATTTAATTTTTTTGATATAATAATAAAAATAAGACACACAATCTGATACAAATTCTAATGACTTACTGTCATCTCTTTATTTGCTGACAGTCAGAAAAACATTATTATCCCATGAAAAGAACATGCTCTCAAGCGCATAGAAAGTTCCTAAAAAGTAATATTACATTTATTTTTAATTTCAAATAAAATGAAATATGTTGTGATGCTTATCCATTCAAATATGAGAAATAATTATCTTATGCAACAGAAATAAAATAATGAGGTCTATTATTTTTATTTTTATTTTTGAAAAAAAGTGGATCCCATAATTTTATATTTGTTGCATGAGATAATTATCTTATACAACATGAGATTAATTGATAGATCCCTTCAAATATATATGGGCTTTCAACTTTTTTTTTCTTGGGATAAGTTTAGAATTTAGAAAAGTTGGGACCCACCTTATAAAAAGAAAAAACAGATGATGCGAAAATTAAAGTGAGTAAATTAAAGTGATATATATATATATATATATATATATATATATATATATATATATGAGGTAGGATTCTTTGACACCAGTGTCGAATTTGAAGTTTGACACCTCATCTGAGAGCCGTTAGATCAAAAAAGATCAATGGTGTCACATGCTTATAAATCAGAGTCGTTGATCTTTTTTGATCTAACGACTCTTACATGAGGTGTCAAACTTCAAATTTGACACCGGTGATTTGAAGTTTGACACCTCATCTGATAGCCGTTAGATAAAGAAAGATCAATTGTGTCAAATGCTTACAAATCAGAGTCGTTGCTCTTTTTTGATTTAACGACTATCAGATGAGGTGTCAAATTTCAAATTTGACACTGGTGTCAAAGGATCCTACCTATATATATATATATATATATATATATATATATATATATATTTATGGGTCAGGATCATTTTACACTAGTGTAAGTTACACTCTCAATCTTGACCATTGATCCCATTTATATCTAAGGGCTCTAATTTTTTAGTAATATGAGCCATTGAATGCAAGTGGATCAATGATTTAGATTGAATGTAAGACTTCTAACTCTTATACTGGTGTAAAAATATCCTGTCCCTATATATATATATATATATATATGAGGAAGGTTATAGTTACAACCTTTTTTTTTACAACCTCTTACAACCATATATCATAACCGTAGATTTCCGCCAATCAACGGTTGTATTTTATTATGAATTAATAATTAATTAATGAATTTAATTTGCGAAAATCATAACCGTTGATTGGCGGAAATCAACGGTTATGATATATGGTTGTAAGCAATGGCGGACACACCTTAGTGCAAGTGTCTGCACTTGCAGACACAAAGTTGGGGAAAAACAAAATTTCACATTAGATGGGTGCTTCAAGTCAAGTAAAAAAAAAAGAAAAAAAAAAGAAATAGGAAGATTAAAGGAAAAAGGTAAAAATATGTCCAACCCAACCAACCCTTATAATTAAAAGTTTAAAGTTTAAACCCTAGCCCATTGCTTTGTCTATCTCCTTTTTCTAATAAATCTTATTAGCTCCAAATCTTAATAAACATCAACATTCCTGAAATTGAATCTTCATCAAGTGGAGGAGAATCTCCCGAAATTTTTCACGTTTTTTTGTGAAACAAAAGTGGCCAACTTTGGATCAAATAGACATCGACAAAGGTTGGTTTTTGATCGATTAACTCTTATAGTTATACTACATTTTACAAATGTCTTTTTTTGGTGTTTATTTTTTTTTAAAATTATCATTATCTATTATTCTCTTAAAACTTTAGTTGATTCACCAAAGCTTTACTTTTGAAGTGGAAGCAAAAATTGAATCATGATTATGATCTTTAAAATAAAAAAAATAAAAATTGTGCAGACATAAAGAAAATATCCTGGGTCCGCCACTGGTTGTAAGAGGTTGTAAAAAAAAAGGTTGTAACTATAACCTCTCTCTTATGTTTATCTCATTTTTCATGAGATAAACAACTCTCCTACACACACAAAAAGGGATTGAGTCCCACCACTCTTTTTTCTCTCTCCTCTTACCTGTGGGTCCCACTTATACTTTTATTTCTACAACATGAGGTAGTTTTTTTCTACAACATAAGAAAAATATATCAACACACACATATATATATATATATATATATATACTTCTCTGCAGTTGTTTTCGGAGGATCATAATCATATAAAGGTGAATGAAAATATTAAATGCGAGAAATCATACTCAATCAACGGTGTAAGATTTATTGCTGGACGTCCAGCAACCGGAGAAATAAATTTATCATATATATATATATATATATATAGTTATTACTCTTATGTCACATAAGATATGTATCTCATGTGGGTGAAAAAAAATTGTAGGGCCCACAATTTTTTTTTTTTAAAAAAATGGACACAAGATTTCATGAGTATACAACATAAGATAACTATCTTATGTGACATAAGATAACTATTTCCCATATATATATATATATAGGGTTCGCTTTTTCTGCAGTTACTGCAGATAACTTATCTGCAGTAAGCCAATACGACGTCGTTTTGAGGCGAAAATCATGGAGCTTTTGTAATTTTAATTTATTTCAGGGTTATAATAGTCTTTATATTCATAATTTTTTAAGATTTCAATACCAAAACGACGTCGTTTTGAGAATAAATGCAGATAACTTATCTACATTAACTGCAGAAACATTTTTCCCATATATATATATATATTTTTTTTTTGATAACAACCCATATATATATTTTAAGAATTAGAAGGCTTACACCAAATCTGAATCATTGATTTACTTATATATAAAGGTTCAAATATCTAATAAATAAGAGTCATTAGATAAAATAGGATCAATGATTAAGATTGAGAGTGTAACTTTTACTGGTATAAAATGATCTTGACACATATATATAAGGTTTAATAGTTCTCATGTTCTAAAAAATAATTTTATCTCCTACACATATAAAAGTATGTGAAAACCATATGAGTTCATGTAAAGAGAAGAGAGAAAAATAGAAAATATGATTCTCACATATTTTTATTTGTGTATAGGAGATAAATTTATCTATTATAACATGAGCAGTGACGGAGCCACGTTGGGGTAGGAAGCCTTGGCTTAGGCTAAATTTGAGAAATTAGCCACGATTTCAACGTGGCTAAAGAAACGTAGCTAGTTTGCAGGCTTATTTTCAAAACATTAGCCACGTTTTAGTGTGGCTAAATAACTATCGCCCATAATAATTTTTTTTTGGCATGGGCTAGGTTGCTACAGTGGCTCTGTCACTTGACACGAGAAACAATAAATCTTATAATATATATATATATTTATGTGGAAAATTGGTTGTCCAATCACGATACTATAACTATGTATTTTTGGGAATACATAGTTATAATGTTAAAGTTATATTTCTTTTTCTCTTCGTAAACTTGTATGCAGACATAAAAGGTGAAAAAAATATAACTTTTTTTTTTTGGTTTCCCAAGGTATCCTTCGGCCGACAACCAAAGATTAATCATTTCAACTTTAATATTATAATTATGTATTTACGAAAATACATAGTTATAATACGATGACTGGATAAAATCTGATATTTAGTGAATGGACACTAGATAGACCCATATATGTGTGTGTGTGTGTGTGTGTAAAGGGGGAATATTTTGACTCCAGAGTAAAACTTATAAGTCTTACTTTTCATCTTAACCGTTAATTTTTGCTTATCTAATGGTTGTAGTTTGGAAAGTCATTCTAATTAATTATTATTAATTATACTACAAATAACAACTGTTGATTTTCGTCCATCAATAACTGAGAAAGGGAGTAAGACTTGTAGAAATAAAAAAAATCCTCTCATATATATATATATGGAAATAATTATCATATGTTGCATGATGTAATTATTTCATGCAACAAAGACAAACTAGTGGATCTATTTTTTTATAAAAAAAAATAGATTCCATTATCTTGTCTCTGTTGTTTGACATAATTATTTCATGCAACATGAGATAAATAAAATATATATATATATAGGAAAAAATGAAAATTAAGTGACTGGACTGTCCAATGCACTAAGTTCTTTCGCGAGAACATAGTTATAATATTTACTATAACTGTGTTCTCGCGGGAGAGCTTAGTGTACTAGACCAAATTTTACATCCGTATACTCATTAAACCCATATATATATATATATATATATATATATATATATATATATATATATATATATATATATATATATGTGAGTTTGGATCATTTTACACCAGTGTAAGTTACACTCTTAATCTTGTCCGTTAATCCCACTTATATCTAATGGCTCAGATTTTTTACACCAGTGTAAGTTACACTCTTAATCTTGTCCGTTAATCCCACTTATATCTAATGGCTCAGATTTTTTAGTAATGTGAGCCATTGGATACAAGTGAATCAATGGTCAAAATGGAGTCCTGCCCTCCATGACACGGAAAACTGTGCAGTGTGTAGTTGAACATGCCAACTACCTCAATAAATTCCAATAAAATAGTGGCTACAAATGCCCCACGCGTTTTTATGTAGGGCCAGGTTTTATTGCCAGCCATCAAATCACATGCTGCATCGCATTCACAACGGAATAAATTCATGAGACAACTTTTCAGGGTTTACTGCCCAAATCGTATCAAATACAGGGATTATATTTTCTTATGCAACAGGAGATATGATATCTCATGTTTCACTCATAATTTTATGTGAATTCCATTATATAAAAAAAAATTAAAATAAGACCCACATATTTTTGAGTGTATAAGAGAGACTTATTATTTATTTATTTTTTTGGAGTCACCCAACCCTAATTATCTCTTTGAGACGAGTTGACTCTCTCCGGTATCCCCACGAGCTTCGACTCTTTGAGCCGGCTATGAGACTAATCCGGAATATATATATATAAAATATTAACAATGCTATATACTCTTGGTCACTTTGACATTAAAAATAAGTAGAAACTAATGTTATTTTTAATTTGGTTATGTTTTAATGTACTTGCTCTTAATTTTGTAAATAGTGGTGCTAAACGAATCAAGAGCCTTTGACTCGACTCGTGAAGGCCTAACCATATATGTCTAAAATTAATTGTTGGAACCAGACTTGAACTTATATAAAAACTCATTTAATAAAAAGGCTGACGTGGTATACTTGTTTTTATTTTTATTTTATATTTTTATACTATTCATAATAGCCTCCTCTCTCTCCTCAACCCCTTTTTATTGGTTAATCAGACTTTTTGAATGATTTTGTTCTATATTATGCTTTTTGGATAAACATTGAAATTATGAATCTTTGTGAAATTATTAGTGCTGTAGATCATATATTTTGTTTGAATAAATTTTTGTTGTCTTATTTTTTTAAAACAGGCTAAACTAGGCTTTTATTTTTTATAAATACGTCAGGCCACAAGCCGATAATTATATTCATAACAGGTAACAGGCTAGGTCAAACTGACATATTTAGACACAGGTTTAACCTTTTAAGACCAAAGCCCTGCTCGGTTCGGCCCGTTAACACCCCTGATTGTAAAAATTGGACTGGATCAGCCAGGTCAACCCTGAATCCGGTGAATCGGTTATCTGACAGGTCAGTTATCGTATTAGATCGACTAAGTATCAGACCCAGTGCGACCTAGCCGATTTTGGTGAAAATCGATAAGTCGATGACTCAGCCAAGTTTATTTAAAAAAATTATTAAAAAAAAAAAGTTTTCCAAAACTTTCGTAATTGACATACTTGAATGATCTTTTGCTTATTAACTTACATAAATTATGTATCTACAACACTAATATTATCTCAGTTATGCACTATGTAAAAATTTTTGATTTAATTTATAGGTAGAGATATCGTTTACTGAACCTTAAACACAATTATCACAAGCATTATATGTTTATTTGATCCTTTATTGGACACTAACGTGTAATTTATTATTTTTTAATATTAAAATATTTAAAATTTATATTATTATTTTAACTATTTTAGTATGTTTATTATTTTTTAATATAAACTATAGATTTACATGTAATCACTGAATCATGCAATTCAACCAGTGATCCACTGATTAAACTAATGACCCAGAGTTTCTGTATCTCGATCGGATCAATAACTGCGACAATTTTAAAAACATTACTTTATAAAAAAAAAACCTTATATAAGATATTATGCCTATTAATTTTCAATTTAATATATAATAGTCATAAAAAATTATAAAAAAATATTTGTACAAAAATTAATATATTTTTTAAAACATATTGATCGATAGATTTTTTATAAAAATCATACGACATACACGGAAAAATTATATAAATTTTTTATTAAATGATATTTTTATCAAAAATATTTATTCTTATCCTATCTAATATACAATACATTAGTATTATCTCATATAATATCATACCAAATGCTACATAATATTAAAATTTAATTATACTTGTACAATCAGATCTTATACTAGTATATCTTATATTATCAAATCTTATCATGTATACCAAACATACCTGCGTTTGAATTAAACGGATTGCAAACAAATAATGGGACGAAAACAACTTACTCAGCTTAGAGTTAACTGAGGGAAAAAAATTTATATATTAAGAAAACGATTTTACTATACCAAAAAAAAAAAAATATTAAGAAACAACCCTGGTGGTATAAAGCTTCCCCTATGAGCAGGATGCGAAAAGGGTATATATAATTATAAACAGTCACATCTAGTGTTTGCAAGAGGTTAATTGCATTAATCGAATCTATTACCTTTGCAACAACAGCAATGGCTCCTTTCAATTTTAACATGCAGCCCATTTAAAAAACTAAAATATATTGGCCTAACATCTATAAGGGCTTCCATGAAATAAATTATATAATTTGCAACAACAAAAATTTGATACATGACAACCTGGATAAGTTACAGCTTTCCAACAACTCTACAATGACTCTTCCTGCTCTGCATTCTGCGAAAGAGGCTACAATACATATATACAAATCTAGCAGATTATGACCATAACCTGTGCAGATTCTGCTGAACTCTCCGGAGATACTTTTTTGCATGTACAGAAAGATAGAATAAAAACCTCCTCTCCTAAATAAAGACAAAGACACGACCCACACCAAAAAGCGGTCTATTTAACATTCAATGAGTGAAATAAGTAACAATAATACTCACAGTCGAAGCACAATTAAAAAGGCCTGCTAAATAGACAGAAGTATACCAGCGCCTTCATTTCTTGGTAATTTTTGTTCATCTTGGCCGCCAAAAGCTTGAGCCTGAAACATAATTATCTTAAACCTTCACTACTTTCAAGTATTATCCCAGAATTCAAAGGAAAGAAGCAAATCAAAACATAAAATTTATCTCATGATAGATGAAAAATGTTATCGGAGTGGGTACTTACCTCTGTTTGCTACTGGAATTGCATCTTCAAAGGGTGGTCTAAAAGGCATGGAGTCCCTGTAATTCATTGAATGGGAAGGGAATCTCCACCCATGACCTGGTAATCTAGTTGATTCACTTGGATGACAAGCATAAGGGGCAGGCATACCTTTGTCATGATGCTGAGGACCTTGAAGCAGAAATCCCAAGAAAGATATATATTAATACATGAAAATACACAACCAAAGCAAACCAAGGCATGCAACCCCACCACCACCACCCATACATACACACACACACACAAAATAATAAATAAATGACATGCATCATCAGCTATGACAATCTTACCAGAATAAGGTGCAGGAACACTCCATCTCTCTTGGTAATCATATGGAGGAGGTTTTAATCTCTCGTGATTGTTATAGAAGTTCTCTCTCTTCATGTTCAGGGCAAAGTGGTCTCTATTGGAGTATGAAGGGGGAGGTGGAACCTCCATCAGAGGCTTCACATGATGTTCCCCATGAACAAAAGAGAACTGATTGGATGCAACACGGTGAGGTGGCCGTAATGAGTAACCTTTATTATGCATAGTAACACCATCAGAATTCCGGAAATTTTCTGGTGGTTGTACAGGGAAACTGTTGAAAGAGCAAGTAGAATCTGGTTTCGGCATGTTTCTACATTCTGTGACTCGAAACTGCACTGCATCATTCATAGGTTGGCTATTTCTTGGCGCAGCCAAGGGCTGAACCATAGAATGGAGTGTGTTGTCCTTGACTGTCTGCAAATATGAGCCCAAGCCCGAATAGAAAGGAAGAAGTTTGTAACATGAGTTGTCACTTGCTACCACTGACTCCATTGAATGTAAAATCCCCAAGTAAAAGTTGTGAAACATACCTGTAAATCTGTAAACACTTTTGAATCAACTACAGCGTGATATCGATCAGAGGTGGCTGACTTGAGGTGCAATGTAGGAGGTGGGGGTGGAGGTAGAGGAGGAGGTGGGGGTGGGGAAGATGGTGGCACATCATGTAGTAAAGGAGCAGTAAAGGATAGAGGAAGATTCTTCTCAAACTCTCTGGCATTTCCTCCTCCAACATTACAAATCGAATTCAATTCAACATCAAAAGAGGGAGCTACATCTTCCATTTCAAGCTCACCATCGACATCTTCCAACATGTGTCTATGTTTTTCGGTTGCATGAGTAGTTTCTTGCACTTCATGTGTTTCAGAATCATGCTCAGGTGTGACAGCCTCAAAGTTCCCTCCATCAGAATCACTCCCTTCATCTTCAAGCATTCGGGGCATGCAAAATCCAGGCAGCTGAAAACTTGAATTGCTACAAGACCAAATGCAACTTAAGTAAACTCACTCGCAGACGTATGACAGAGAACAATGCAGTCAAACTTTTTATACCAACAAATTCAAACCTTCCATATTCGTCAACAAGCATACCCTCCATTTCTCTAACAGGGTCATCTAAAGCCCTTTCTGTTCTTAATGAACGTCGTGAGAAGACACCAGCAGAAGGCAAACTGCTATATGAGTCCAGTTCCCGGATGTGATGGCGAATAATCGGTTCTGGTAGGATTCTTCTCTCCAACCACAGCCTTAAAACCTACATAATTGAGAGCAAAGTGTTAGAGATGTAACATTAAATAATCCATGTGCCTTCACCTAACACCTCAAGCTTTTAATATAGTTGGTGCATGACATGGTATCATGCATTGTCCACATTTTAAGCCCAAACCATTCAATGTCTTTGCAGTTTAAACTTTTCAGAGAATTGGTTCATGACAGAAAGGTTAACAAGAATAACGACGCAAAAAAAAAAAAAACGAAAAAAGAAAAGATGTAAGAAAAGACTAAAGAGCAAATATGTTTTAACTTCAGTAAAGAGAAAACTTCATCAACTTGCCTTAAGACACAGCCTTCGATTTTCTTGTGCAGTATTACCAGCAGGAGCAGCAGCAGACAATAGGCGTGGCAGGACTGCTTGCATAGAAGATAGATATACTCCACCAACATCTCCTGGAAAATTAGATATATTTTCAACATCAATAGATACTAATTGAATATAATCTGATATGTTTTCGAGATCAACAGAAACACATGCTTATATTCTCTTTTCTTTTTGTCAGCAAGATTCAAGAAACACCAAGTGATAAACAATTACCTTTCAAACCTCGCGAACATTGAGCAATAGAATCAATAAGAAAAAACAGATCCACCCTCCGATGCAGGCTTGACAGAGTTTCCAGATTGTGGACAAGAATTTCCACCACCTAGAATACACCCCCACAGCACAACCCCCCAAAAAATGCATATATCATCAAAAAAAGACATGATAAGCTTTGATAAGGAAGGTGCAACAATTTTGTATAGGAAATAACTGCAAAGTAAATGAAATGGGCCACAAGGGTCTAGAAGATTTAAATTAAAACATACATGTGCAAACTACATAGTTATACTCAGACAAATAAATTAAATCAAGTTCCTCTGTGAGACTGGGATGCCAAAAGTTTTCAACCTGATTTATACATATGATGCACTCTTTTATTCCCACTTCTACAAGAACAATAAAAGCTACATGATTGATCTTAGTGGATTTCTCTACACCTGAAGAGGCACCATCTATACAGGTGTAAACTGGAAAGAGAAAATCTGGCACAATTTTTTTTAAAATCTTATTATAGAACTGAATGTAAGCTGATTTTAAAGTGTAATATATATAACAACATCACCTTTATCCCAAACTAGTTGAAGTCAGTAATATAACTTTAAAGTGTAACAAAAATAATAATTTGCACGTGAGTTCAACAAAAGCAGAAGTAATTATTAGTAGCCATTTGATCCTTTCTGCTTAATTTCTAATGATAAGTTTGCCCCCTCTCTCTTTAGTTATGGTAAAAACAAATATTCAGCATTTCCAGAAAGTTGACAAAAATGTAAACTCCCTCCCAAAAATAAAAAAATGGGGGATTCTTTTTTCAATATAGTATAGATGAGATCAGTTTGTTTTAATTCTCAAATAGTACACAGAACTACAAAAGTGATAAAACCTTTTGAGAAGTGTGCTCTCACAAACCAAAAGAACAAGTTTCAGCATGTATAATGTCTCATTATTTTCCAGACCATATAACTTTGATTATGTGAATTTGACGTTAACCATTTACCAGGAATAATCATCGACCTATACTTGTGAGTTTATAATGATTTCCCAAGAACTTAACCCTCTAACCTCTCCTATACAGACACGGACAAACACATGCCCTCTATTTTACTTAAATGCCCAAATGAAGAGCAAGCTGACTAATGACCAAGAAAAAATCTAATAAGCAAAGAATAAAAAAGGCTGGCCCAAAAGAAATGGCAGCTTAATCTCAATACAAGCATGGAATTTATTCTTTTAAAAAACCATAGTATTCTAAGGTCTCAACAACAGGCATGATACAATCTTCAAGATCCAAACTGGACTACTGAACTTGCCTCTAAATTGTCGATCACAAAAACTGTAAAAAATCAATTCAATTCAAAGGCTTAAACGGTCAAGTGAAGACAGATGGCTAGTTTTTATATTTTATATTATATTTCTAACATGCCCCTAAGCTCGTTCAGCTTGAAGGGTAGATAATGAATAGACTCACCTATCCATACTAAGAAATTCCACAATTCCACAATTCCACAATATAAAATATTTATTAGAAGAATGGGGACGACAAGGATTGAACTCTAGACCACATGGTCATAAAGGCTCCAATACCATATAAAGCAACCCATTCTACCCGAAAGCTTAAATTGTTAGGTGAAGACAGATGAATAGTTTTTATATTTATATTATATTTCTAACAAAAACCAAATGTTCCCTCCAAAAGAAATCCAAATTCTACCTAGACACTATAGTTAATATCACACAAACTGACAAAAGTTTCCAAATTCTAAATTATAATGCATGTCATCCTGAAGAACAAGGGCAAATGAGACATCAAACTTGTTCCCATGCTCAATACTCATACCAGTAACCCATCATTCCATCATAGTTGAAGCCCCATTAAGTTTTTTCTGTATAAAACATAGGTCTGTTTGATTGTGTTTTGGTTTTGGTCTAAACACAGTTTTTTGGTTTTCAGAACAAAAAAAAAAACCCGTTTGATAAGGCCTGTTTTGTAAAAAAAAATAAAAAAATGTAACTTTTGTTTTTTTAGAATCAAATTTAGAGAACATGTTTGAGTTGTTTTTATTTTGTGTTTTGACTTTTAACTTTCAAAACAAAAAAAACACAGAAAACACTTGTTTACATAACTATTCTACAAAACAGTTTTAAGAACAAAAAAACCAAAACACAATCAAACAGACCTATGTTTTATACAGAAAAAACTAAATTTTTTTTCCCATTTACCTCACTGAGATTCTGCAATTTCCTTTTATTTATTGGTAATAATAAATGCAGATGGCAAATTTAAAATGCATGAGCTCACTCCACTTAATACCATAAGTAGCGACGAAGAAAAGGTGCATCAGGTCATTGATCAATATAAATTTGTAAATCAAAATCAAGAAAGCTAACAAATTTGAAAGACAAAACTATGTGATCTCAAGAAGCATAGATTGGATATATCCCTTGACTATGAAAGCTAGTACAATACTACAATATAATTCCCTAATTTTATTCCACAAATAACATATTGGTCCCAAATTTTTAAAAAGTAAATATATCCTAAACAGATGCATGTGCCAGCTCAAAAGTAATTAAGTATTCACAACTCAATGATTATACATTTTCAACAGAGGTAGGGGGAAGAAAATAAAAATTAAAAAATGACCATCATAATACCTTAGTAGCAATGCCAAACTTCACACAGTCTATAGCTATACGTGTTGCTCGACCAATACTTTCCTTTGTCCTAGTCAATGTCCCAAGCATTGCTTCAAAGTACAACAAAGCAGCATGTCCTGCTTCTGTTGACTTGCCCATAGATCTTGATTGTTGATTTTCCACAGTCCCATCTTTCCATCCATCAATAGGACCGGATAAAGTGTTCTTTTGGTGTACATCAGGGCTACAACTTCCATTTTGAAGGATATTACTACTGTCTGATGTAGAAACATTGCAAACTGATGTATTTGGAGGTGAACCTTGTGGACGGCAAACTCCCCCATCAGTCAAGGATGGGCTTGACAGAATGCCCAAAGTACCCTTCTCACCTGAACAATCATTGGATATTGAAATAGAATTCATATCCTCCTCTAGTCCTTTAATGTTTACCTCTTTCACAACCTCATGCCTGAAAAAGAAAGAATACTTACTAATGAGCTTTCTTGAATACAAAGAAATGCAGCAGATCACGTTCATTGAACAATAGTTCTCTTTTCGTGTAAATTATCTTCAAAATATTGATTTAAATATATGTTTATCCTGTACAATTCCACCAAACTGACCCCCACTAATTGAACAATAAACCCCAATAAAATGTGGGTATAACAGAAGGGGTGATGAATTTAACTAAGAGAGTTATGCCAAATGAGCAAGCAGCCAAGTAGAAACAGAGAAAAGAACAAACTGGACAGGTGGTAACCAACGAATGGAGAGGGGGATGTGGAGTATTCTGGGCACGTGTGGAAATTGATGAGGGAAGACAATAAAGAGTGACATAAAGGAGAGGAAAACTAATAAGGCATGAAAATCTTTTGGATTGTAGTATACCTTAGGGGTCAAATTCTTTCTGAGAGGGCACTATTCTCTTCTCTGTTTCTTTTTTTGTTTTTCCTGTGTAAGGAGGTCAACCTCCATTCCTGTTCTTAGTTTCAGGGCAGTCAGGAGGTCTTTACCTCCATTCCACATTTCTTTTTCTTTTTCCTTAATCAGCGCCTGTAACTATCAGTGTTTAGGTTGGAAAACACAACTACTTTCACCGGTATGGTCCAAATTAGGAAAGCATATGGTCATCCGGTAAAATTCTAAACTGAACAATGTTAATCATAACAAGAGGGGAAGGCAAGAATTTTTTGAAGGCCTAACACTATAACATATTGCACATTAAGATGAGCAATTTTGTGAAACCAAAAATCTAAGCTTTTAGAATAGGCTGAAAACAGCTTCTCTAGAGCTTTTCTCAAGCTGAATTTTTAGTTTCCCAAGACTAACTTCTTTCTTTAAAAAAATGACAAAAAAAAGTACTTTAAAAAAAAAAAAAACTGGCAGTAAAAACAGTTCATTTTTTCTTTATTTTTTCTCTTTTGCTCCTAGTAATTGGGCTGTCAGAAACTAGTAACTGTAGCAAGCAAAAGAATAAGCTTACTTGTCATTAATTTTGCTGCTGTCACCAACTGTTCGCTTCAAGCTTGGAGTATCCTCACAAACAACAACAACATTCTGAGGCATGTTAATAATATTTTGAGGTGACAATTTACCACTTTCATTGGCTCCTGCCACGGGATCAAGAGTTACTCCATCATGGTCTAATGTATCAAATGCATTTGAATGGTTTGCAGGTTTAATATTGTCATCATCATTTGGTTGCAATAATGGACCAGGTGAATCTTGATTGCTTCCAACTTCACAACATTTCACATCAAGATTAGGAGAATTTTTTTCCTGTAACTGAATTTGGGAATCTATTTTAGCAGGCTCACAAAACAAAGAATCACTAAGATCCTTACCAACTTGCTGTCTAGCACCTGGAATGACATCCTTGCCAGTTTCATGTTGTTGGAACTTGGTCAACTGTTTATCCACTTCTGTAGATAAATTATTTTCTGTTGAAATCATTAGATTTGAATGGGTTGAGAAACTATACACCCTGAAATGAGAACAATCAATGCCCCAAGAATCCAACCCTTGCAGTTCTAAATCATTACCCCCTGGATCATTAATGGCCTTACCAGGATATCTCTTGATGGCAGACACACAGCCTTTACCACTTGATGTCATTATAAAGGATGATGAGTCCATGCAATCTTGACCTTCTTCTGCAGCATTTGCAGACATAGCTTCTAAAGCACGGTGGAGGCGTTTAGATGGAGGTAAAGCAGCTTCACCATCCAGAGGGCAGCCAAACATTTGGTCTTTCTTAATTTTACAAATCAGAGACCCATTTTCAGAACATGGAGCTAATAACTTAACAGGACAAATGTCAACCAAAGCTCCATTCAACGTTGATATGTCTCCATCAGCAAGGGTACCATTTTCACAATTTGAGGATGTGATTATCTGTTGTGGTGAGTCAATAATATCTTCCTTACAGCTCTTCTCTTGAACTTGTACAATGCTATTGAGTTCTGCCTCTATGGAAGATGATTTACCCATTCTAACTCTGGCTCGCTTCAACAGAGGCAAGTGTTCATCTCCATCTTGGTCAGAGAATCGCTCTTTTGAATTTGCATACATATTCTGCGAACTTTGACTGCCATTCTGAACACCAGCCTCCTCCTCTTGTCTAATGGTTGGCTTTGCAGCATCATTATTTACCTTCTTCCTGATTAGTTTTCTTTTCTTCTTATTGATGACAGCCTTTATTTCAAGATCAAGGCCCTTGTTTAACTCAACTTCACCTTTGGGGCACTCAATAGTCTCAGGGTGTTCAAGTTTAAAATTAGAATCTATTGTACTTCCTTCATTTAGGCTAATGGCATCAGAGTCGATTGTAACAATTTCAGAAGAACCATTGTCCTCCATGCTAACATTTGAGGTAAATGCAGATGAATCAGTATCATCACAGCCAAAAAGATCAGGTGATATCCTGATACGTTTATTCCTTCTTATAGACACATTTTGAACTGCATCAGCAGATATGTTGCCAGCAATATTGCCACCAGTATTTCCACCATCACTATAAGGTGCAACAGAGTTTTGGACCTGTGATGAGCATCTAGAACTTTGAACTGGTACATTTATGTGTGTTACATAGACCTCCTCCAGGTGTAAGTCTGTAGATCTTTTCAGAGAAGAGGAATTTGCTGGTAAGGGTGATTTTACAGTTGCAGACACAACAGTAATATCAGTAGGTTCCTCCAATGATGCCTCGTTTTTATAAGATTTGTCCCTCAGTGCAACAGCTGAGTCATCCTCAGCTGCACAAACTAGCTCAGGTCTGTCAGTCACAGAATTTGAAGATTTATGCGTCAAAGGAGCATCCAACTGATCCTTTAACCCTAAGTTGGCAGATGGATCAAGTGGCTTTGAGACATTTGCATTAGCAACTTCACCACTAGAGCAAGTTTCATCAACTTGGGTCTCTCTCTTTAATTTTTCATAACTTTCAATAATCTCCTTTACTGCACGAACAAAATCAGCACCCCTTCCTTGACGTTTGACAAGAGACTGTTTCTTCTCTTCAGTAAATGCTTCAATATCGGCAGGATTGCAGAAAGCTCTGCAGAACAAAATACCATTTCAAACAAAGATAACTTGCGAGCTGAATAAATTTCAGACTTGTACATGGGTAAACAACTAAATGCTAAGAGGGAGTTTCGACATTGCTATACAGTTGTAAAAAGTCTTAGGTAAGGCAAATGCAGTTAGCTTGTTAGAGGAATAATATATAAAATATAAAAATCATTAATGTGTCTTTACCAATAAGCTTAAGTTTTTGGATTAAAATGACACTTTACATGGTATCAAAGCCTCACAAGTTCGATTCTCACAGTCCCCATTCTATTACTAAATAATTAAATATTGTGGACTTTCTTAGCACAGGTAGGTTGGCCAGTGCATTACCTACCATTCAAATCCAATGAGCTCTTGTGTGTGGGAGCTTGTTAGATAAATGTAATATAAAAACCATTAATGTGCCTTCACCTAACAGCTTAAACTTTTGTATTGAATTAGCCCTTTACAAGCTTAAAAATAAAACTTATTCAAACCATGCATATTCGTTCAATCAAATCATCCAAACAGGAATAGAAATTCAAAATTCAACACCTCTAGTTAATATCCTTCCTTTCCCTTCAAGTTGGTGTAAATCACTTCCTCCACTTATCAAGTATGAATGTAGTATTCAATCAACATTCAATCACATCACACTTTGTTCAATCATAGCCAATCATGTTGCAATATCTTCTCTGATTTGAAGAGATATTGTCTGCATTTGTTTCATATTTATTTCCTTAATATTATCTGAATATTCTTTCCTTATTTCTATTTATCGACTATCATTAAGTAGAAAACTGTCACCTTAACTGTAGTTATCAATTCTCCTTAATTATAGAAGAATGTCTGTTGTTATAAGAAGTTTGCCCTGAATCAAATATAAGAAAATTATTTCAGAAGAACCTATATCGTTCACATTATGAGAGCTCTTATAGGGGCTCTGGCGCAATTGTCCTTCCTTTTGTCAAAACCCAAGGCCTTCATCACCACCCATTATCACATAACATGTCTCAAATCTTGGAAAATACCTCCCCACCACAGCCCACTCTCTCAGAGCCTTCCAAAACAAATACTCCAACTTCAGAGTTGCGAAATTTGGGAGTTTCTGAATGGCTGGATGGCAAAAATTATTTACAGAAGACAAGATCAAATGCAAAGGCAGAGTTCAAAACTATAGCTCTTGTAATTTGTGAGTTACTGTGGTTAAAGATAATTCTGGATGATTTGGGAATTAAGAGAAGAAAGTCAATGAATTTGTGTTGTGATAACAAGTAAGCAATCAACATTGGACATAATCCGGTTCAGTATGATCATACAAAGCATGTGGAGATTGATAGGGATTTTATAAAAGAGAAGTTAGTATATGGCATATTTAATCTCCTATATATTCGACCAGAAGATCCAATAGCACATGTACATACTAAAGGCCTTCCCACTCAGAAGTTTCAGGAGCTAATTAGCAAGCTGCGACTAAAGAACATTCACTCATCAGCTTGAGGGGGAGTGTTGCGATATCTTGTCTGATTTGAAGACATATAATCTGCATTTGTTTCCTTAATTATCATCTGTATAATCTCTCCTTATTTATATTTGACAACTATCATTAATTAGGTAGAAATCTGTCACCTTTATATGTTCTTCTTCATTATAGGAGAATGTCTGATGTTAATCTCGTTTACATATATATAGATCGTTTGCCCCTCATCAAATGCAAAGGCAGAGTTCAAAACTATAGCTCTTGTAATTTGTGAGTTACTGTGGTTAAAGATAATTCTGGATGATTTGGGAATTAAGAGAAGAAAGTCAATGAATTTGTGTTGTGATAACAAGTAAGCAATCAACATTGGACATAATACGGTTCAGTATGATCATACAAAGCATGTGGAGATTGATAGGGATTTTATAAAAGAGAAGTTAGTATATGGCATATTTAATCTCCTATATATTCGACCAGAAGATCCAATAGCACATGTACATACTAAAGGCCTTCCCACTCAGAAGTTTCAGGAGCTAATTAGCAAGCTGCGACTAAAGAACATTCACTCATCAGCTTGAGGGGGAGTGTTGCGATATCTTGTCTGATTTGTAGACATATAATCTGCATTTGTTTCCTTAATTATCATCTGTATAATCTCTCCTTATTTATATTTGACAACTATCATTAATTAGGTAGAAATCTGTCACCTTTATATGTTCTCCTTCATTATAGGAGAATGTCTGATGTTAATCTCGTTTACATATATATAGATCGTTTGCCCCTCATCAAAAATAGGAAAATTATTCCAGAACATTCATCATCCAAATCTTATTTGATATTTAAAGGGAAAACCCAGTGCACAAAGGCTCCCTGACTCTGCAAGGGTAGGGACTAGGGGTGAGGGTCAATTACATGTAGTCTTAACCCTGCATTTTCGCAAAGAGACTGTTTCTTAAACTCAAACCCGTTACCTTCCGATCACAAAGAAGCAACCTTACCACTGTTTCAAAACTCAACCTCTTATTTATTTAAAATAATTAAAAAAGAACTAGCAATTCCCAAATTACATAAACAATCCTCCACTTCAAAATACAAGACACAATAGGTTATGAGGATCTCAACCAACATATGAATTAAAACCCACTTAATAATCTAGCACTTCAGCTGAAGAAAGCAAAACTAACAATGGAAACATGTCAATATTCTCGTATCAGAGCTGCACAAACACCAAGATGGCTATATTAGTATATTCTCAGTGCATGTTCAACCAGTTTATAACTTCCTGGGACATCAACCAATAATGAATCAGAGAAGTACCAAATTAGTTTTTATAAGCTTAAGAATAGGCAGGGACAGAGGTAGAGGAAGGATGAGGGGGGCCATAGTGAGAAAAAATTATTTGCGGGTGCCATGTTCTAAAAATTATAAAAAAAAAATGTAAAATTCATATTCTTTTTGGGGTATCAAATTGAACTCCACTCTACCCGAGAATAGGACACACAACAAAAGATTAGCTAAATCTATGATCGAACTTGTAGAACAAGCAGGAAAATTGTTACAGACAAAAAGGAGATAAAGAACCAAGCAGAAACCAAAACATTTGGGACATAAGCATTTTGAATCACAAAGCCTGACTTGGGATCCAATATCCAAAGCATTTCTATCCAATAAAAGCACCAAATTTTTTGCAGGATATTGACAATGTTCATTTGGCTAAACTTTGAGATTTCAAACTATAAAGACAATCACTTCTGCAACTAGAATTCCACCAAGGCTAATATTTTCTCCACATATGAAAAATAACCATTCCCCTGCAATGCCACACATGATGGAAAATAGAAGTAAGCTTCCAGGTTATTTTCCTGGATTCCATTCTTTGACACCATGGACAAAGAGGAATCATGTAGGTTTAAGACAATGACGACAATGGTATCAATGAGATAGAAGACAAAATTATTATGTGAATCTCAAGGGACAAGGTTGAATCTTATAGCTGAAATCCTAAATAGAAAACAACAGTGTGATTTTCATTTAATTTCTTTACAGTATAAAACCATGCTTCATGAGAGAACACACAGATCAAACTGGACTAGTTGAAAGATCACCAATGCAGAATTGTACTTATAAGTGGAATACAGAGAGCATGTTAACAGTGCATATTTGATTCCACATTTGAATCAAAAAGGTTTGAGGAATCAAATGTGCCATGAAATTGATGTCAATATGTTTGGCAAATTTGGCACACAAATCGCATTGGGTCCATCAAGACGAAAGCATTAAATTCAGGTGGAAGTCCATCGAGAATCAACTCTATTTGTTCATCTGATGGAACTGGACTTTTGATGGCTCTAAGCTCCTCACACAAGGTTTTGATGTGTCGAAGATACTCCGCCACCGATATGCCACCTTTCTTGGTGGTGCAAAGCTCAAATCTCAGTTGTCGTGCCTTTATGAAAGAGTTTGTGAATCTGCTCCCAGGCTTCACATGCGTGGTGAACTCCAAGTATTGCATTCAATATATCTTCAGAGATTGTGGACAGTAACCACAAAAGGAGCATCTAATCCTGTCGTAGCCATTCAATGTAAGCTGGATTCACGATCTCATCGATTCGGTTCTGCTCAAACTCATACTGTAGAGGGATTTTAGGGTTAACGAGAAAGGGATGAAGTTGGTGGGAAGTAATGACAGGCTCCAATATCTGATTCCATAGGAGATAGTTTCTCTTTGTGAGTTTAACAGACATCTGATGGTTGAAAAGCAATGGAGTCTTGTTCTTTGTCACCATTTCTCGTTTCAATTGCAAGGACTGGGACAATGAGAAAGACATACTTGCGAGATTTGTATCAGGCCCTTAGAGAGAGCTCTGATACCATCAAGAACATAATGGAAAGTAAGGGGAAATGAGGGAAAGAGAAGAGAGAGAAGGTTCTGAACTATTGTATATTTTCATTATCCATCAGATACATGGGTATGCTCTTTATATAGAGTCAGAAGATAAGTGACAGCCACAAGTCAGTTACAACAACTATAATCGCACTTGTAACTAAGTAACAGTAACAGGAGAAGAGATACAGTAAATCAGTAACAGAGTAAAGATAGGTAAAACAGTCAAACTAGGACAGTAAAAGTAAAACTTATTACGTGTTGATAATTACATATGCCTAAGTAATTTTTTTATCAACACTATCCAAAATCAAGTACGCAAAATATGCCAACACTATCCAAAAAAATATTCAATAACTGAGATAAGAACTGCCGGCATTCACTTTTTTTCTCCCTTCTCTGCATACATAAACCAAAAACTAACCACCTAAAATAGACACTAAAATAGACACTAAAATAATCAAACATGTACGGTCGAATCTCATAACAAAAACCATGCCCTAAAGGTAAAACCTCATATAAGCACAAAATTCATAACTACTGTTAGAGAAATATAAAATCATTAATATAGCCTCACCCAACAGCTTGAGCCCCCATTCTATTAATAAAATAATTAAATATTGGGGAGTTTCTTAACACAGGTAGGCTGGAGCTCATGCATCATCCACCCTTCAAGCCCAATGGGCTCTCGTGTTAAGGGACTGTGTTAAAGAAATATAAAATCATTAATATAGCTTCAATTCAACCAACAACTTGAACTTTTAGGTTGAATTGGTTCTTAACAACTACTATCATCAACCCAAAACTACTGAGAAAACCTATCACAGAACAAAAATCTTCTAGATGTGGTTACATTACAACCATAATATATGCAAGCCATTAAGGGCAAGCTAGCTGAAAATAAGCATGTCATCAACAAGCATTATCATCACAAGTGGACTATGATGATCGAAACCATCGAGTTTTACCTTGCTAAAAATACATTGAAAATTTGAAATAGACAATGTACTCTCAAATAATCCAACTGCGCACGCAAAAAGAACGCCACCTTGACCTATGAATACAATAATATTTATAACTTCATAATCAAGGTCTCCTACAAAGAATGGCTTATAGAAGGAAAATTATTTACTAACACCCCAACCTCTAATAACTTTCCAGAAAATACCAAATCATTGACATATCAACGAGAATACCACAATCAAACCTTACTACTAGCATGATATCCCTAGGCCAAACAACATCAGATTAACGATATCATATATCTACTATAACTAGGCTTCAAGTACCCTTGGTTTTGAAAATTTAACATGAACATTTGACTCCTGAAGTTATACAACACACTATTGCCGTAGGCATACTAGCAGCAGTTCAAATAAAGGAGACATGGATTTGAATGCGTACATTTGTTGGGTCCCAAAGAAGTAAACAAGCACTTTCTTCCAATCAGTAGAGTAACCCCACTTCTCTGGCTCACTTACCTGCCCCACCAAAAGAACTTAATCAGCCAACTAAAATCTCCATAACATACAACCGAAAAAAAGAAAAATAAAATTAAAATAAAAAGTGGCCAAAACAAACATATAAGGTATATATATGACCATAGAAAATGCAAGGCACCTAAAATCCCAACATGGTCTCTAGTCCCAGCTCCAAATTATTTAAGCCTATGGTCTCTAATCGCTGTTCCTACTCAAATTTTGGAAGCCTGTAGCCTGTAGGGGCCCCTCCAGTTATGCATTAAATATCTCTATAAGATTATCATTTAATTAAAGCCCACATTCATGTAATAACAAACTATGATAGCGCAAACTTAAGGTAAGGGAAACTGGATAATCAAGGTCAAACCCAACCCAATAACTTTTAATTAAAAAAAAAAAAACAACATCAACAAACCCAATTAATACCAGGAAACCCTTTAGACTAAACCAAATAATATAACATGCAATTAATAGGGTGTTAATCTAGACAGCATAATCAACCCAAAAAACACACAAATTTTAACTAGAAATTAGCAAGCAACTCTTACCGTGGCAGGCCAAGCAGGAAACCCCTTAACTTTCGCAAGCACAAGATCGCCGACCTTCCATTGGCGGCAAGCCGCGGCGGCGGCTTTCCTACCGCCCTTTCTGCGGCTAGGCGCCATGAAAGGAACCCAACGCAGCTAATTCAAATGATAGGGAGCGATTTGTGCTGCTGAATCGAACAGCCAAACTCGCTCAATAATCGGAAACGCTTGGCACGCTACTGATTTAGCTGACAAAATTGCAGGCATTGAAACTCACATAAAAATCAATAAAATAAAATAAAATAAAATAAAATGGAGGAGGCAAGTGGGGAAGAAACCCTAATAGAAGAGGTTGAAGAGTTTTAGAGAAAGTGGAAGAAATGGTTTCACAGAGAAAGACATGAGCAGGGTAGGTGAGGTGGAAGCTGCTTGCGTTGCCTAGGGTGCGCACACAACACAGTATGAAGTCATAGTTGTCATACTCCGTGAACTGGACTAACGTGCGCCCGTGCTTTCCTTAACTCCGGTCACGTGGCTGACGTAAACCTAAATTTCAGCATTATAAAAAAGAGAGGTTAAACTGGCATCGCTGATTTTAACGAGGGAAAAGTTTTTTAAAAAAATAAAAAAAGGAAATGATTGCAAAATGGAAACACTGGCCAAAATATCACTTTTTATCAATTTTTTTACCTAAATATCACGTAAACAGTGTTATTCCTCAATCTGTCACGGAGGCAAGTTCGCTACAGCGAGTAGGGAACTCGGTTTGCTGACGTGTCACATTTCTAATGATTAACAAGTACCAAGTAAAAAAAAAAGATATGAAGTTCGCTACCCCATGTAGCGAACTTGGTATCCACTAAAAATGTGACACGTCAGCAAACCGAGTTCGCTACATCGGGTAGCGAACTTGCCCCGTGGCAGATTGGGAAATAACACTGTTCGCGGGGCATTTAGGTAAAAAAGTTGGTGAACAGTGACATTTTGGTCATTGTTCCTGCAGAATGGGATTTTAAGATATATTTTGGAACAGTGACTATTGTGTCACTGTTCCAAGACAAATTTACCTAAATGCCACGCCAAAAAACAATTTTACCAAACTGCCACGAGAGTAAGTTCGCTCAGAGCAGTAGCGAACTTGTATGCTGATGTGTTAGCTTCCTGGTGGTGTCAGAGTTCGCTTCTGACACAGGCAAACTTTGTTGCATTTAATGCTGACACATGTGCAGAGTTCGCTGCTATCCTCAGCGAACTGGGTGTTCCAGATTATTTGCTTGTTCCTTTTTTGGCACGAATTTTGAGAGAAAACATTTTGCTTGTTCCTTTTTTTTTCCTTTCACATAATATCTTTTTTGTTCGCTGATGGGCATGATTCAATGTACTAGTAGTACATTCAGTAATATTATCTCTTGAAAACAATTATATTTCTCATTGTTTTTCCTTGAAATCTGTGCAACAAAAAGAACAAACAAATTTCTCATTGTCTTCCCTCGAAATTCGTGCAATAAAAAGGAACAAACAAATTGTATGAAACTGTCACACATAGTTCGCTTTGTCCTCAAGCGAACTTCTCCTGCGTGTCAGCATTTAATGCTGCAGAGTTCGCTTGTGTCATTAACGAACTACGTGTTCATCAGAAACGTGACACATCATCATACATAATTCGCTACTACTTTGGACGAACTTGCCTTCGTGGCAGACTGATAAATTACACTGTTGACGTGACATTTAAGGAAATAAGAATCGGAACAGTGACCCTGGTCACTGTTCCATATGTTTTCAAGTGATCAAATTGTATTGATTTATTAAAAGAAAAAAGACCATTTAGTGGAAAAATTAAGACGAATAAAGTATATGAGAGCGTAGTGGATTTACTCAAATTCTTTTCTTTTGTTTTTGGGTTTGTTTTTTTTGCGATAAATTATTTAAATTAAATCTAAAATGACATCATTTAAAGATGAAAATAAAGATATTTTTGTAATTATAATTTATTTTAAAGTTATAATAATTTTTTCATTATGAATTTTTAACCATTCAATCCAAAGCGATTTCATTACGAAAGTGAATATAAAGTGTTTGTTTTTTATATTTATTTTGCTTTCAAACTGTAGTCTATATTTGCTGGGCTACTGTCTTTCTCTACAGCTATGAGCTATCAAGTTGTCTGGAAATTAAATTTGATAATATTGAGTCAATTTGAAATAAAATTAATGGTATTTGCAAAAAGTGGTCAAATCAAACGAAGGAACACCGACCAAAATGTTACTTTTCACCAATTTTTTTATCTAAATACCACGCGAACAGTATTATTTCTCAATCTGTCACGGGGCAAGTTCGCTACAGCGGGTAGCGAACTCGGTTTGCTGACGTGTCACATTTCTAGTGGTTAACAAGTACTAAGTAAAAAAAAGATATGAAGTTCGCTACCCCATGTAGCGAATTTGGTGTCTACTAAAAACGTGACATGTCAGCAAATCAAATTCACTACATCGGGTAGCGAACTTGTCCCCGTGGCAGATTGAAAAATAACACTGTTCATGTGGCATTTAGATAAAAAAGTTAACATTTTAATCACTGTTGCTCAAATGAACGGAGTAAATGGAGCTAAATCATAAGTGTAGCACTAACACTTCACCTCAGTAGGGCGTATTCAAAATTTGTAATCGTGCCACTTAAAGCAAAGGAGAATAAACCATTCAATTGTATTTATTGCATTCATTTAATTTGCCCAATTGTCTTTTAAAAATTTGAAGCAATGGTTTTTTCTTGTCCATGAAAATGGTAAAAAAAAAAGCTATTTTTTCTTACTATTAATTAGATACATTATTTTTTCATTTATTCATTTAAATTACTGTTAATTATTAATTCATTTAGCCGAAAAATTAACATATTAATTTCTCAAAATTTAAACGTTGAACAACAATGACAAAAGTAACATTTATGAATCAATAAAGAAAGTAGGCCATTAGGTTTATTTTAATGGTGAGAAATTTGAGTAGTTTATATTAGGTTATGTGTTCAATTTTCAATTGTATAAAAAGAAAAAGAAAAAAAAGAATGCAACATTGACGAAAAATTATGAATTTTTCTATACAAGTGTAAATTATCAATTTGTTTAGGGAAATTTTTTGTTTACAAACTATACTATATCTTACCGGTAAGACACTCTTGAGTAAGGTCTTGCAAATAAGACATACTATAATTTGTAAGTTTGTAGAGAAAAAATTTATCAATATAATCCTCCTTTTTGTTTCATATAAAATTCATGTGCAATATTCAAAGATCAGTATAACATATTTTACTGATTTTGGGAGTTACCGATAATTCAGTTTTGGTGAACTTACGGTACAATAATAGATAATAGTCTCGACCTTACTTTCTCGCATTTCATCCTTAATGAAAAGCTTGAAATCTAATTTTGATAGGCAAACAATGTAAAAGATGAGGTTCTTTTCGTTACATATCTGTAATTTTAAAAAAAAAATTACTTTGTTGAAGAGTTTTTTTTTTATTTTCTCAGTGTTAGTTAGAAAGTTAATTTTTGCTTAGTCTTGTGGGTGCACTAAAGATGTTTGATGGGTCTTTTATTAGATATAATAAGTCACTTATTGGTAGTTTGGTGGTGCACTTATTGGTAACATAATGAGTCATTTAATTAGTGTTTATTTGGGTGCAATATGTCTCTTTTTTTTGCTATATTTTAGTTTTAGTTTTTGCTTATAATAGACTTGTGAATGTACGATGAGTAATGGATATAAAGAAAAATATTATCTTTTCCGATTTTGTGGGTTCTATCATTCTCCATCTTATTGTATAACTGTGGTATCAAAGTAAAATGAGTAAGTGGGTGATCAAATTGGTAAACATCAATTACCTTCTTGGACACGTTAACGTCGCTTCTCTTGTTGTGTAATAGTTAGAATTTATTCACCTTGTAAAGAACTTTGGGATACACTATCCCAAAAGCTAGCTTAAAGGACGAGAGTGTCCAAGACCTTATAAACTCCACATTAATTGCACATACAACCAATGTAAAGACTATATATCTCAACACTCCTCGAGGTGCTACTTTTCATCTTTATCTTCTTCATCAAAATTAGTAGGAATTTGTCCAACAGCTTCATTGCTTCACTTCCAATACTTCTCTTCATCAAAGATGACATTATAATTGGTATGATTTTCTTAATATCAGGGTTACAAAATTTATAGACTTTTGACTGATCACTGATTCCAAGAAAAATGCAATTTTATCCTTTGCCTTCTAGCATTGTCCTCGTTTGGTCTGGAATATGGACACAGGCAACGTATAAACAAATTCTAAAGTGGTCTATAGTTGGTCTTTAACCACCCCATGCTTTTTTTGATGTCATATTTTGAACAACAAGATTGAGATTTATATTCAAAATATGAATGCTCCAGCTGACTTCTTTGTATGAATGCTTCAATTGACCATTTCAAGCTAGAAACTTTTTGGAATTCTGCTTTTTGTCAAAAGGTTTCTCACTATATATATATATATATATTTTTTACATGGTTGTTTCTTTTTTTTGTAAGAATATGGTTTCTTACTACATTTAGAATTGTTCAATTTTTTTCTTTTGTGGACTCCATTTAATTTGTTGTGGCGCATAGGAGGCTGTAAGTTGTCTTTTGATCCCATATATTTCACAAAAATTTGCAAATTCAAGCAAGTTTCATTCTCTACCACGATCAATATGAAAAACTTTTATTTGATTGCTAACTTCTTTTTTCAGCAAGTGCTTCAAAAATTTTAAAGTCTGAAAGTTTCAAATTTTTCCTATAAAAAATAAACCCATTTTTTTTTTCTATAATAATTAATGAAGGCAATTATATATCTTTAGCCTCATTAGAAGATGGATTTATTGATCCACAAATGTTTGAATGGATCTTTGCTCTTCATGTGGAAATTGGTTATTTGCTAACAACACAATTTTTACAAACTACTGATGGCATAATAATTTGAGGAATATCTATTGCCATATTCTTTTGTTAGAGTGTTCCCAATCCTCTAAAATGGATATGCCCATATCAAAAATGCAATAGCCAGTGGCGGAGTCACGTTGTAACCTGCAGTTGCCTTAGCACTGGCTTAATTAGCCACGTTCATTTAGCTACACTTGAACATAACAAATTCTGTTTCAATTTTTTTTGAAAATTAGCCACGTTTGGTCGTAGCCAAAGAACCGTAGCTATTTGGACACTTGCTTAATTTTTTGGCACTAGCTGACTTGTCATGCTGGCTCCGCCACTGGCAATAGCCATGTTACATCCTTCAATCTTGCAAAGAAAAACATGAATGGAAAATTAATCCTAACTTTGCATCTTATATTTGACACACTCCATTATTTTTATAGAAATCTCGCTTCCCTTCCCTTGTAGCTATCCCATATAAAGCAAGTTGGTTTTTAAATCTGGAACAAAAAGAATGTTAACAATGAATTTGGATCATCTCATATGAAAAAGTGATCATGTGGTCATGTTATTTGATCACCGGTTGTGATCAAATAACATGACCATATAATCATTTTTTCACATTAGAGAATCCAAATTCGTTAACAATGGATTTAGATCCTCTAATGTGAAAAAATGATTATATGATCATGTTATTTGATCACAATCACTCATTTAAAAACAATATATTTTTCTCTCTTTTATCTCATCATCAATGAGAAAAAGTGTGTTTGGAGTTTTCATTGGTATAACGAGTATCATTTCCCATGACACATATTATGGAGTTGTCACCAAACTTGATCATGTTGCAAAAAGATTCATCTAACTTACATAACGCCTTCTTAACTCCACACATGTGATTGCTACCATTAGTGTCTGGATACCACAAATTTTGTTGAGTTTCTTCTTTCACATGGCACACCATAATTTTTTTTTTTTCTTCTTCTTTTTTTTAGCAAAGTTAATACTTTCTTCATTTTTCTTATTCAAATAAGTTCAGCCTTTTGATGCTTAATGGTCATACCTATAACATATGTAGCATTCAACATGTCATGTATACATAAAAAGAGCACTCAAAGGAAGTGGGGGGAATAATTATGTTGGAATTGGAAAATGTATACATATTATCCATAATATATAGTATAGTTTATAAACACAAAATTTATAAATATAACATCTTCCAACTATTATTTTACGTCTTATTTTATAACATCATCCATAATCATTTTACTCATAATTTAATTATTAAATTATATACATTTGTCATATATACATAAAATATTTGTCACATGTCACACTATCATCACCATGAGAAAAGTTAAGGTGGTCCTCGATCACACGGTTCTTGTCTAAATGTGAATTTTTTTTTTATTCTACTCCTTTTTTTTTCTTTTTATATTTTCATTTATGTCCCTAAATTTTTTGCACAATTAATAAAAAGAGCACTCAAAGGCAATGGTCCCGGTCCAACAAAAATTCTCTCCATCACCACCATCTTTCCAATGACGGCTTTTTGATAGTTGCCATCGTTCCCATGCAGTCAAGCTTACTGCCGTTCTCATCATGACATCATCATTGTCATTTATCACTCTTATTCCATCCACGCACTTCTATATTTTTAATGTCATATGAGTTTCATATATACTTCGAATTTTAGTAAGGAAAAATGTAATAAAGTATAAAAAATATACGAGTTCGACGTTGACCAAAAGAAGAAGAAAAAAAAAATGAGTTCGAAGAATGGATGGAGAAAAAAATTCGGTGTTCCCACGATAGCTTCCGGTTACAAAGTTTTACAAAATTATAAAAGGAAAAAAGAATTATCATGTCGTAGAATTCTCCCAGTGAAAAATTGAATTATGTGCAATAATTTTTTTTAATAAATAGTGAGACTTATCATATCTTGTGTTTACGGAGAGAAAAAAAAAGTCTCATGTTGGGTGAAAAAAAAAACCAATTATAAAAGCAAATAAAATTTGTGCCATAGTAGCACCAGTAAATAATAGCTCAGTTGGCTAATAAAATTGTGCAAATGGAAAGAAGGGGAATAGATTCAATTGTCTTCGGTATCATTTTTTGAAAAAATTTAAAATTTTAATACTAGACCTGCCTAAGGATTGATTTCCGTATAACATGGTTTATCAAAAGGAAAAAAGAAGTGGTAAATCCATAGTGGAACATAAAAATAAAAAATAAAAAAATTCCAAAGTGGAAACGTAAAAGAAGGGTGGTAACAATGAGACATGGCTCCGAACCTTTTGGCGCCAACTCTATCGCCCTATCTCTTTTTCTCTGTGCACCGTACGCACGCTCAAAGAGCGCTAATTCATTCTCTCTCTGAAAAAACCAAAACTCAGTTACCGTTTCATCCGGAACAAGCTCTCGCTGTTTGGACACCGAGAAAACGCGAGAAACCAAAAGAAAATCTGCTCTGTGTCCTCCTACAACGATCTAGCTAGGTTGATTAGGACTGTTGACAATCAACTCCCACTGTTATCGAAAGCCTCTGCTCTCCTCGATCGATATCACGGAAACTACCGCATTGGCTCAAATTTTTATTTTCTCGGCAACCAAAAATGGCAACACATTTGGGATTCATTTGCGGATGGAGGCTTGTGCTATGAAACGTACGTCTCTCAATCCTATGTGTTTAGATTTAGATCTTTATTTCAAAGTTTTGGAAATGACTATGGAAAGATCACTCTGGTTTTTAGCGACTGCGTGCATGCTAAGGCAATGATTAATAGGTTTTTTTTTTTTTTTTTGCTTTCGTTCTTTTATCTGGATCTTGCTCTGGTTCATCATTTGAATGCTTGAATATATGAGGTGACTGAACATTGATGCCTGTGACCTATAGAGCATGTCAAATTTTGAACTGTGACGAATAAGCTTTGGAGTTTGGATCATTTTGGTGTGGAAACTAGTTAGAGAACCATTTTTATTAATTCAATTCAATGCGGATAAATACAACGTTAGAATATTACTGAAAATAGTAAGGCATGCTAGTTCGAAATTGGAAAGCCAATTTCACTTGTTTCTATATGAAGCAGATTAAGTGCTTCAAAGGAAGAAGAAAATGGCCACTGTAGCGGATATTTGTGTTTCGGCAGCCATCAATCTATTGTCTGCGTTGGCGTTCCTGGTGGCATTTGCAATATTGCGACTTCAGCCCCTTAACGATCGAGTCTACTTCCCAAAATGGTATCTGAAGGGAATAAGAAGCAGCCCAACAAGTTCCAGATCATTTGTAAAGAAATTTGTTAACCTGGACTGTGGAACCTACATCAGGTTTCTGAACTGGATGCCTGCAGCATTGCATATGCCAGAACCTGAGCTTATTGATCATGCAGGGCTTGACTCAGCCGTGTATATTCGGATTTATAGTCTTGGGTGAGTTGTACACCAATTTTCTCGTTAAACTCTACCCACAAGGACATACATGAGAAGACACAGCACTATCTGATCTATTTTTTTCTATTTAAATATTTAATCTTATTTTCCTTTTTAATAATTTATTCTTTTCAGCATGAAGATATTTGCCCCAATTACCATACTTTCTTTTATGGTTTTGGTTCCCGTTAACTGGACCGGAAAAACATTGGAAGCACCGGGAGCCAAGGATTTGACATTTAGCAACATTGACAAGCTTTCAATATCAAACATCCCATTTGGATCAAATAGGTGAGATGATTCTTTTGACAGTGTTGTCCTAGCTTTAAGTTTCTCTCTTTTTCTCTCACACGCTAAGGATTCTTAACGAATTGAAGAAGTTAATAGCGTTAATTAGGAGCATAAAATATTGCAACTTTGATCTTTGTCTCTTAAGCAAACCAAATAAGAGTGCCACTAAGAGTCTCAATATTAATTGAATTGCCTGCTTCTTATTCTTTTGTTATTACGGGGTTGCAGACTCTTACTTTGGATCATGAATTTCATGTTATGTAATCTGGCTGCTTCATACTTTGTGTTACGAAATTTCATGTCATTTTATTGCAGGTTTTGGGCGCATATTGTTATGTCATATGTCTTCTCATCTTGGACATGCTATAGTCTTTATAAGGAATACAAGAATATAGCAGGAATGAGATTGCGATTTTTGGCATCTGAACGTCGTCGGGCAGATCAATTTACTGTAAGTTGGTCTCATTTTCACTGAGCTGTACCCTTTGCCTCTTCACCGCCTTTCATAGATAAACAGACTGTCAATTAATGTTAAAATTAGACTGCTTTGGAGTTTAATATGTTCGATAGCTTTGAAAAACTGATTCGGTGATGCCTATACCACAGAACAAGAAATGCATTTGAAACTCTAGGCTAGATCAACTGTATTCAATCATCCATACGAAAAAGGAAATAAAAGATTTATGGCATGCATCTATGCATATGTGCGTATATGCATTCGTATGCAGGGCAAATGGTAGAAATAGAAGTCGTTGTTCACTCTCCCGTACTCATGACAATGACGAGACCAGTCAGACTAGCTAATGCCATGCACATAAGCATCCATAAATATACATGTTCAGTGTAAATAGTAGTTAATAAAGCCTAAATGGAATGGGTCAGATAAATTGCCAGCATTGGAGCGGCAAAATTGTTACGTATATTTTTTCTTTGATGTTATAATTATTTATATGATAAAAGAAAATAGAAATGATGAGCATAACTAATGGCTTTTATAAGTTTTACGGGCACCATCACTAATTATATGACAAAAAAACAGAAATAGTATTCGAATCTAAAGGCTTGTATAAACTTAAAGGGGCAATCGCCCCTATTCCCTCTCTCTCTCTTCACCACTACTTGCAGTTAGATTTTCTTACATGAGGGGAAAGAGAAAGAAAAATTGGACTTAGATTATGATTAACTAAGCTATAAGCTTTTGCAAAACCTTTCAGAAATGCTATTCGGAATCTGTAGAAACACAAACCCTCATGATCAAACTGTGCTAACCTGAGACATCAGTTCTCTTCTAATTGAAATCTTTTTGTTCTTTTTTGCTGCGGCTTATATTTTTGTTTTATTCTTTATGTATTAAAGGAGGATCACTATGTGCTGCTCTAGTCCCTACAAATGCACTTTCTTGCTGATATGGAGAGAATCACTATTTATATTTACTGGAGTTGACCTTATCTGAACATAATGTGATTCTATATGTTAATATTTTATGGCTGACTTGCCATTGTATTTCTTTGACCTGTAATGATTTCCGTCACATGCCGATGGATCAGTTGATTCAACATCTGGCTGGATATTTTTGATCTTGTAATTTAAGGAAGGGAATTTAGTTAAATATTGATTCCACTGCATCCCAGTAAAAATCATAAAAAAATAAAATAAAATAACTCAAGACATGGAATCTAATCATACGACTATGATGGGGTGTGTTGGTACGAGCGCGCGCATACCTGCTTCCCATGTGTGTGCATGGGGATACATAACTAATTGGAATTTCTTGTCTTTCTGTTTTTATTTCATGCATTCTACAACTAAATGTGACACAAAGTCTTTCAGATTGTATTTGTTAATGAGACATTGACAATGCAGCAAGTTAGTATCAATATCTTAGTATTTATAGCAGACTTGCTTGTGAAACATACTTTCCAGATGCTTGTCTTTTAAGTTGTATATTGTATACTTTTTCTTGGGGTACTTTCCAAGAGAGTTTAGTCTTGCGGATTGCATTTCTCTTTGGTATATTTGCATGCTTTCCTTCGAGTTATTGTAGGAACTGAGCTAATGGCTGTAGTCAATTTCCACCTGTCCTGAAGCAACCTGAATGTTTTTTTTCTTAATAACCACTTTGACTTTTTCACAGGTCCTGGTGAGAAATGTTCCCCCAGATCCCGATGAATCAGTCAGTGAGCATATTGAACATTTTTTTTGCGTCAATCATCCTGATCACTATCTGATGCATGAGGTGTGTTAATTAACAACTACAAATAGTCTGGCAAAGATGTATATTGTTTTTAGTCGTTTTGTGTTGGGAATAACCACATCCCCTTCTTCACGTGCTTACATAAATGCTCATAATTAGGAATATATCATAAACACATCAAGCACAAAGTTTAACATGGTTTGGTCCAATATGCCTACATCCTCAAATGAGAAGAGATCAAATCAACTTTGAAACAACATCACAGAACAACTTTTAAACAGACAAGCTGCAAACACTTTTCCACTAATACTACAACTTTTGCATGGAAAAAGTTACAAACCTCACCGACTACTATTACAATTTTGTGGACAAAGCTACAAACCTTCTATAATGCAATTTTTATGGTCAAAGTTGCAAACCCTCCTCCAACATTACTCGCAATTTATTTTCCCTCATTCTTATAATCCTATCAATTCATCAATACACTTTCGGTATCAAGATAAGAACATCCTATTATTAGATTCCTATTAAAGAAACAAATACCTCACTAATCTTGATAATTACAACTCAAATATTGGAAACCAACAATAGTTATCTAGATAATAATTTGGGTTAAACCAAATATTTTGATTCTTTGGTCTTCATCTAGGAATTAAGAATTGTAATTCACCGAGGATTTCTTTAACTGATTGAGGACTTTCTGTTATGAATCTGAAATTTATATTATTTTTGTGATTTTCTCTGGTGTAACCAAAGATTAATTTCTTCTGAATTGTTGATAGGTTGTTTATAATGCGAACAAGCTTGCATCAATAGTTGCAAAGAAGAAGAAATTGCTAAACTGGTATGTTTACTACCAAAACAAATATGAAAGAGATCCTTCAAAGAGGCCAACTACTCGGGTAGCTTTCTCTCCATGATTTACTACTAATAACTGTTTCTAATTTCTGCAGAAGAGACCCTCTTTTAGCTTTTTGCTTTTTCCTTAAAACAATCATAAGGTGATATCAGCTGATAACCTTTTATGTTTCACAATTTGATTTCTTACCTATATAGACAGGTTTTATGGGTCTCTTGGGGAGTAAAGTTGATGCTATTGATTATTATATTGCAGCAATTGATCAGTTGAGCGAGCAGGTAAGTACTGATTAAAGTGTACGATGGTTATGTCAGTGTTAGCTTCCTTAGTGTTTTTTGTATATACTTTTTTTTGTACAGATTTTATTATCGAATCCTTTACACAACTATTATTACTTATTTATAATATTGTGATGTAATCAAATTATGGTAATTGGTTATGATTGTTATTTCACTGGATATAGTGGGCTGTGCTTTTGAGAGTTCAGTCAGGGGAGTTCAAAACATTTTGGGTTTTTCACTTCATTCTATGCTCTCATTTCGCATGCTAATCTTAGCCTATCTCGCTATTGATCATTATTATTAGGTTTTTCTCGCTAATTAGGTTGGCCAATTCCTAGTTCAACGTGTACTATTTGTAAATGGCATGTATGGTTTCAGTTCTCTCTTGCAGTAACTCATAAACTGAACACATGGCTAGTCTATCAAATTATTATAATCTTCTAGTTGTCATGGTCTGAATGTAAATATCAAAGATTCATCATACACCAGTAGGAAACTATATGTAAGGCTACAAGAGGAAAATAAGTGAAGGAAAAGAATAAAAGGATAGTCAGTCATGATATTAATTGTCAATCAGAACGGATGAGAGGCAACTGTTACCTGTGGTTAAATTTTCCCATTTGCTTTTATTTGTGTATGTCCACTTAAAATCTCTTCATATGGGGATCAATTCCATCGTGTTCATTTCAAGCAGGAAGCGGAAGAAAGAGAAATTGTTACAAAGGATCCCAAAGCTGTTATTCCTGCAGCATTTGTTTCATTCAAAACCCGATGGGGGGCTGCTGTGTGCGCTCAAACTCAACAAACTAGTGATCCTACCATTTGGCTGACAGAATGGGCTCCTGAACCTCGGGATGTCTATTGGGAAAATCTTGCGATTCCATATTTTGACCTCAATATTCGAAAATTGCTCATGACTGTTTCTTTATTTTTCCTTACTTTCTTCTTTATGATACCAATAGCATTGGTTCAATCTCTAGCCAACATTGAGGCGATTGAGAAGGTCCTTCCTTTCTTGAAGCCAATAATTGAAAAGTAAGTGCTTTCAGTCTTATACCAGTTATTTAGTATACTAATTTTGAACGCTAAATTGCTATATGAGTCGTCCTTGATTCCCCAATGCTTATTCTCTGAATAGTTAGGAATCTTTTCCCCTTTGAAATCTAATGTGAAGAAAGTAAAAAAAAAAAAAAAAAAAAAAACTAATTTTTAAGGGTTTGTTGTCTATTATTTTAAATGACATGTCATTTTAGAAAAGAGATAGACACAGAAAAATAAAAATCATAAGAGAGAGAAAGTGGATGATTTTTTTTTAATTTAAAATTTAAATAAATTTTTTTATGTGTCTCTCTCTTAAAATGACATAACCTTGTGACATTTAAAATGACAAACACTTTTCCTAATTTTTAATCCAGTAAATGAGGTAGATACGTGTCTGAAGTCTGAACTATCAGTAAAATTGAGCACTGTAAACAAGTTAGCAGAAACATATTTACAAATTTATTTTTTACAAATTCTTAAGAATTATGTTATGTATTTAGAAAAATATATTCACTTAAAAATGTATTTTTTTTAAATACATAATATAGTTTGTAAATAAAAAATTTATAAATATAATTTATTCTATATTTTATATAGTAATTCTTTTGAGAGAGATAAATGCAGCAATTTGATACCCAAGGACATTGCAATTTAAGTAGAATTCGATTTAATTATATTTGCTATCTAATAGTAGAATAGTGTTATATTTTCGGATTCTCCATATAATCTTTTTAATTAATCAGAGAAAAAGTATTATTCATTTTTTAAATTCTCTACGCATTAAATGTTTTTTTTTTTTTTTTTTGGACATTACAGGAAATCGAACCGCACTCCTAATACACACTAAACACACCCAACACCACTAGGCTATCCCTAGTGGTGCAATGTTTTTATTCTTTCATCTAAGACTTTTCATTTTAATGAATAAAAAATAGGTTTGATGTCTCTTATATTTTTTTTTTCTCTCTTCTCTTTTATGGCCCCACATAAGTACTATATACTTTTATGTGTTTATCTTCTATAATATGAGAGACATTAAACATGTAAAAAATTCAAAATAATCTTAGAAAGATTTATCCGGAGAATAACATAAATTCTCCTAATTCTTTTTTCTTTTTTGGTAAATAATACTCCCGATTCTTTTACTAATCATCATAGTGAATAATGCTAGAGACAGAAGAGGACAACAATGTAGGAGTAGCAGACTCAAAGAATTTCTTTCATGGGCCGTGGATCAAGGCCCATGAATTGTACAACTATTTAGCATGATCCACGGCCCATGAAGGGAATCCTTTGATCTGCTATTCTTACGTTCTTGTCCTCCTCTGTCTCTAACAAACAAGGTATTAAATGTTATTTTTTATTATTTTGAAGACACTCAGTACACATATATTTTCATTTAATATTTGTTTATATTAAATATTTAGAGGATTATTAAGAAAATACGGAAAACTTTTCATAAAATAATTCTATATCTTCTTAATTAGTTCTCTTAATAATTTTTTATATTTTAAGATATTAAATAGATGAATTTTTGTATTTGATGATTTTTTTTTTGGTAAATATTTGATAATTTAGTGTTTTTTTAGATTATGAAAAGAAATGTATTACAAGAATACAGCCATTCATTTACAGTACTACAATGGAATTAATGTCTTCCTGCCTCATTCAGTAATTAATGGCTTTGGTTTCATACCCCGAGTAACTCGTTGCAGGCCATCTGCCAAGTCTGTTATTCAAGGATTTCTGCCAGGGCTAGCATTAAAGATTTTTCTTATAATGCTTCCAAAAATTCTCATGACGATGTCCAAAATAGAAGGTTTTTCATCGCTTTCAGCTTTGGAACGGAGGTCAGCTTCCAAATATTACTTGTTTGTTCTCGTCAATGTGTTCCTTGGGAGTGTTATAACAGGAACAGCATTTCAGCAACTTCAGCAGTTTATTGATCAACCCTCTACAGAGTAGGCTCTGAGCTTGAGTTTAGATAGCCTTTCTTTATTTGGGCATCGAGGTTGGCGAACAACTGACATTGTGCTTCTATTAATATTTGCAGGTTCACAAAAACTGTTGGCAGTACAATCCCCATGAAAGCCACATTCTTCATCACATACATAATGATCGACGGTTGGGCTGGAGTAGCTGCAGAGATCCTTAGGTTATCTCCGTTAATTATGTTCCACCTGAAAAACACATTCTTGGTGAAGACGGAGCAAGACAGACAGAATGCTATGGATCCTGGTAGCTTGGAATTTGCTACATCTGAACCTCGCATCCAGTTATATTTCATGTTGGGGCATGTGTATTCTCCTGTCACACCTTTTCTTCTCCCCTTCATTGTAGTCTTCTTTGCTTTTTCCTATATGGTCTTTCGGCATCAGGTGAGCTCTGGATATAGTTTTCCTTCCTTATTTTGTTATATATAATCAATGCATCTATAAAACATAAGAAGGAGTGCTTTAGATCTTTGCATAAAAGTCCCAGTGAAGAGAACCTGCAAAAGTTTAGATTGGCGAGAAAAAATGCAAAAAAAGCAGTGCGAGAAGCGAGAGGCAAGGTTTTCGACGAGTTGTATAAAAATCTTGGGAGCAAGGATGGTGAAAGAGGTATTTATAAACTTGCAAGGATAAGGGATAAGAAAAGTAAAGACCTCACTCAAGTTAGATGCATCAAGGATGAAAATCAAAAACTTCTGGTGAGAGATGAAGATGTAAATGAAAGATGGTTGAAATACTTCAACAAGCTGCTTAATGGGGATGGAGATACAAGCGAGGTGGACTTAGAGGGCGCGTATGATGATATGAATAGAAGATTTGTACGCAGAATTAATACACATGAAGTTAAGGAGGCTTTAAAGAGGATGAAGACTAATAAAGCCTTGGGGCCTGATGGTGTCCCTATTGAAGTGTGGAGAGGCCTGGGGGATGTGGCAATAAAATGGTTGACCAATCTTTTTAATAAGATTCTCCAGACGAATAAGATGCCTGATGTATGGAGGAAAAGTATGATTGTGCCTATCTACAAAAACAAGGGAGATATACAGAATTGTTCAAACTATAGAGGCATTAAGCTAATGAGTCATACTATGAAGTTGTGGGAGAGGGTTATTGAACATCGCTTGAGGAGAGATACCAAGGTTTCTGTAAATCAATTTGGATTTATGCCAGGAAGATGTACCATGGAAGCCATTTTCTTGATGCGACAACTAATGGAAAGATACCGAGAAAAGAAGAAGGACTTGCATATGGTGTTCATAGACCTTGAGAAAGCATACGATAGGGTTCCAAGGAAAGTTTTATGGTGGGTCCTGGAGAAGAAAAAGGTTCCATTAAAGTATGTAAAGGCAATCAAGGATATGTATGATGGGGCTACTACATGTGTAAAAGCTTGTAACAGATCATCAAGTTATTTTCCTATCACGGTAGGTGTACACTAAGGGTCGGCTCTAAGTCCTTACCTCTTTGCCTTAGTTATGGATGAACTAACAAAAGATATTCAAGAGGAAGTGCCATGGTGTATGCTTTTTGCAGACAATATTGTGCTTATTGATGAGAGCAAGGAGGGTGTTAATAGAAAACTTTAATTGTGGAGAAGCACATTGGAATCCAGAGGATTCACATTAAGTCGAAGCAAGACCGAGTATCTGAAGTGTGAGTTTTCTCTGGTACAAGATGAGGACCAAGGACCTGTGCATCTAAATGGTCAAGAGGTACCCAAAAAAAATGCTTTTAAATACTTGGGCTCCATTTTACAAAATGGTGGAGAGATTGATGAGGATGTAAATCATAGAATCAGAGCAGGGTGGATGAAATGACGTAGTGCATCTGCATTTTTGTGTGACCGCAAAATTCCCCTGAAGTTAAAAGGAAAATTCTATAAAACGGCAGTACGACCGGCAATGCTATATGGAGCGGAATGCTGGCCAGCACATAGGCAACATGAGCATAAGATAAGAGTAGCAGAGATGAGGATGTTAAGGTGGATGTGTGGTTACACAAGGATGGATAAGATAAGAAATGAAGATATTCGACAAAAGGTCGGAGTAGTACCGGTAGCCGAGAAGATGAGAGAACATAGATTGAGGTGGTTTGGGCACGTGATGAGAAGACCCATGGATGCTCCTGTAAGAACAGAAGTTTGTTACCAAAAGCTAAACACAAAAAGAGGTAGAGGTAGGCCGAAGCTTACTTGGGAGAAAGTAGTAAAACAAGATTTAATGGAGTGGGATATAGATTGGCGGACAGTATGTCTTAGAAAGGAATGGAGAAAAGCTATAAGTATGGTGGAGGGTTAAACCCGCTGTTATTCCTATGTTCCAGATGGTCCTTTTTTAGTCCTTTTCCCCTTCATTTCCCCCACTTCTTCTTGTCCCTTTCTTTTTTACTTTTATTTATTTATATATACATATATTTTTATTTTATTTTATTTTATTTTATTTGTGTATTTTTATTTATTTATTTTTTATTTTTTATTTATTTATTTTTTATTTTTTTTTATTTTTTTACTTTTTTTTCAACAGTTTTGTATTTTTCATGTGGGTTCATCTACCACCGACCCCAATTAATTTGGGATAAAGATGTCGTTGATGTTGATGTTGAATCAATGCATCTATAAACAAGCGAAACAAATAATAAAGATGAATCGTAAAATTGAACTTAGTTTATTGTTTGATTGCTTCACGTACCAACATTTCATTACCCCCTTTTTCCCCTACATAAGCATATTACAGAGTAAATATCATTCTGTTTCTGATTATGCTTAATTTATGGCAAGATTATCAATGTGTATAACCAGCAATACGAGAGTGGAGCATCGTTTTGGCCAGATATCCACCGTCGAGTAATTATCGGCTTGATTATATCTCAAATTCTCTTGATGGGATTGCTAAGTACAAGAGGTGCAGATAAGTCCACGCTATGTCTTATTGCACAACCAGTCTTGACAATCTGGTTCTACATATATTGCAAAGGCCGCTTCGAATCTGCATTCGTAAAGTTCCCCCTAGAGGTTGGTTAAGCAATAATTAAGCACACACATACATCTATTTTCGTTAATTATTGTGTATGTTAATCTGAGAGTAATCACAATCACAAATGCAAAGAAACAAGCTGGTATGTGGTTTGAGAGATATTATATTATTAGTTAATTAGCCATATTAGCATGACATATGTGAGATTTGATGACAGGATGCCATGGTGAAGGATACACTTGAACGGGCTGTTGAACCAAACCTGAACCTGAGAGTTTATCTTCAGGATGCTTACTTACACCCAGTTTTTAAGGGCGATGAGTTTGAAAAACCAGTGATCATTGATGATGAAGAGGAAAATCCACTTATTCAGACAAAGAGAACTTCTCGTCGGAGTAGCAAGCCAGAATCTGATAATGAAGCCGGCAGTTGCTAAGATACAGTTGCCATTTGAGATTCCAAGGAACGACCGTGGAGTAATTACTCTTCTAAACGAGAATCAGCCATTTTTAGTAGAAATTTTAAGATGCAGAAAGCAGCATGCTGAAAACCAATCGCATGATTCATACCTTTAGATATATTTCCAGGCCTAGGTAGCATTATGTTGCGCTCTAATGCTTTCGAAAAATGTTGTTATATATACATTTGTTCTTGTAATTAATGTAGAGAATTCTGTGTTCAATATAGACAATCAGGGAAAATATATATACGTTTGATTCCCCAACGTAACAGAAACAACCCTCCCGGGATGAAAATTAACTTATTTTTTTACCAAGGTTCGCTTTAGCAGATAAGTTATATGCAGCAAGCTCAATACTATATCGTTTTCGAGCAGAAATTATGGTATTTTTAAAATTTTAATTTATTTCAGGATTATAATAGTCTTTATATTTATAACTTTTTAAGATTTCAATACAAAAACGACGTCGTTTTGAGAATAAATGCAGATAACTTATCTGCAATAACTGCATAAATATTTTTCTCTTTTATCAATTATAACAAAGGTATTTTTTTTTTAATAAACGGAGACTTGAGATTTATATAAACTTCAGAAAGAAATATTTCTGAAAAAAAATTTACACAAATTTTTTTTTTTTTAATCTCAATGGTTCAGGACAAATCTAGTATCAAAGCTTTAAACTTCTATCAGAAACGATAATGAGAAGAATTGAAATCATATTCTCAGCTCACATACTCAACAACTCTCACGAATCAATTAAATTATCATCATTTGTTATTTTTACACCACCTTTGATATCAATTCGTTGCACAAGTGACAGGTTGCAGTGCTTGTACACAATCCACACACGACAAAACTCTTTTATAGATAGAAAATCGGCCAATTTCGGCACAATAATTAAAACAATTTACAAATATCAAGTTGCTTTCAGAATAAATCAAACATTGAAAAATTATTAGGAGATTTTTTTCTTTCTTGGGAAAATAATTCAACCAAATTATTATTGATAAATCACGTATATATCGTCCACAAGAACGGTCAGGAACGAGAGTTGAGAGCAAAATAGTGAACTTCTCCATAATTGCCCTCAAAGCCCAAAGAGTAAGACAAGGACTAGGAGAGAGAATCAGTGAACCACAAGACAAGTGAGTGAGGTCACAACAACACACCATCTCTTCCCTCATTCTTCCTCTTCAATCCGATAACGTAAGTTTCCATCACTCGAATGTATCTTTGTCCAAATGCAATGCTCTAATTATCTATCACTCTTATTCCGAACACAACACAAGTCTTCAATTAAATCCATAACGAATATCTCCTTACTCTGATATTCAATGGCAAATCTCGTTCCCTCATTCTCATTCTCAGTGATTCCTCGGAATCAGCATAAATACGGAACCAAATGTTGTTTCTTTCACAAATCCTGTATCCAAAGGAAACAGCAAAATCTCATTAGCCCCTTTTCCCAGAACCCCACTTCAAAATTATGCGCCACATCAAGGTTGTCTGTTGAGGAAACTCAGCAGCAACTCACTGCCTTTATCAAAGACCAAGACCTCAAAAGGGCATTGTCTTATTTGTTTAGGACAGAAATTGGTGACGGTTTGGTGAAAGTTTATGTTACAAAGAAAGAAGTTAGGTATTTTGTCTATATTGAGGTTTCTTCCTTTGAGTTAGGTGATGGTGAAAGGGAAAGGGAAAAACTTGTGTTGTGTTGGGGTGTGTATAGAGCTGATTCGTCGTGTTTCTTGCATCTGGGTTCTTCAGTGATGAATCTGAGCCCCTTGGTGCAGATTTCTGCTGACAAGTTTGCAGTTGAGTTGGAATTTGATGCTAAACAAGTTCCCTTGTACTTGTCATTTTTCTTGAGAGATGGTGGGTCGAATGGCTTGGAAATCAGAAGCCATATGAAAAGGAATTTTTGTGTGCCGGTTGGTTCTCTCCGGGGATACCCTGCTCCACTGGGGCTCTCTTTTAGTCCTGATGGTTCTGTGAATTTTGCCATTTTCTCAAGACATGCTGAGAGTGTGGTTTTGTGCTTGTATGATGACAGTGGTGTGGAGAAACCTGCTTTGGAGCTTGATCTGGATCCTTATGTCAATAGGTCAGGTGATATCTGGCATATTTCATTTGAGAGTGCCTGGAGTTTTGTGAGCTATGGTTATCGTTGCAGAGGACCTCTTCTTCATGATAATAGTTATGCTGAGCATATTCTTTTGGATCCCTATGCTAAGATTATTGGCAATTCTCATCCTAAAGGTAAGGGGTCAGTGATCAACCTTGGACGTTTGGGGAAGGAACCTTCTTTTGAATGGGGTGATGATTATCATCCGAATTTGTCCATGGAAAAACTAGTGGGGTATAGGTTGAATGTCAAGCGCTTTACGCAGCACGAGTCCAGCCAACTTCCAAGTGATTTAGCTGGGACCTTTTCTGGTTTGGCTAAAAAGGTGCAGCATTTCAAAGATCTGGGTGTGAATGCTGTTCTTTTGGAGCCGGTTTTCACATTTGATGATAAAAAAGGACCATATTTTCCTTGTCATTTTTTCTCTCCAATGCACACTTATGGACCCTCTGGGGATCCTTTATCTCCTATCACGTCTATGAAAGAGATGGTTAAAACTATGCATGCCAATGGGATAGAAGTTCTCATGGAAGTTGTTTTCTCCAATACTGCTGAGATTGGTGCTCTGCATGGAATTGATGACTTATCCTACTATTATGCAAATGGAGTTGGTGATTTGAAGATACAGAGTTCTTTGAATTGTAACTATCCCATAGTGCAAAATTTGATTCTGGATAGCCTTCGGCATTGGGTAACTGAGTTTCACATTGATGGCTTCTCTTTCATAAATGCCTCATATCTATTGAGGGGGTTTCATGGAGAATACTTGTCTCGACCTCCACTGGTTGAAGCAATTGCTTTTGACCCAGTACTCTCGAAGACAAAATTCATTGCAGATTGCTGGGATCCCCATGACATGGTAACAAAAAAGGAAACTCGTTTTCCACATTGGATGAGGTGGGCTGAAATAAATACAAATTTTTGTAATGATGTGAGAAACTTTTTAAGGGGTGAAAATCTTCTTAGCAATCTTGCAACAAGACTTTGTGGTAGTGGGGACATGTTTTCTGATGGACGAGGTCCTGCATTCTCTTTTAATTACATTGCCAAGAACTTTGGACTTTCTCTTGTTGACGTAGTCAGCTTCAGCGGGGTTGAGCTAGCAGCAGAACTAAGTTGGAATTGTGGAGAAGAAGGACCTACTAATAACACCACTGTCCTTGAAAGAAGGCTCAAACAAATCCGCAATTTCCTCTTCATCTTGTTTGTGTCATTAGGAGTACCTGTTCTGAACATGGGAGATGAGTGTGGTCAGTCTTCTGGTGGTTCTCCTGCATATGGTGACATAAAGCCTTTCAACTGGGGTGCTTTGAAAACAGGCTTTGGTAAACAAACCACCCAGTTCATTTTCTTTTTAAGTTCATTGAGAAATAGGCGGAGTGATCTTCTTCAAAGTAGGAGCTTCTTAAAAGAAGAAAACATTGAATGGCAAGGAAGTGACCAGGCTCCACCAAGATGGGAAGATCCATCATGCAAGTTCCTGGCCATGACTTTGAAGGCTGAAAAATTGGAGTTCCCAGAGAGCTCTGTATCCTCTGATATATCAGGGGATTTATTTATTGCTATCAATGCAACTGATCATCCAGAAACTGTAGTTTTACCCCTACCTCCTGAAGGGATGTCATGGTTTCGTTTAGTTGATACAGCTCTTCCATTTCCTGGCTTTTTCTCAACCAGTGGTGAATTTGTCTCTGAGAAGACACCTGGGTTGTTTACTTACCAAATGAAGTCTTACAGCTGCACTTTGTTTGAGTCAAGCAACCGTAGCAGTTAAACAAATACTTTCCCCGGGCAGGACTTCCCTCCCCAATCCTCATACTTTGTAAATTGTCATTACAAGCAATTGGCCTCTCAATTGTAGGTTTATAGATGAATTAATATGATATAAGAATAAATTGGTGAGAATATGTACCAGGCAATGTCTGCTGGAATCCTGTGTAAATACTCAATATTTTCATTGTAATTGTTTCTTATGCTCATTGATGGAGGATTCATTTATCCTAGCCTACTTGGTAGTATCATGTACAATAATTATTCCCCAACTCACTAAGTCAATGGGGCAATTCTGATATTGTCGTCTTTATTAAGAAAATGCTTGTCTAAAGTGGAGTTAAATCCTGAAACACTTTGAATTGATTTAAGAATAGATATATTCTTACTTGATCTTTTTCTTTATTATAGTCTGTTTTATTAAACTTTTAAGGCATGAAATACTAGACCAGTCCAGCATTTCCTTGGATCATTCTGTATTCCATTTTGTTTCTGAACGAGTCTCTTGTATCAAAATTTACTTCCCTTGCAAAGTTCATCCTTAACAGAGAGTGTCATCAACTTCACGTGGTGCTTGCAATGGTCCTTGATGCTGATACCGTATAAGATTGAAGAGAAAACTAATAGAGGGATTCAACCATTTAGTTACATGCATTTAGGGAATACAATATTCACTTCGATAGTTTTTTTAAATGTATCATCCACCAAAAAAAATCAAGCTCATAATAATTAAAAGATATTGATAGAGAGACAACTTAAAAAAAGAAGACAAATACAGTAAGTGTGAAAACTAATTGACCATAGGTGAATTGCAATGTGCAAAAAAGTATTCAATCGTGTCAACTTGAAAAATAATTTTCTTGCGTTGCCACCTATAATTGGTCAATGTAAGTCAGCATAGTGACGAACTAGAAATTCATTGCAAGGTGGATCTTGTTTTCATTGTTCTATTGACCAATCTTTCTAGTCTACCCACAAAAAGGAATACCAAACGTTGTAACTTTTTTCCAACATCTATGACTGAATCAGAATACCAACATCCTTTACACTTGAAGCCAAAAAGGTTAACAAATCATGAACTAATGAATTGGGATAGTATTTTCCAGTTCTGACAGATTTAAAATCTATGTTCAAAGTTAATAATCATTTCAGCTGCTGCCCCCATGACGCCTAACCCTCCAATTTCCAAAAGTCGAAGAGCCAACTCGTGTTCATTCAACCGTCTTAATCCTCTGCTCAATCTCTTCAACAAATCCACATCGACATCCTGGACCCACAATGGAGTGCAACCCACCATCAAACTCACAAATCCTGACACATAGGCTTGCCAAGTAGCGCAATGGCAACGTAGTGATGAATTTCTGTCTAGGGCGCTTGTAAGAAATTCCAAATGCAACCGAAGAACCTTTGTTCCTCGTTTAGATGTAATTGAAGAATGGTCAATACCCCAGGAAAATGCCCCGCTAAGCATAACAAAAAATGCCAGTGCATAACCTCTAAGCATAGCAACAACAGTTCCAGATTCTCCACCATCCTGCTCCAACATATTAGCTGATAAAAACCAGGAAGGTAGAGTCTCTCTTATAAAAGAATGAACCAACTTTGGTCCACCTGATATCCAAACCAATGAAGCCCCGAGTAGAGCGGCACGCTTGACACGTGACATGGATCTGGCAAGAGAAACTTGTCCAAATTTTATTCCATGCTTGGTTTTCTTTAGTTTCTTTACATCTCCCTTGGGAAGCTCACTACTTGCTATGTCTTTAACAGAAAGCATTAGAATAGACAAAATTTCTTCAGTCAAGAATGTGATATCTCCAATAGACCGGTACACTCGTAAGTAAAGAATCCCTGGAGCAACTGGAGATATGTCACCGGATATTTGGGAAACAAAGCCATGACCAAGGAGGGAACTAACTCCACCATTATTGTAAATACAGGCAGAGCCAATCCCAAGGGTGGATGTGAAGCAACTTTTTAGTAGTTGAACTACAGCATCCCTGTTGTTGTGGAATATAGTTCCGGAAGCAGAGAATACAAGGAATTCACTCCAACGCTTCACTTTCTGGATCCACAAAGAAGCTACAATAGGCATACAGGGCCAGGGACAACCAGAAGCAAGGGCATTAATAGCAGGGGCAATCAGGGCAAGGATTCGCTGACTGGCTTTGTCAAGTCTATATGTTATTGAGAGGCTTAGAAAAGCTGCCAAGGGCAAAGGAAGTGTAGCCGGAGAGTCCCCATCTGCGTACATGGAATTTAAAATATTGTCAACATAATGAACCTTCTGTTTCAACATATATTAAAATTAAAAACTTTATCCCCCACAAAAATAAATGCATGCACGAGTGGATTGTTGAACCCCAAGGATATATGAAAAGTAAAGTATTGAGTTTTTAATGATAACAAAGCACAACGCATGACTCAACCAGCCAGCTAGACATGGAAAACATGAAACTAATGTACAATATGCTACAACAAGTCTCAAATGATGATACAAGATCAAGGCAACATGCAAAAGACCAGGCAAAAGTCAAAAAGATAAAGTCAACCACAAAGTCAAAGTTTAAAGAATAAAAAAGAAAACCAGGTCAAGATGAAGATCTATATAGTTAGAATACATAGGCTTGAATGAAGAAATCTAGAGAATGATGAAGGAATGAGCTCTCACACATCAAAGGAATGCATTTAAGGCTAAAACATACATAAAAGTAACTCATATATTCAAATCATGCATGCGAGGTTGCATACACATGAAAAATGTTGAGATATATAGTCCCACATTGGTTGTATGTGCAACTAATGTGGCCTTGGGCACTCCCACCCTTTGAGCTAGCTTTTGGGGTGGTGTATCCCAAGGTTCTTTACATGGTATCAAAGCCTCGCTGCCCCCCACTTTCTCTTGTGGCGTTTCTTAGCACAGGTAGACTGGGCCTGTTGCATTGTCCACTCTTCAAGCCCAATGGGCTCTCGTGTGAGGGGGCGTATTGAGATATACAGTCCCACATTGGTTGTATGTGCAACTAATGTGGAGTTTATAAGGTCTTGGGCACTCCCACCCTTTGAGCTAGCTTTTGGGGTGGTGTATCCCAAGGTTCTTTACATGGTATCAGAGCCGGGTTGGGCTCGAGCTAGCCTGGTGATTGGCTAGGAGGCGGGTCGAGTACTTTGTGCTTGGGGTACTCGGTTGAGGGGGAGCATACCAATGGTGGGTTTCACACTTGAGGGGAAGATTGTTGGGATATTCAAGTGTGATGAGTCCCACATTGGTTGGTAATGGGCTATGTGAAGAGTATATAAGTGGAAGGATCCATGCACCTAATGCCTTAAGGTTTTGGGTGGAGATGTGGTGTCGGACCCACTTGGTGAACTTGGAGTAGCTTGGCCCATTGGTGGTGGCCCCCCACCACGGGCTTCCCCTGGACCCGCTTGACAGTGGTATCAAGGTTCTTAACATGGTATCAGAGCCTTGCCGCCCCCCCACTTTCTCTTGTGGCGTTTCTTAGCACAGGTAGGCTGGGATTGTTGCATTGTCCACTCTTCAAGCCCAATGGGCTCTCGTGTGAGGAGGCGTGTTGAGATATATAGTCCCACATTGGTTGTATGTGCAACTAATGTGGCCTTTATAAGGCCTTGGGCACTCTCACCCTTTGAGCTAGCTTTTGGGGTTATCCCAAGGTTCTTTACAAAAAATAGTTCAACAGATGCTAAATATACTTATGTGTTAGAACTTGTTAGAAATCACTTAAAAGTGGTTGGAACTAATATTGCATATATAAGGAACTAATTTGATCATCTGAACACAGAACAACACACAAAAAACATAGAATTACACATGTAATCAGATTTTGATTATTGCGAGCCCATTTTGCATATTTTGAGAGAAAGCTTATTATATCTATGTTCTTTGTGATTTCTTCTGAGATTTTCGTTGTATTTGCTCCAAGAAGGAGTTCTTGATTATTGTTGTAATCATTTAGTGATTGGAACAAGATTTTGATTGAAGGGAGTGATCCTATAGATGTATAGGTTGACAGGTTGATCAAGATTCTAGTAAAACTCCATTGTACAATGATTCTCAAGCACTAATTGAAGTTTTGAGATATTAGAGGATTGATTCTTCTTTAGTCTGAACGCAGCTCTCTAGTGGTTTGAGAATGAAACAGGATAAATCTTGTGTTTGATCTTCTTATCCCTTGCTTTTCAAATTCCACATTCTTGATTTGATTTTTTTGTTGTTGTTGCGTTTTCATTCCCGTTTCTGAATTGTGTTTGATTAATTCAGTGTGTTTTTGGTTTCTTGATTAAAAAACAAAGTTTCTAGGCAGACCTTGAGGATTAGATTTCTTAAGAAGAAACTAAACTCAAGTCACCCCCCTCCCTCTTCTCTCTCCTCCTCTTGAGGTGTAAAAGTCATTCTTGCCTAGCATGGATATTAATTGATCAACCATACAGTTAGTTGATTAATTTGTATAATAGATCTTTGTAACAATGTCCTTTAATGGATTTCCTGTCGCAATTAAATAATGGTTCAACAGAACCCAAAACTAAATAATTAAAATATTAAAAATACAGTAAGCAGAGACTAAGATGAATTACCTACAGCAAGGCTTGGAACATCAACACCCGTGGCTGCTAGAATTTGTGTTATCTGTTGCTCAACAAAGGACAAATTTGCGGCAGGGCTAGGCCAATCAATTCCATTCATAAAAGCTGGCTTCCATATGCCCCGAGTAACTTCAGCTGAAAAGTAGCTTGTAATGGTAACCAAAGATGCTGGAAGAAAATCGGCTAGATCTTTGAGGCCTGAGATAGAAAGCATATAGAAATCAAATTACACATCAAACAACCAAAACAAAAGATTAGAAGAATCAGCATTAGCAAGTAGAAACGCAGTATTAAATTCCCAAACATATGGTTCCAATATCAAGATATGTCTAATCGGAAAAAACTATCATATGTTATCTTAAAGAAGCAGCAAGGGCTACTCGAGAATGCAAATTCTTTTAAAAACAGGTGGTGGTCTAGGACCAAGCTTTTAATTATGTAAATTGTACTCAAAATTCAAGTTTATTACATCAGCATTTTCGTAGCTTCAATGGCTTGACGTTTATAATTGCAGCCCCGAAAGGCTCCCGTTAATCATTGGTCTATAACTTTTTGGTTTTATAAATCTATGTGCGTGAGAGAGAGAACAGAACCAAACATACCCCACTTTTCAATCTCTAAATACAATTGGAGCTATATATTTATAGTCAACCTTTTTGCCAATTAAGTTATTCCAAGAATCATATCTCATATTCAATCTAGACATCGTCTGATGTAGATTGGGTAGTTAGTTTTAAGATTTTAATTTTGAATTTAGGGTTTTTCTTTTGGGATTATATTGTAAATATTAGAATTAATGTGTAATTATTTACTTATTATTTGTATTAGCAAGAATACTCTAGAAGTGTCTTTGGACTTAGCCCATTAGGTTTTTTAATCTCTTTAAATAGAGAACCCCCGTAAAGATATTATACAATTCAATAATATACAACTCTTTACTTTCAATTTGGTATCAGAGCTCTCGATCCAGAGGGCTCTGCTTCCATAACTACCGTTTTAAAGCAAAACCCTTATTTTTGCCTCTCGCCGCCACCGAATTTTTTTTTTCGAGGACTTTTTGGATCAAAAGGACCATTATTTGTTCAAATCAGAGTCACCATTGTCCACTGTCTCCGGCGAGTTTTTCGGCGATCTACCCACGATAGTGATCGCCACGACGAGGCGATCTTCTCTGTCCATGACCCATCTCGAGACTGTCCCTCACACTCCCTCACACGCGTGAAACAGACGCGCCTTTCCAGAACTTGCAGCGGCGCGTGTGACATCTTCTGCACGCGCGACTTGGACAGACCAACTCGCCTCCTCATTGCGAGTCTGGATCTGTGCTTACCGTGGTATTTTGCCTCGGTCACGAAGTCAAACAATGGTCCCACAGTGGTTTTGATACTGTTCCAGCGACGATTTTCATTCCTAGAGTGATTTTGTTACTGTTCCGGCAAAAAAATTTCATTTTCTTTGTCGTCTTGAACTTTATGTCAGACGTTGAAGATACTCCGATCAATCAACCATATGCTACACCTTCTATGGCTTTTCTATTCCAAAAGATCCACCTGCTCTCCATCAGAATTATCATCTTAATGGAAAAAATTATTTGCAATGGTCTCAGCTTGTTCGTACCATTCTCAAAGGGCGTCGTAAGATTGCTCGTTTTGAAGGACCTATTCCTGCCAAAACAGATCAAAATTTACTGATTGGGATTATGAAGATTCTCTTATTATGACGTGGCTATGGAACTCTATGACTCCTGAGGTTAGTCAACATTGCATGTTCTTACCTACTGCTTTTGAGATCTGGGATGTTCTTAAGCAAACCTATTCAATGAAACAAGATGCCGCCACCTGCTACGATCTTCGGAATACGATTTTTTCTACCAAGCAAGGTTGTTTCTCTGTAACAGAGTATTATGGCATTCTGAATGCATTATGGATTAAGCTTGATCAATACCTGAGTTTGAAGATGGAGTGTAGCAACAATGCAGCCACTCTGGCCACCTTTATTGAAAGAAATCGGATTTTTGATTTTCTTTGTGGCCTCAACTCAGAATATGACCATATTCGGGTTCAAATTCTTGGTAAGGAAAAATTACTTACACTTTCTGAAGTTTTTCTCACTGTCAGGGGTGAAGAAAGTCGCAGGACTGTCATGATGGATACCAAGTTGTTCGAAGGATCTGTCATGCTCTCATCTAAAGCCACTACTCCAGCTCCTTCTGATTCTGAGCCCACTGACATGTCTGCTATGATTTCGGCTAAGCCACCTACAAGATTTTTTTCTTTTAAGCCCAACAAAGAGGGACATTGGTGAAACTATTGTAAAAGACCAGGTGTCACAAAAGATGTTTGTTATTGTCTTCATGGAAGGCAACAGGTTCTGGAGAAGCTTGATAAGTCAACCTCACGTGGTCAATCCTTCTTTGCTCCCTCAGACATTCCTCCTGTGAATGAGAGCTTATAGATGCCTGGTGACTAGTGAGTTTACTAGTATTCGTCGTGAGGAATTAAAACGGCTTAGGTCCATATTTGAATCTCTCAATAAGCCTTCTGGTACTGGTACTTTGGCTGTGACTGGTAAGAACTCGTGCACTCATTCTTTTATTGCTTCTTGTACTGATTTCAAAACTTCATGAATTGTGGATTCTGGAGCTACTGATCATATGACTTGCTGCAATGACCTTTTTCTTTCTTATAATCCTATTGTTGGTATTCGTACTATAACCATAGCTGATGGATCACACACATCAGTTGCAAATTCTGGTAACATTAAAATCCAAAACTTCTTGTGTCTCAAGAATGCTCTCCATATTTCCCAACTTTCTACCAATCACCTTTCTACTCATAATCTTACTACAGATTTGAATTGTACTGTAACCTTTTTCCCTACTCATTGTGTTTTTCAGGATCTCACCACGAGGAGGACGATTGGAGTTGCTAAGGAGCAGGGTGGGTTGTATTATCTGGTTCCAGACTTTGCTGCAAAAGATACCAAGGATCAGACTTTGATGACTTGTCAGTCTACTTCAGATTCTCTTATTTGGCTTCATCACAAGTGCTTAGATAACGAGTCTCCAATTTATTATGTATTAAGGGTTTATATGAGCATGAAATTGATTTAAAAATAATTAAAAGGTATGAGAATTATAATTAAAGTGTTATTTTATTCTCAGTAATATTCTCATAAAAATTCATATATATGGCAGTAATTTTCAGCTCAATAAAAACATAAATTGAAGAGCTCAAGTGGATTTGTTTTGGATTTTTAAATCATATAATTGATTGAAGATCTTATTGAAGATGCTCTTAAATATTTTCAAGGAAATTTTTTTCTTTAAATATAAAAGAGAAAGTTTTAAGGATTTGATTAATGATATGATTGGAGATTCTAGTGAAGATTCCATTGAAGATATAATAGAAAATTAAAAGATATGGTTTTATCACTATAAAAAGCTGGCACATTCAGAAAGAGAGGAACCTTAGAAAAATTGAAGATAGAGAATCCTAAATTGAGGAGAGAGAAACAATTTTCATGCTTTGGAGCTTTGGAAGCGGGTTGAATTCAAGAATAAGCTGAGAGTTTTGAGGATTCTTTACGCCATCACACCAATGGAGTTTAGGGGATTCTCTTTACTTTTTCTTGTCTTTGATGTCGCTATGCTAGGCTAGATCTTTTTTGTAGTTAGGGGCAGATGGACCCCATTTGATTATTTATGTGATTGAGTTAAGTTGTCTCTGAGATTCTTCTCTTTTTATATTTAAATGAATTTATCTGTTTTTATGCTTTCTATGAGTTTGTTCCTTGTAGATTGATTTAGGGAAATTGTATGACAATTGGGATGTTGGTGCATGAACCCTGAGTTGATAAATTCATCGTAATCCTTGTGATCTAGGAATAGACATAGGGCAATTATGCAATCTTTGAATTCTTGATCTTAATTCATGTTTTTTTGAGGAACAACCGGGGAACTAGGATTCTTTCAAGATCAGATAGAATTAGGGTAACAAGTGATTGAGTCTTAATTAATCTAGGAAGAATTGATTGACATTATATTAAGAGTAGTTCTTGACTGTTTAACTCATAACATAAAGAAGAGATTGGGGGAAGTCGAACCCTTAATTACGTGATTTATTAATTGACAAAACCAATACTTTTTTTTTAATTGCTTTTAAATTCTGAAATTGCATTTTCTTGCTTGTTCTTGATTTTCTTTCTTTTCATCTCAAATTCGATTGTCCAACTAAATTGTTGTTAGCGAACTAGTGCTTGAAATCCAATCCTCATGGGAACGATCTTGTACTCACGTACACTATTATTACTTTTACGACCAGTGCACTTGCCGAAGTCGCAACACTTAAGTCTATGTTTCCGTCTTTATTTGTATCGCAGTCTGTTGAGTCTTTTAATTGTGATGTCTGTCAATTTACAAAACATCATTGTGTATCCTTTCCTTCTAGTGAAATAAAAAGTGTTGAACCTTTTACCATTATTCATTCTGATGTTTAGGGGCCTTCCAAGGTACCTAATGTTTCTGGTGCTAAGTGGTTTGTCTCTTTTATTGATGATTATACTTGGACTAAATGGATCTTCTTGAAGAAAGATAAGGCAGAAGTAACACAGTTGTTATCCAGTTTTATTATATGATTGAAACCCAGTTTGGTAAACATATCAAATGCTTGAGACCAGATAATGGTACAGAATATGTTAATCAACATCTTTCCCAGTTTATTAAAGACAAAGGAATAGTTCATGAACTCACATGCGTGGATACCCATCAACAAAATATGGTTGATAAAAGAAAAAAATCGACATTTTCTTGAAGTCACCAGAGCATTATTGTTTCAGACATATGTACCCAACTCTTACTGGGGAGAAGCTGTATTAACTGCAGCCCATTTGATCAACTGCTTACCTTCCAGAATCCTTGGCCATGTAAGTCCTGTTGATCTCATGACTTCCTTTTTTCCTTTTGTTCTAATTATGCAGAGTTAGAGCCTTGAGCCCTTAAGTGTGTCTTCTTTGGTTACGCTCCCAATAAGAAATGATACAAATATTATCACCCTCTGAGTCTTAAATTCTTTGTGTCTATGAATGTTAGCTTCCATGAATCTGAGTCCTACTTTCTACCTCCTCAACTTCAGGGGGAGAACAATATTGAAGCTTTTTCCATTTTCTTTGAGTCTGAGTCTCCTCTTCCGTTACCTACATCATCTCCTACCCCAGTAATTACACTACATGACAAGAAAAAGGAAGACTTAGTTGATGAGGCTGAAAATTCATCTGATTTCTCTTGTTACATGCCTCTAATTGATTGACAGAAAGTACGCAAAGCTAGGACACCTGAACTATTGTACCAAAGGAAGAAACAACTCACACTTCCCCACCAGCAACTGCAAATGCCTGAACCGCTGGTAAGTACTGAATACACTATTTCTTTTATTCCTGAGCCTAATATTAATTCTGTTGACTTATCCATTGCTGTAAGAAAAGGGAAAAAGTCTTGTACCCAACACCTTATTTCTCATTTTGTCTCCTCTAAGAATCTCTATGCAGCATAGAAGTTTTATTATAGCACTTGACTCCATTCCAATCCCGAAATCAGTATATGAAGCATTAAAGGATGACAATTGCGTTCAAGCCATGCATGACGAGATGAATGTATTGGAGAAGAATAATACATGGGAAGTCGTTCACAGGCCAAATGAAAAAAGGGCAGTAGGGTGCAGATGGGTATATACTCCGAAGTATAATTCTGATGGGACTCTTGAAAGGAATAAAGCTCGACTGATTGCCAAGGACACACAAACCTATGACATTGATAATGAAGAAACGTTTGCGCCAGTGGCCAAAATTACCACTGTAAGAGTTCTATTGTCCCTTGCTGCTCATTTTAATTGGGATTTGAGACAAATTGATGTGAAAAATGTCTTCCTCAATGGCGAATCAGAAGAAGAGGTTTACATGGAGACCCCACGACGATTTAACTCTACAAATGGAGAAAACAAAGTTTGCAGGTTAAAGAAGGCATTGTATGACTTGAAGCAACTCCCACGTGCTTGGTTTGGAAGATTTACAAAAGTTATGCTTTCATTGGGGATACAAGCAAAGTCAAAGGGATCATACATTTTTCTTTAAACATTCTCAAAAAGGTAAGCTCACTATCCTTCTAGTTTATATTGATGACATTATTATAACACGGGATGATATACATAAGAAGCATGCTCTGCAAGAAAGACTGACTGCTACATTTGAAGTTAAAGACCTTGAAAACTGAGATATTTTCTTGGGATAGAAGTTGCTCATTCAAAGCAAAGGATCTTTATTTGCCAACGGAAGTATGTCCTTGATCTCCTTAAGGAAGCAGGAAAAATTGGGTGTAAACCTTCCAGTACTCCAATTGAGCAGAATCACAAACTAGGAAGTGAAAATGAGAGTCCTCAAGTTGACAAAGGACAGTATCAACGAATAGTGGAAAGATGGATATACCTGGCTCATACTAGACCTGATCTAGCTTATGCAGTTAGTATTGTTAGTCAATTCATGCATGATACGAGGGAAAAACACCTGCAAATTGTGGATAGGATTCTCCAATATCTAAAAGGCACACCGGGCAGAGGACTATCATTCCATAGAGGAGGAAACTTATCCTTAGAAGTGTATACAGACGTCGATTATGCTGGATCTTTGACTGACCGACGGTCTACCTCGAGCTATTGTATGTTTCTCTGTGGAAATCTCATAACACGGAGAAGTAAAAAGCAAAATGTGGTTGCTAGGTCGAGTTAGAAGCAGAATTCTGGGCCATGGCTCAAGGTATATGTGAGTTATTATGGCTGAAAATCATTCTCAATGATCTCAAGGTGAGATATGAAGGGTCTATTAAGTTACCCTGTGATAACAAGTCAGCTATCTGTATAGCCCACAATCTAGTTCAACACGACCGAACCAAACATATTGAGATTGATTGCCACTTCATCAAAGAGAAACTAGATAGAGAACTGATCACTACTCCATATATTCCGTCTAGTTGTCAATTGGCTGATGTCTTGACTAAGGGTCTTCCTAATGATAGTTTCAAGAGCTTACTAGCAAGCTGGGAATGATAAATATCTATTTCTCAGCTTGAGAGGGAGTATTGTAAATATTATAATTAATGTGTAATTATTTACTTATTATTTGTATTAGCTAGAATACTCTAGAAGTGTCTTTGGACTTAACCCATTAGGTTTTTTAATCTCTTTAAATAGAGAACCCTTGTACAGATATTATACAATTCAATAAATACTATACAACTCTTTACTTTCAATTGATTATTTGTTATTTAGGGATTTTCTTCTGTTTCCGACTATTTTATTCCAATACAGAATAAGGTTATCTTATTTTACTCTGTTTCCGATTATTTTATTCCAATACAGATAGTTGGTTAACCATTTGATACACTTCTGCATAATTGATAATATTGAGATTTTCGTTTCTTTAAGAGAGTATCTATAATCCAAGTTACAGGAGTACTTTGGTTTCTCAATTTTTTTTCTTTCTACATCATCCTCATTTTACATTTTGTGACATCCTTATATTTCAAGGCATCAATCCCTCATTATAATCCTGACTCAATATAATATATAATAAGTTCAAGTTAAAAATTATGTAGCCAAATAGAGAACTAGAAAAACCTGTGGCCAGTTCACGGGTAGAGAGTCTTCCATAAGCACAAGCTGTCAGAGCAGCATCCAGCACAAAGGGAATAGCTTCCAGGATATCCCATGCAGGAACTTTTAGTTTCATTGAAGAATCATCCAATGTAGACACTGACGAAATGCTGCTTCCAGAAGTCGTAGGTGTCGAAGTTTCAGCACCATTAGTTAGCTTCCTAAACATCATGCTTATTAGAGCATCAACAATCTGATGAACAGACCCTCCAGGCACAAAACCAGAGCAGATTGAAGCAATGCATTCTTGATGTTGCTGATACCAAAAGTTTAATTTTGGAAAGGAATCCATAAATACAGGTTCTGGAGAAAGATATAAATTTTTTGAATGTCTTTTGAGCTTTTGTCGATCCTTTGCTGATCTTCCAAACGAAGCCAACTTGCAGTTCCGAATCAATAAAAGGCATTCAGGACTAAATGGTGATCCAAATGGTGGAGTGGCTACGTCCCTCGTCACATGTTTGAGAGGTACAAGATCAAACCGCCAGAACCTCAGCATAAGGGTAAATGCATTAGAGAACACCTCATGATGAGAGAGTTTTTCTCCGGTAGCAAGAGTCAATGAGTAATCAGGAACACATGATCCAAAAACCTCACATATTAGCATTAGGCCTGCTGAAAGTAACGGAAGCTGAAAATAAATGGCAAGACCACAACATATATCAGCAAACAAGTACATGCAACATCTGCTAGTTCTCTACTACAACACCCCTTCCACCATTGGTTTTGAAACTATATTATTTTAAAACTAAGAACTTAATTGATGATAGAGCCTTCCTAGACTGCAAAACAAATACCTTAGAAAAACTTGTATCTAAAAAGAAAAAGGGTAGTTGACAATTACATGTGTGACTCAGAATACAAGGATTATTAAAACAGAACATACCAAACCATGTAGGGAGAAAATTTGAACACAATCTACTGATGAAATTCCAATAAGAAGGACGTTTACTATTGGAGCTTGGCTGATCAAATGGCTTTCAGCCCCCGAGTAATTAGGAGGAACATCAGGTGCGAGTAATTTTATGATAAAAAGAATTATGTGCTCCTGCAAACAAAGACAATGTTGTAAACCTAAGAAAATAATAGACAAATTAGAAGGGTCAGGAGACACATAAAAAAAGCTTAACTGCAAAAGAACTAAGCAAGAAAAAGTAGTAGTCTTTCTGGTGAAATTGGAAAGCTGAAAACAGTATTAGGATTACCTGTACATTCCATCCACGTACTAGAGATGCCCCACACAGAATGGTAGCAGCAGATATCTTTTCTTCTTCTGAACCATTGATTGCAATTTCATATATTTTTTCAGTCTCTGCTAAGCTTCCATCAAAATCCAAGAGCTTAAATTCAGTTTCCTTACCTCGTAAATTTTCAAAAAAGAGCATCTAATATACCTGGCTTCAGGAAAATAAGGGTGTATCTGTAGTGCAGGTATTGGGCAATACTATTATAAAACAGATAGCTGCCACTTTCATACACATGATAAGTCTCCATAAGTGTGTGTACATATCTAGTATCTATAAATTATAAATCTATATTTAGTCTAAAAGACAAGAATCTCCATGTCTTTTTCAGATGAATTTATTCTTTTTATCCAGGAAGTCAGGGAGCAATAAAGGCATAGGCTATGTACTACCCTGGCCAAGCTGTATTAAGGAAAGGTATTCTATAACAAACTTTCATACTATTTAGCTTGTGTGTGTGTTATTTCCATATTTATTGTATATTTATGTATTTTACTTACTACACTGACGTTTTTATATATTATATTTTAAAGATTCTTTTACTTCTTACAATAATAACTACATATTTAATTTACATTAAAAGTATAAAACACATTCATATGCTTGCCAATGAGTGCATGTTCATGAGTGAGAAGTAAAGAGGAGTGAAGATTGATTTAAGGATGAATATATTTCATACTATAAGTATTCTGTACAATTTTTAAAAAAATTAAAAAATGGTGATGGTAAGTGTTAGTGCATAGGTAAGGTTGCTGCTGCGACCTGGTGATCCTGGGTTATAGTCTCAGAAAAAGCCCTCTCTGCTCATGCAGAAAAGGTTGCATACATCCATGATCCAACCCTATCCTAAACCCACAGTAATGAAATGTAAATAGGGACTTATCTTCAGATGTTTAACGTTCAGATTAAGAGAAGAAACTCTTTCCAGAAAACTAAGTATAATTTCCCAGTAACAATTCCTTTATATAGAATGAAAATCATAAGTCAATTGTTAAATCGTAAAACATTAGAGAAAAATTACAAATAAAACTGCCGAAATAGTCACACTACTGAAGTATGAACAGTGTTTTAGGTCAGTAGCATGAATGGCAGATACCAAGGCTTTTCATGCTGATGGAATAAATAAACACACAGTCAATGATTCAAAGGCATTGATTAGCTTTATAGAGAAGTACCAGACAAACATTTCAAGGAGAAAGATAACCAGGGAGCATGAATGTAGTCAGTAATAAGACCCAAAAAACAAAGGATGGCAAAATAACTAGATGAGCTAATATCCTAAGTCAGTGCGGCTTTGCCTTGTGAAAAACGCAACATTCGGGAAGGTAAAAAAAAATTCTTCATTTGAAAAAAGCCCTTCCAACTAAGATAGTTGGTTGAACCAACCACCACCCCCAAATCTTGCCCTTCTGAAACCAATTTTAAGAGGGAGTGAGGGGGACACAACACTGGAATGATACGAGTCATTAGCATACCTGGAAGCTGGAGTTGCAACTAAGACGTTAACCAATGTAGGAGTTAGTTGCGATCCCTTCATCAACGAAGACCAGCCAGCCTCCTGGTTAGAAACGCTACTTGGAATTTGATTGCTGCATGCATTCACATAGCCAGGCCAAAAATAAGCTGATGTATCAAGTAGATTTCTTGCAATACAAGCCTCAACAATTAGATGCCGTAAGTTGCCAGCTGCAAGGAAAAACAAAATAAAATGACATAGTATGTAATAGGTATCAGATAATAATGAGAAGACATATTGAAGGAAAAGGAAAAATTGATATTGAGTTTCTGAGAAATTCTTACAACAATGGCAGAAAAGTTAATAAGGGATAAAAAGAAAATAAAAGATTACACCGATAATTAGAGAAACCAGTACTCTCCCACTACACCCTAAGGTGTACCAATCCAATCACCAATTTCCTACCTAATGATTACCTCTTTTTTCCTATATAAAGCACTCAGTCCTAATAGAGATGATACTAGAATGTTCTCTCTACTCATCCCATACAAATTTTAGGCCATGTGATCCACTTGAACCTGATCCTCTGCTCCCAGCCTTGTTCTTTTGGTGTACACCTTTTTAATTAAGGGCACATCAGTATCACTAGTATACATAAAAACGGGGGCCATAAACAAACATATGAACAGTCTTTTACGATAGCATTTACGAAAGCGAATGAGGGCATTAAATTCCATAGAACCAAGGTAAAGGTGCAACCAACAAAACTATTGACAACTAGAATTGTGATGACACACAGTGAGAAAAATTAACAGAATTAACTGAAAATAAGCAAACATTGACCGTTTGTGCTTGGGGAGACCTACTTTTCCATTTGGGAAAGGCAAGAAGGGCAACATACCAAAATTCAAGACCTACCCTAAGCTCCCATATTTTATAAACAGTTTATCAACCCCTCCAGATTTTCTATCTTTCCATTAGATCCCTTGGATTATTTTAAGTTTGGTCCCCTCCAATAATTTAGTCCTAGCTCTGCCTCAGTTTACACGTACCAAAAAATTAGATACATATCAATTAGAAGTGCAAATTCTGTAACCAACACGAAATCTTTACAGATTCAGATTACCACTATAAAAGAAATTACTCACAACATTTCATGGGCAAGTCATTCATGCTCATATGTTCTAAGTCCCCACTACCAACAGGGTTTCCTGATAACAACATAATAGCCTTGGCAGCAGCTTGATTGGCTTCCATAAGAACAGGTTGAGGTGGAGTCAGTAAGAACTCATAATCACCCAATAGCTGTAAGCTGGTAATCAATTCCTCACGACGCTTCCCCAGAGCCTGATTATCTTTCCCTTGATATGTAGGTCTGTGTTCAGCTTCTTCAATCAGTTCACCTTCCTCTTCCTCAATAATCTGAGTGACCACAAGGGTTGTGATGCTCAATAACATACACATGCAAGTATCAAAACGAGGTATAGGACTTTCCTTTGAATCCCTCTCCTACAATAACAGAAGGAATAATACAAGTGTTGTTATGTGAAGATTATGTATTTGCATGCAATTTTCCAGCGTCACCAGATTTTTTTACATAGAGAACCAGTTAATCGGTTAAATATAAAAATGCTAGGTGCCAACACAAAAAAAGTAGACTGTAAATGACATGCAGCACGGTCTTTTCTTATTGATGATTGACTATATTATTTAGATCACCAAATCATACACAAGAATAAATTCATCAAGCAATTTTTCCTAGAGAACTCATCAGCTCCCCCACCCTTTTTGTTGGAACAATTCCTACCCTTTGAACCAACCGCAGTGCTGCAACCCATAAACCCAAAAATGTATTGTTCCATGTAGTGCCATTAACTGCATGTAAAGTCTTCACCAAACCTGTAATAACAGACACAAATAAATAATATTGATTCAAAAAAAAAAAAAAAGTTATTCATTTGAAGTGTTCAGTACTACTCCCTCTAAAAAGATGCCATTTGGATTTTTTTTTCCATGTCAGTATCTTATGGAAAGGCTTAGATAACTATTCACATTTTGTTAGAAATAATATTAATTTATTATTATTAGAATAGTCTAGATTGTGGGCTTGACCCATTAGGTCATTCCGTTAGGTCTTTTAGTCTCTATAAATAGATAGCCTCCTTGTACAGACTTACACACTTGAATATACAATATATTTCAGATTCAATTTGGTATCAGAGCCTGGCCCTGGACCGGTGTGTACAGCGGGGACGCTGTATTCCCAGTGGGGGAGGATGTAATGTCCCACATCAGTTGGAGAGGGGAACGAAGCATGCCTTATAAGGGTGTAGATACCTCTTCTAGGGTGAGGCCTTTTGTGGAGTGTCCCAAGAAACAAAACCGTGAGCCCGAGGGCAAAGCGGACAATATCATGCTACAGGGTTTGGGGCTGTTACATTTGGTATCACAGTTAAAGTTGGTCCTGATGGCACTGTTGATCGCCTTAAAGCTCGCTTAGTGGCCAAGGGATACACACAGATCTTTGGTCTTGATTATGGGGATACCTTTTCTCCTGTTGCTAAGATGGCTTCTGTTCGCCTGTTTCTTGCCCTTGCCGCCATTCATCACTGGCCCCTTCTCCAACTTGATATTAAGAATGCTTTTCTACATGGTGACTTGCAGGAGGAAGTTTATATGGAGCAACCACCAGGTTTTGTTGCTCAGGGGGAGAGTTCTGGAATGATATGTAAACTTCGGAAATCTTTATATGGCCTGAAGCAATCTCCTCGGGCCTGGTTTAGCCGCTTTAGTTCAGTTGTTGAATCCTTTGGCTTAATCAGAAGCAAAGCCGATCATTCTGTCTTTTACCGGCATAGCTCTTCTGGCCAGTGTGTTTATCTCCTGGTCTATGTTGATGACATTATCATTACACGCAGTGATCAGACCGGGATTGATCAGTTGAAAGAGCATTTATTCAATCAATTTCAGACCAAAGATCTTGGCAGACTTCGATAGTTCTTGGGGATCGAAGTTGCACAGTCTAGGCGAGGCATTTCCATCTGTCAGAGGAAGTATGCACTGGATATCCTAGATGAGACTGGCATGTTAGGCTGTAAACCCATTGATACACCTATGGACCCCAATGTTAAGTTATTACCAGGACAGGGGGAGCCACTGCCAGATCCTAGTCGCTACCGCCGATTAGTTGGAAAATTGAATTATCTTACTGTGACAAGGCCAGATATCTCCTTCGCAATGAGTGTTGTAAGTCAATTTCTTGATTCTCCCTGTGACTCCCATTGGGATGCAGTTATTATAATTCTCCGATATATTAAAAAGGCGCCAGGAAGAGGTTTATTATATACAAATAAAGGGAGTTCAGAGATCTCTAGTTATTCAGATGCTGACTGGGCAGGTTCTCCTCCAGATAGACGATCCACCTCAGGGTATTGTGTTCTCTTCGGAGGAAATTTGATCTCTTGGAAGAGTAAGAAGCAAACTGTGGTCGCCAGATCCAGTGCGGAGGCAGAATATCGGGCAATGGCAAATGCAACCTGTGAGCTCATCTGGCTGAGTCAATTGCTGAAGGAACTCCATCTCTGTGAACAAAGGCCTATGAAGCTCATTTGTGACAACCATGCCGCTTTGCATATATCCTCTAACCCAGTCTTTCATGAGAGGACCAAGCATATAGAAATTGACTGTCATTTTGTTAGAGAAAAGATCCAGTCAAGGGAGATCGAGACAGCATTTGTCAATTCCAATGATCAACTTGCGGATGTATTCACTAAAGCTCTTAGAGGTCCTCGAATAGATCATATTTGTAACAAGCTGGGAGCTTTTGATATATACGCACCAGCTTGAGGGGGAGTGTTAGAAATAATATTAATTTATTATTATTAGAATAGTCTAGATTGTGGGCTTGGCCCATTAGGTCATTCTGTTAGGCCTTTTAGTCTCTATAAATAGATAGCCTCCTTGTACAGACTTACACACTTGAATATACAATATATTTCAGATTCAATTCATTTCTTTCCCGCCATTTTTAACATTTTTTAATAGAAACTAATAACAGAAATTCTATTCGTTAGTCGTTACAAGGCAGGTATTTGATTCTGTAATACCCACTTCCTGTCTCTATATTTTGCTCTCTCTAACTAATTTTCTGGTCTTTATTTTTCTTCTTTTCATCTGCCAGAGCAGAGAAGACTGTTGCTGATGGTGCAGTTTGGCATGATTCGGACAATCTAAATTTGGACGAAGCTAGAAAGTGACGATGTCATTAGGCAGGGGAATATCAATTTCTACTCGCCCTTTGACTTAAACCAGAAGGATTAGTAAACTTTGTATATTAATTTTATTCAGCATTGTAAACTATAACAACCCATACCATCAAGGAAAGTAATAACAAGCCAATAGTACGAGAAACTAAGTGAATGTGAATGTGCTACAGCGGGTAATTAGCCCCTACAACAATTCTGCAAAAACACACACTATTAAGTGATTTATAGAGTATTGATGACAAGTAAATTATGGAACTAATACGATAAGGAAAGAGGGGCTGGGACTTGTGTTTATTTTGTTTATTGGTTGGAGGACAAGAAACATATAATTCGTTGTGGCTCTGAGGTGAGAGTTACTAGACAATTGGTGAAAAATCCTTTGGAGCCCCTAATTTCATGGTCTCAGCCTTCATGGCCATTTTGTGAAGTTTGCTTAATTGAATTGTTGTAAGTGATCATGTTGTATGCTAGGTATCTTATGATTAAGGAATTAATGGATTTATGCTTTGTTTGATTGTGGAACACCTAGAATGTATTGTGCCTTTGATTCATTTCTTAGGCCTTTGTATCTGAGAATAGGTCTAATGAACCTAAATATGTAAATGGCTAATGAGCACTTGACAATAGATGCACTATAGTGTGAATGATGACTTATGAAAACATGAAATTTCCTTGGTTTCTTTTGGGTATGCCTCGGCCGTGTAATGAGAAAATGAAGTGAAAATGTATTTAATTCTCATTTGAGGATTTCCGATGATTTGTGAGTTAAGTTGTGTTGGTTAGACTAATTACCTAATCAATTGAACCATGAGAACCTTACGAGCTCTTTAGGTATAGGTTCGACCTTCTAAGGGAAAATTGTGGTGCAAGGGTAAAATTGAGTACCAACTATATGATGCTTATGACAAGTGTGCTAGATTGAAGTAATAAAACTAGCTATTGAAGTACATAAACCCTAAATGAACTTTTTGGGCACTAATTTCACAACAACTTGTGGATCAAGTAAAGGAAATGAGGTAACTTGGCATAGGGGCTAACTATTGGTCCTTGTGTATCTTGTTGATAGAAATAAGTTAGTTGTGATCAAATGAGGACATGTGAAATTTATGGAATACCTAGGGGTATGGTTCGGCCATGCCCTAGGGAAGAATGAAGTTGATATGATGAGTTTGATGTTTTGCATTAGTGTTTTACCTATTGCACGTTGGCTTGGGTCTTAAGTTAAGTCATTGATTAAATAAAGTGTGAAAGGCCTAGTGTGCCCTATGTTTATGGCTTCGTACATATTGGCCTTAATGGATTTGGAGACTTAGTTAATTGTTAATTGATACCTAGGAGGTACTCATGTACCGTTTCTTGGGTAAATATATGTGTGGAACCATGTGGTTGCTTGTGCAACAAGTAACCACTCTTGATGGTCCTATATATGAAAGTTTTGAAAGATTTAATAATGACTTATTATTGGCATGTAATTGGCAAATGAATATGTTAAATAAGAGTATAATAAGGATACAATGACGTTAAACCAATTGGTATGTCATATGTGAAAATTTGGGAATCTTTCAAGTGTGAATGTCTTGTGATAATACTTGACAACTGACCTATGTAATGAATATTTGATATAGATTCCTACTCTAGGTCTGTACTGGACTTTTCTGATTGGCAGGAATTGTATAAGAGGGGGATTTATTCCCGGGATTGTCCAATTTACAGCTGTTATGCTGTCCGTTTGACTCCGTCAGGGTTGATACTGGTTGTCGTACCCTGATGGTCATTGACCATTGCTTATGGTTTCATAATTTGTAAGATAGTATCATAAACTCTGTATCGATATGGACGGTACGGTATATTTGAATAGCTTAGTAAAAGGTTTATGCGTAATACATCAAGTGACAAAGAAAGGTTGAAAAAGTTAACTCGCAAGATTACGATATGCAATCGTGAGGTTTTAGACTAAGTCCTACGCTTTCACATGTTAAATTATGCGGAGCTTTAATACCATATGTATGTTAACTAACCGGCTCGAGACGGGGATGTTACATAAACCATGTTTTTACAATGAAGATCTAGAAACTATCTGTCTCATTAATTTCTGAAAGGAAACAGTTGAAAAGGGAAGGAAAATATATTATTGAATTGTGTATTACAACTGTACAAAAGCTCTTTATTTAAAGAGACTAAACGACCTAATGGGCTAAGCCCAAAGAAGATTCTAGAATGAATAAATAAATAACTAATTACAATTATTTGCAACACTCCCTCTCAAGCAGAGGAATAGATATTTATCATTCTCAGCTTGCTAGTAAGCTCTTGAAACCTTTCTGATGGAAGTCCCTTCATCAAAATATCAACTAATTGACGTCCAGAAGGAATATATAGGGTGGTGATCAACCCGCTATCAAGCTTTTCTCTGATGAAATGGCGGTCGACCTCAATATACTTAGTTCGATCATGTTGAACTGGATTATGAGCTATACAAATGGCAGACTTATTATCACAAAGCAGCTTCATAGGTCCTTCACATCTTATTTTGAGATCCTCAAGTATAATTCTCAACCACAATAATTCACAAATGCCTTGAGCCATAGCTCGAAATTCAGCCTCTGCACTTGACTTGGCAACCACATCTTGCTT